AAAGTTCCGACGCTGGACTCTCTTGGTCGGTCTCTTCATTTAAACGAGCCGCAAGGGGAGACAGGCAGACAGACGTGTGCACAGCCGTTCATGGGGAAGTAAAATTCTACGCTCGAGATGAGGCGAAAGGTTGATGGCGTCAAGTTCGAACACCCCTCCCCAGCCGCACGATCCGCATGATGGCTTTCTTTCGAGTTTAAAGCCCATGAACGAACGGCGCGTGTGTTGGTCGTCGGCAGCCACTTAATCTGGCGGCGAGGTTCTGATACCCATCATCGGCAGAGTTACCTAGTCTCTCTGGTCCGAACGGTTCGTTCTCACGATGTCTGAGATGAGCTGGGAGATATCACGCTACGCCCATTAGAGACGGATGAAGGCGTATTCCCTCTTACGGTTTAGCCCTGAACGACCATCTCCATCCCCCAAAAAAGTGGTCGGGGCCCTGCCAATCATCGGAGCTACGTCGCACGAGAGAGGCGCACGTTCTCTTCCCAATCTCGGGAGCCTCCCCATCTCGGAATGGAGCGATCTCTCTGGTCTTGGTTTTTGGCTGTGGTCCTTGCTGGGAACTACTATGGTAGTAATATGGCTCTCGTAGAATTATGCAAGCCTCTTGATTTCCACTTCACAAAAATGGTTTTTGGTTCATCACAACTTAACACCAACCGGGGACGCCACGACAAGCCAAACCCGTTGACTACTTTCAGTGAAGAAGTGGTGGCCTGCCAATCGTTCTTCTGACAGCCAAGTGATTGGAAACCAGTCAGAGAGCAAGCCCCTTCTGACCTTCAAGACGTGGCCCACTGCTTTTACACTAGTCCGACACAGCGACGCGGCATTCTCGGGATGCGGGAGGACAACCGCGCAGACCCTTCCGTGGCTACCTGAAGTCGAAGAAGATGGACTCGTCTTTTCTTGTCGGGAGGCGTGCTGACGACGACGGCGTGTGTGAGGTTTGTTTCTTTGGTGAAGAGTCTGGAAATGTTTTGGTCCCTGCCGCGACCATGTGAACAGGGAGCCACAGCTTGATTAGAAACTCGATTGGAAACTCGACTGGCTTGCGGGAAGCGCCGCGGGAAGCGCCACATGAAGTTTGCCCGTTTGTGTATCCATACGACTATGACTACACTATGTACTACGGGATTTGATTAACGAATACCGAGATCACCGGTCGGTGAGTGAGGCCTCTCTCTCTCTCTGGAGCCGAGTCTGGAGGCGTCCACGGAGCCACGGAGGAGACCAGGCCGGAGATGGTGTCGTTGCAGCGCGGTGGACTGCTCCATCTCCCATCTCGCAAAAACCCGGATCAACACCGCTTCTCTTCTGCACAGCACGCGGCCAGCCCTAGATCGTGACCGGGCACGACCTTGTCTAGGGGAGCGGTACAAGTTGGAAAGGGTGGCATTGTACCATACTGCGTATCTTCCTTGGTGGAAGGACGCCGAGCGAGGCGAAGGGAGCCCAGTGGGAAATCCGGCGGTGAGGTGCGCTATGAAGGGGATAGATTAATAGGAGCCAAGATTTATGCCGTGGACCATGCCCGTGACGGAGGGAAAAAAGAGACTATCACCGCCAGGCGGAACCATGTCATCAGGCGCGGCTGAAAGGGTCTTCTCCACTCGAAGTGAACATGGACCATGGTGAATCGTGAAAAAGGCCGACACTGAAGCAAAAAGGCCTCTGAGTCTTGACTTGCGTTCGCTTCTTCCTGACTTGCGACTTTGACTTGGCCGAAGAGAACAGACGACAGTCCGAGAACACCAGCACCCAATCGGCTACTGTGAAACAGACGTGGGCGCGGCGGGCCCGGCCGTGGTCTTATTGGCCCACGACCTGCCCTTTTCACAACGGATGAAACATCGACGCGGGCTTGACAAGTCGTCGTGCCAGGTCTCGAGACAAGGGCGCGCGGTATTGGATTCCGTAGTAGGCAGGGATGACGGACGCAGGCTCAGCCCAGGGGAAAAGGGAACTTCTCCGTTGTGTTAGATTTGTCCGGGGTTCTGGTTGGCTCTGAACAGCGGTGGTGAAGCAGGGGTGTTTGTTGTCACTTTGGAGAGGCATTGGAGACGGACGAGACTTGAGCATGTTCACTGCTGGCAGCGCGAGATGACGACGACGACGACGATTTGACGTCTCAAAAGCCGCGCTGTCTTTCTTTCATCCCATCTATCGTGGCGCGGCTTGTCTGTTGTATAGTTGACGGGGACAGGCATTCGGCTTGCTGTTCTTGAAGTCGAACATAGACTTGCGTATGCTCTTAGACCATGACTCTCACTCAACCAAGTTGTCAACTAAACTGGCAGGCCTGGCTACGTAAACGGAGAATCTAGCAAACGGTGGAACAAAAACAACCATGGAAGCTCGTCCGCCGGGACGGAATATGGATCACGGGATACGGAGATGGCTTCAACAAGCCTGACTGACTAACCGACATTCGACGAACCCTTCATTGGCCGGGCCGTCGTCAGCCCACCACCACCACCGCTGCGCCTGGAGATTGGGAAGGGGGTACGCATCGCTCAACACCCCCGTCCGCGATGCGACTCTGCATGCAAACATCGCTCGCCAACTTCGTATCTACGCTTGGTCTCTGTGTCCTGCCCATCAATCGTATCCGGCACCCGAAATAAGGTAATCTAGAATCCTGCAATCGTGTGTAATACAGTCGCGGTCCAGCCTCTTGGTCCACGGGGCCCTGGGCCGGCAATCACGGCGGGTTTTTGATGATTGTTCGGCTTGGCTTTGTCGTTGACGCCGCTGCTCCGGACTTGAGAACAAATCGCCGCGCCCGGCGGCGACTGCAATGATCGACGGCTCGGGAGATCTCTCATCTCTGCAATCCTTCTTTTTCCCGGCAGAGTCTCGATTTCTCCGTCCCCCGCACGACGGAAGGACTGGTTCAGCCGCCTTCGGGAGGTTTAAACGTCAAACCCGGCTTCTCTGCCACCCGCACTCAATATGAAAAGAACGCCTGCCATCCAAAAAAGAAGGTCGTCGTCGACATCTGAACCTCGACGCCGTGCCTGTGTCAGATATGTTGAACCGTTCGAACGAAGGGGCCACCCGGCGCTGCGAGTGTTGGACAATGAACATGAGGCGTCCGGTCCGTCGTGTCCTCACTTCTCAGACGGCCGGGTTGTTCATGTTGGTTCTCTCGCGACCCGACATTCGTCATCGTCTCATAGCATAGGAGAAGCTGACATCCTCCTCCTCCTCCTCCTCCTCCTCCTTTGTCTGAAGTTCGAGAAAGCGGACTGGACCCGCCTGTTCGTGTGTAAGTATGACCTCGAACAAGCAACGTCGTTCCCACGCGTCTTCGAACACCGCCAAGACCATCTTCTTCGGACCAACACCACTCGACATGACCTGGGCCCCCCGTTTGCTTGTTTGGCGAGTGAAAGAAGTGTGTACGTCTTGGCAACTCTGAATCACAGTCTTGCGCGTCGAGGGGCCGGCCTCCTCTCTCGCGTGCGCGCGCGCGGTGAAATCGGCGCCTGTTCAGCTGTGCGGGACTTCCGACGTTTGACGCCGCAGCGACGGGTTGCAGTCCCGTGAAACCACGGCCCCCCACAATCCTGCTCTCTGTCGCAAGCTGCATAGCATGTGTTGTACGCCAGCCAGCAGACACATCAGTCAAGCATGTTTTTTTGGGCTGACAGCCGACGTCGATCATGTTTTGTGGTCTGATGTCGGGGACCCCGTCTCGAGACGATGGAGCAGAAGAGCGTCTTTGGTGGAGGTTCTGCCGATGTGTAACCTTCTTTTTTGGCATTCGCCGGTTGACAAATCGCACATCATTCTCTTTCTCTCTCTCCGTCGATGCGTCTCCAACGGCGCCGAATGACGAGTCCGCCCCGATCGACCGACCGAGGGCGCCGCGATCCCTGGTCTTGGCCCGTTCCGCACACGTACCTCCCGGGACTCCGATGCTACATACGGATATGTATCCTGTCTCCTGCTATTATAAGATATCCGCGTGCGACCTAATCCCCATCCTTTTGTCGGATGTCAGCCTCCGACCGTGGGACGTCCATCTTTCTCAGCGCCGATCTCTGGGGGACGATGTTCTACGTTACAACGTCGGTGCGTTTTGCGGGTTGTGAGCGAGGTTGATTGGCGGGTTTGGCTGGGTTCGAGTATTTGTGGTCTTTTTGGATTTTCTCTCGCGCGTGTTGTTTCAATAACGCTTGTTTTGAGGGGCAAGGGGGGCCTCTCCGTAGAATCGACGGGGGAAGGCCGACGACGACGACGACGACGACGCCCTACACGCTTAAAAAGGCTTGCTTTGTTTGCCAAGAAGGGATCTTCGTCGATTTGTGTTTTTGCCGTGTTTTGATGTGGTCTCTTCCTTGTGGGGAGATTTGTGGTCGTTGGGCGATCTGTAGCAGGACTTGTGAAGAAGATCGACTGCTGGCTTGGACTGCGGCTTTGGGCTGATCCTTTTCGATACGCGGGATGTTGGTTCTGGGCGGTGACTTGGGGTCAAGTATCATGGTGGGTTATGGATGGTGTCTTCGATGTTTCGCTTTGTGAGACTGTTGGCTTGGTAGTCTCGGCGGCCTGGTGCTTCTGCGATTAGAAGTCCTGACGGTTGTGACTTGGTTGAATTCGTAGTTGACTTCTGCTCTGTATTCCTGCAGTACTCGATGAGGCCGTCAATGATACACAATGATGCTGTTTACTGCCTTCATAATGTTGTTGGAAATGGCGAAGGGAGTTCAAGAGACGAGACCGAATCAACATCGTCTATCACGCTAACACGAGCTCATAGCTTCCATGTCTTCGCCCACGCTGCATCATGTCGTCCAAGACGCTATCAAAGTCGACTTACCGTCCTCCATCGTCATCTATCACAATCTATCGCTTGCCCTTTAAGCCCGGCGAATACGTGCAGTATGGACAAAGTTGCCTCGTAGCTTACAACAGAATCTATCTCGAAGGCCCGGTCCTAGAGACAATCTCGACGACAACATTGAATCACACCCTTTCCATGACCACTAGCCACGATCCTCTCCCTCCACGATACCCTTATACAAAGCAACAACCTCCTCCCACCTCAGCCTTCTCAAGAACCCCCCCTCAACCAAGCCTCTCGCACTCGTCCTGTCCTTAACAACATACTGCGTCCCGCCGCCGGGCTGCTCGAACCCGGGCGCACAAGCGCCCGCAAAGACCTCAAACGGCTTCGCAATCTCGTACACGCGGTACATGTCCGCGTCGGAGTCGTCGACCCTGCGGGCGAGCTCGGCTTCGGGGGTGATCGTGAAGTTGAGGCTGGCCGGGGAGAGGCTGCGGTTGGCGAAGGCGGTGTTGAAGGGGGCGAAGTAGGGCGTGTCTTCCTTGCCGAAGCGGTCGATGAGAACTTTCGTCCCGGGGGTTGGGCGGAGGATGGTAAGCTGTTGAGGAGGGCCGGAGAGGAAGCCGTCCCATTGGGGGTTGGGCCATTGGGCTTGCTGTGAGGGGGTTGATGTGTTAGTGGTTTTGGTATGTGAGATGGAACGTTGTCAGGGTGAATAGGGGGAGTGACGCCGGACGTACTGTGGTGTTGTTCGGGTACCATCTGTCAATGAACTCCTTGGGCGTCTTGTTGCCGAAGCGTGAGTATCCTGCGAGGAGGACGTTGTTGATGTGAGTGTCTGGGAGCTTTTCCGGGCCTAGGCGCCAGTTTTTGAAGAGGCAATGGGGGCCAGTGTTCCTTCCTGTCTGGGATGATTCCGGTGCCATCGTAATGTTCAGCTGGAGGAGACATCTAGACCCGACGTCGCATTGGCGTAGCTGCTGGCAGTTTGTTGCCGATATGCTCGGAATAGAGGTCAGCAAGTCTCTGTAGTCGAAGTCTGGATTTTGGCGACTTGGAGGACGTGTAACCTTATATCTCAGTGTGCCTCGGGGTTGATATAACACCTCTCAGATACCAGCACTCCTTTTCAACTACCACAGAGCAAGTGTTAGGGTTTGCGAATCTTCAATGGCTTACCATTCAGTAGACTTTGTGCTCGAGTTCAGCTGACATTGACGCTTAGCTGGTGTTGAAGTTCAGCTGGTGTCGAAGAAGCCATGTCTCAAATGACCGTTCCGCCCCCCGAAAACGGTCTGGACGTGTCAGATATCAGCATCGTAGTTCAGCTTGTGACAACAAGCCTCTGTTGAGATATCGTGACGTTGACTTCGACTTTGGTTCACAACGTATGTCAACACTCAGTGTGGCTTTGCAAATCCCGTGATGGAGCCAGCTGGACCTCGAAAGCGGCGGCAATGAGACATTCTCTCATCATATACTCTGCTCGGCGTTCGAATATGGCATTGATCGCGGAGATTCGTATGTTGAATGACCTGATTTGATATTGCGCTATTGTCTCCGTTTACATGTCGTGAGTAACCACAGTTCAATACATCGGCATAAATGGCACGATCCATTTCCCACATCCCTCATAGATGACGGATAGAATAACTCTTTCCGAAGAGACAGCGATAATCGAGAGCCGTTCTAAATTCGCCTAGCGCAGAGCCTTGAATGGGTTTGTGGGGGACCCTGAAGATGTTGACTGCGCTCGCTTCTGGTTATAGCGGTACATATATCACGATATGAATGTCAAATTCCTGTGCCCCTTATTACATCTGCATCAAAATACACTGTCCAGAAAAAATGCCACGAAAGCACGGATTCCCAAGCATTGTTGAGCGGAAATATTGCGCACGACCTGGTGAGCGTCGCGGCAACTGTTTCGTTGACAGCAATAAGAAGACTTGATAATGATAAGAAGTCACAGATATCCGTCATCAACTTGACCTTCACGCTTCATGCGCGGAGTTGATGATGATGATGATGCCTAGTTGTTGTCAAAGTGAGTTTCGTCTCATATCTGTTAGTCTAGACCGGTCTTTCAAACAATAACGAGTAGCGAAGTGTCACTGTCCACATGGATCAGAGTACCACGGGAAGCGCGCGTCGCGGCGGCTCGACTCAGCACGACGAAATCGCCTAGCCGTCGATCAATCACGCGTGTGAATGCAAGCTGGCGTGATTCACGACGTTCCGACTCAGGCACGCCTCAAACTTGACTTGGCCACATCCTGGGCATCTGCTTAGCTCCGACGGCTTGGCTACTGCCGCCAAGTAAGGCAACGTGAAGAATCCACGTCCAGAATGCGTTGATAAAAAGAGCATGTCCGCCCTGTCAATCACCTCCAAGAAAGTTGGCGTGCGTCGCCGAGACGTTGGCATTCCAGCGCCGAACATTCTCTGCGGCGGTAGTCCTGGGAAACCCCGCCGTCGGATCAACCCGCGTGAGTTCGATGAATCATGTCACCAACTGAAGAGATAACCCGTTCTGCAGCCCCCGTCGCCGCCCGACATCCGAAATGCTCTTCGCCCGGGAAACGATATCGTCCGGCCAGCCCGTCGCGCGATGAGCCCGGTGCGCTTGCTCCGGACGGGGCCAGCCAGAGTTGTCATGACATCGGGCCAAGGTTTGAACTCTCGCGAGATCTCACCTGCGGCTGACTTTTAAAATGGGGCGCGTGACCTTTTTTTCCCCGCGAGAGAAGGTTGAAGGTTGACGGCAACAGCTGCCATGCCTGCCGTAGAAGGAGTTGAAACGGAGGCGTGGAAGGTTGGGCGAAGGCTATTTCTGGCAACTCGGAGGGAAAGGGGTTTCGTCATTCCGGTTGGATTTGCAAGGAGTTGTCATCTCTTTGTCAGTTTTCTCCGAACTCTGATCGGCCTGTTCCTGGGGTAGGGCTGGCGTTTGGCTTTCGGCGGTCGCCTCGAGGCATGACGACGATATTGACGGTGGTGGTGGTGTGGTGGTGGTGGTGATGACTGTTGTGGATGTCTTGCCGGGGATTTTCCGGGAGATTTGCGGCGTTGAAAATACGCGACATCTCATTCGCTGTTGGAGGCGGAATACTGGACCCTGAAGAAGGAAGGTCGGGAGAAAAGTGAAAAAAAGGGACTGACGTGATGGAGCGAAAATTGGTCAGATTCATGCATCGAGCAGAGAAGGTGGGATGACTTGCGGCTTAAACTCATGCGTTAGGTTGTTATTGCCTCTTCGGAACTGCCGCAGGCTTTTGGTGGAGCGTCTCGGTGGGCAAACCGGGATTAGGTAAGCTGGATAGGTATGACGCGCTTGGCTCGCTAAGATAAGGTGGACGATAAAAAAATCGGGAGACGGCGATAACGATAACGCACCTTGGGAAAAGTGCGGAGGCCGGGCTGTGGTGGCGCCGGCAAATGAGCGGCGGCGGCGGACCATCCTGCTGTGACCAACCGCTACGACTGGCTGCTGGCCCGTGTCGAGGGTCCGGGCCGTAGTGTTGTCAGTGGCTGACCTAATGCACCTGGAAAAGGCAGTATCTGAGTCGACTTTGGGCTGAGAGCGGCAAGTCCCCGTCGGGCCTCACTAACACGACACACTGGGTGTGACCACTACGGCAAGCTAAGGCGGTGCTGCAACGGCCAACCACGCACGGGACCGGCTGGACGGACTGGACGGACTGGTGAATCCTTACTGCCCTGTCCTGCGCGGTATACTTTTTTTTACTGTGACTGACTCTGACTCTCGGAACTTGTCGCGGAGGACGGCTGTGCACGTCTCATCAAGTAGGTAATGTGCAGGTTACCTAAGGTAAGGTAGGTAGGCATTCGGTGTTGGGTTCCATTGTTCCAGTTCATGTCAGGTTCTGTTGGTGGTGGTGTTAGTGAGGCCTGACTGTCGACTCTCTACCAATGACTGTCATCGGGTGTCTTCCTGACTTCAAGATTGATGCTGGCCTTCCCCCGCCTGCCTCATCAAATATCATTTTGGGTGATGGCCAAATTATAATGCTGTTTGCTCCTTCCAGCTGCGGCCCAAGAATTAAACTACCGACTGCCGTTCCGAGCCTCCTCTTCAGACTTCCATTCGGCTCCGTCATTCCTCTCCAGGGCTACCTTATTTCTTGTTTCCTTTTTCCACTTCTGCTTCCTTTTCCTGATTTCTTGTCAAACCACCTACCAATTGATCTTCCGTTGACACGTTGTTTCCCCCATCGTCATCGTGGATACCGCCGTATAACGACTCCCATCTCGTCACCGGAAACAAAAAAAAAGCAGATCATATCATCATCATCAAATCTCCGTACTGGGCGACCCTGGTTGGTGTTATCTTACCAACACCGTACGTCGACTGACCGCCTGCCCAGCTCGTCCTCGTCCCTCGCGTCGCATTGCCGTACATACAACACCATCTCGCCAAATCGTCTTCCCGGCTCCTACGCACACTAAGACTAAGATTACCTGAACACGCCGCACCCGCACCCGCACTCGCCACTGCACCGCCGTCGTCGCCCTGTGCTTCGCTGCGTTGCCCTGCGTCGTTGCCCTGCATTCCTGCCATCTGCGACTCTACCACGACTTACCTACGGATATCTCGCCTACGCAGCAAAGGAAGCAAGCAAGCCTTTCTTGCGCATCTTCCCGTCCAAACACCCTCCCAAGTGTCCGGCGCCCGTTTCATTTCTCGACCCGACACAACAGCCCTGAGCTACCGCTGCCGTCGCCTTATTTCCCCTTTGTTTGGCCTCTCCAGAGCAAGGGACCTGCGCCTGCAACAGGACACTTCTCCGTTTACCTTGCCTTGCCTCACTTCGAGGTACCTGAGGTATTCAGCTCCAGACTGCCACCGGTCGATCGACACTCCCACACTCTCCGTCAAAGACGACTCCTCCCTTATCAACACCCATTGGGCCATTTTCTGCCGCTGCGCACGCGACCGACCGCGTAAAGTGGCTTGGGCAACCGAAGCGACCCCAGCGCAACGCTACTCGCCGCTACCTTTCTGCCTCTAGGCAAAGGGTAACCTTACCACCCTTGGAGTTGGACCAAGACCAGACCACGCCAGACCATTCATTCCCCCAAGGTCTCCAACAAGTCGTCTCCCAGTCTCCGTCTCCTCGGCCAACTGACTGGGCCCTTACCTGACGAATACGGCTGCCCGCCTACCAAAACAGTTGCGCCCAGCATTGTTGACCCCCCCGGTCTCGCCATCAAGGGTCTCTGAATTATTGGGACTTCATTTCCCCCACCATCGTCAAAGCAGCCCAGGCCAATCTCCCTTCACCTTCCAGTTTTCCCTCTCCGTCCCGCCTGACAACCAATTCCCGCCATCCCCGACAAGATTCGACTCGTTTCGATTCCTGACTGCCATGACCTTGGAACCGCCTCAATCTTTCCGAAAATCTTAGCTTTTCGATCTTCCGCCAACCCGTCCACCATCCGTCACACACGACCATGTCCGTTTGCGTCGAGCCGTCTCTACCCCCAACCGACGACGACCATCCCGACGTCACGAACAACGTCCACCGAGACCGAGACGACTCTCCTATCGATAGGCGACCGTCGCGAGACGACTACCATGCCAACGCCAACGCAACACAAGAGTTGACCTCGATCATGACCGCCTCCATCATCACAACAATCCTCAACACCGCCTCCAACCCCGTATCTCCCGGCCCCTCCAGTCCTCCTCTCGAACAGGCCAAGAGCAATGACTTCGTGCCCCCGACACGCCCGAGCAGCACTCCCTTCTTGCACCCCGATCAACGGAACTCGGATTGCTGCTATCCGATGGCCGACGCCGATCACGCCGACGCCTACGGAGGCCCGGCCATGACCACGTCTCCCTACTCCCTCGAGCCTACCGAGGCTTCGCCCTCTTTGAACCTCAACGACCTGCCCGCCGAGATCCACGAGTGCATCCTCGATCACCTGTTCGGATACCGCGTATCCACGTCTTCCAAGAGTTCAGTCGGCATGCAGAGCGTGACCAAGAGCTGGGGAACCGCACTGCGACACTCGCGGCGCAGAGAACTGTCGGAGTTGGCCCTCGTGAGCCCTGTCTGGAGGATTCTGATTCAGGAGCGCCTGTATCGCCATATCAAGATCAAGGCGACGGTGGAGTCGCTCGAGATGGCCATGATCTACTTTAGCGAACACAACCACCTCAGGCGCTATGTGAAACACATTGAAATTTGGTTCCCCGTCTTTCAGCCAAAGTACGGACCGCTGGCGCTAAGCACTACTCTCACCCTCCCAACCGTCACCATGGACGGTTTGACGAATGCGACTTACACCCTTCCCGCCAACAACTGCAGTCTCGAGGAGGCCTTTTCCTTTGTCTCCCAGGCACTGCCCGACGTATGCGTTCTCACGATCGAGGGAGGCGAGAGGAAGAAGGCGCCAAAAGTGCAACACAGCTGGCAAGGACGTCCTGCGGGCTGGCACCTGCCTACCCTTGATTCGGTGCGCACGCTGGTGACGAAGGGTCAGTGGAACTTGATGCGCGACGACACCGATTTTGCCTCCATTCTCGGCTCTCTTCCGAACTTGAACGAGTGGCACGGTTCTTACAGCAAGCCCAAGTCCAAGAGTTACTTGAGCATGGCTAGCATTCTCCCCAAACTCCCCACAAACCTCACGTATCTCAACTTGTGCCTGGAAAGCGACTACCGCCGGGAGTTGACGTGCCCCCCATTCTACATGAAGGTCTCCAACCAGGTTCACTTCTGCACTCGACTGGCGGATGCGACACCCGCGCTCGAGCACCTGGCTTACACCGGCCGCATCTGCAAGGCATTCTTCAACATGGCGGCTATCAGGTCGGACCCGAGAACGACGCGGCTCAAAACAATCGACTTGACTGTCAAGAACTGCTGCCGTCCGGTTCCTCAGTTCCACGACTCAGGAAGCGGGATTCAAGATATGAACTTTATTCATGCCTTCGAGATGCTTGTTCTTGCGGGCATCCACTCGATGTCGACTCTCAAAGCGCTGGACTACCTGCGGATTCGGTTTGTGGACTTGGGTATGTTTCCTCTTGTTTCATCGTATTTGCTCTTCGCTAATCTTTATTGCAGACTCGCCTGTCCCACCACTGAACCCATACTTTGTCCTGCGAGACGGCTGGTGTTCTGGCGTCTGGAGCGACAATATCCTGGCGGAATTGAACCGGGTCCGGCCAAACGCAAAGTTTGAACAGCTGAGCGAGTCATTTGGCGAAGTGGGATTCAACAAAGACGGGCGCATGATCATTAGCCCTGATTATCCCCGGTCAAGAGTCTTGTCTCTGAAGCTCGCCAACTATGCACTCCTGGCGGGTAGTGTCGCTGCCCTGCCATGAAGTCCCCACCCCGACCAGAATCGAGAGTCATATACCGAGAACGAACATGCTTGCGCGGGGGCAGCTCATGTTTCGGTCTTTTTTCTTCCTTCATATCACGACAACAACGAATATGCAAGCACAGCAACAAGGGATCACGGGGAATGGGCGTTAATGGGAGGTTTCTGCGCCATAGAAAGAGCATCATACCCCTAATCTGGTTTGGGAAATCCTGGGTTCATGATTTTGTCTCGTCGACGGAGTCCGGGTCTGACACATGGATTGTCATAATATGGAGTCTGGGCGGAAGGGGGGCAAGCATTGGCAGTTCTGTTTCTTCGAGGCATATTTCCGTCTTTGGCTCCCGCATTTCGGAGGGTTTTCTTTCCTGTCCGCTTGTCCTCCAGTCATACATGGCCATCAAAATGGTTTCGTTTTCGCGTGGTTGATGTCTTTTTCTGTCTTGCCGGTCTGTGCATGTTGTAGAGATTCTTAGTGCGTCCAAAAGTCTGTTTAGCACTCATACATATCTGCTCAAATCTATCAACAGTGTCCCAAAAGCTGCAGTACATGAGAAGGAAGTTGGCTTCGTTTATGTGAAGGTGGGTTGACGAGCAGCCCCAGACGGAACTTTGTTGTGTACCCACTCCACGCTTGTTATGATTATGATTGTAGCGAATTTGGGCAGACGAAATATATAGTAGGTTCTTTTGTGAATCTCATCTTTTGATCTTCGCCGGTTGATATCTTCATAGTTGGGTCTGCGACCTTAATAGGGCATCCTATCTTTCATTGGCATTATAAGAGGCCCTGGTTTGAGCCCATTATTTAGAATAGTTCTACTATTATTTAAATTAGGCGCTGAACGTTTTCTTGAGAACTTGTACGGGGTCAAGTAGTAGTATTGCTGCTATAAGAATCGCCATAATAGAAGGGTTTAAATTGCTAAAGCCCCTTTAGAGCACACGGCGATAGTCTACATACCTGGTTCACGTAATTCCAAAGCGCATGCTTGCAATCACATTTCCACCTCTGCAGATGGAGGAGGCATGTGGGACTCCTCCTCCCTCATGTTCTTCCAGGCCCCTTTGGGAAAGTGACAACCTTCGTTATCGCACCAAAGTATGTGCTTCAGCTCCGCGGGTTTCGCAAAGGGACGGAGCTTCATGATCGACCGTAAACCCCAACCGTAACCCATTGAACACCACGATGTGAGGTAGGTCTCGCTCCCAACCTCCCTTAGGCTTCTCTCCCAAGCGTACGCCCTGCCGCAGGCCTTGCAGGCGATTTCCCCCATCCAAACGCCCTCCTGCTGCCACGGAAGCATACCGTCCAGTATGCAGTTCGGGCCCGGGGCGAAGGACAGGTGGGGGCACAGTATGTCGTCGTGCTCGTCGCCGGTTTGGTGGTTGAGCTCCGCCTGCGATAACCGCTCGTTGGCGATCTTGCCGTCTTGGATCCTGGACAGAGGGATTCTCCATTTGTACTCGAGTTCCCGCCCTGCGAAGCGCAGGCCGGGACATTGTACGTCCTCGGTGTCGGGTCCGAAGCACTCTTCGCAGGTCAAGAAGCTCGCGAACCGCTCCTCGGGCTTCTGCGGAAAGCGATTAGATATGTGACGATCCACTGCCTTCCGCATACTGGCGAAAGTGGTATGCTTGTGCTTGCACAGACGAGCCTGGCCATGAGGAACGGGGCAGTAGCGTCCGGTCGGGTAACATTTGTAAGCCGAGTCCCAGAACGACCAGTAGTTGAAGGCTTCTTGTGGCTCGGGTTCCAGAGACGATAACGTTTCCCGATACCTTTTTTTTGCACTCGTAACACCACACACAGGTATCTACGACGCTATGCACGAGCCGCTCGAAGTCCAGGCCGTCTCTGACGGACCGGCAGGGCTCGCAGAGCTTCTGGCGGTCGAGCAGCGAGATGATTTGGTTGGCGGCGGCGTGCCTGGTGTGGTGGTCGGAAGGGAACTCGAAGTCGCAATCGGCAAGCAGGTCGAAGACCTTACGCGGTAGCTTCTTGACGTTGCCACGTTTCTTCTTTCTTCACATTGGGTAGGGCGGTGGTCGAGCTTATGAGATGTGCCGTGTGGAATAGGACGATCTTTCCGCCATACCAGCGCAGGTGGCGTGGCCTGGACCTGTCGTGTTTCTCTGTGCTCCTCCACTGGTCGAATTGCCTGTCCCCGAAGAGCCGGGCGAATTTGGACGAGACCTGGCGGATGAAGTAGAGACCGGGCACGTCGAGGAAGGACATGATTTCGAGGAGGAGCTCCTCTGGAAGGCGTTGGAGTGTCATGTTGATCTTGGGGATCTTCTAATCGGTAAGTTCCTTGGATCAACCTTTAAAGCTGGGAGAGCAGATACCACGTTTTATATGTGGTCAAGCCCTTCAGGAGATATATGTTGCGGCTCTTCTGAAGACGTTAAGGTTGGTTGATGCTGGTAGTATCGCCGAAGAGGTATCGGTAAAAGTTTGGCTTCACCGTTAAGGTGCGTCACAACACAAATTATTGAAACAGCCTCAATAGACATTATCTCCTTCGATTTGGAAAGTAAGAGTAAGCACGGTAGCTCAGTGGCAGAGCGATGGAACTTAACCCATAGGTTCCTGTATCGAAACCAAGCCGTGCTCTGTTATGTTTCCTCCCCTTTGCCTTTCACTTTCCTGCCCATGTAAACTGCTATATTTGACTCAAAATACGCTATAAAATCTGAGCCGTGCTCAAGACATAAGGGTCAATACGGATAGTCAGGATATTCCTTTTCTGTCCTCTTCTACCCCCGTCTGCCCCCTTGACGAGGGGGATACTCCCTGAAGGAATCTGTTGATACCAGGGGCGAACTACAGAGGGAACTAATAAGTGAATTCTTTCGGAGTATCAAAAATTGGAATGTGAGACACATATCAATCAACTTGGTGATCGCGAGGCGCTTTCCTTCTAACTCAAGTTATGCTTGGATTCAAGTCGTCCTCGAACAGGATAAATTTGTTCATTCAATCTTAGCCAAGCTCAAACACGTTGTACTCAAAAGGACTAACTTAAGCAGTCCAGTGCTGGTCGCAAGTTGGCCTGAATCTACGAGCACGTAGTGGCTCCTATGACTTACAATATACACATCGGGTATGTCTGAGCTAATGCTCTCTACTACCCCGAAAACACAGATTGTGTAATAAAAGCTCAAGAAGTCTCCTTCAGCGAAAGACTGAAACTCTGATTGGACAAACTCGATGTTGATTACAAAGACAGCAGCAACATCGCGGTCCGAAAACGCCGGCTCGCTCTTCGTCGGACCTGTTCGACTCATGCCAAGCTGCCAACGACTGTCACGAAACACCCAGAAGTCGAACGACCAACCGGACGTCCGCAAGCCACCGGGAAGGTTTTAATAATGCTGCGAGGGTACATCGGTGAGTCGGCACTTTGGAGGAGATGGTAAGTGGTGGTGGTGGTGGGCTACCTACCCCTCATTTCGATGGTGAAAAGGCAACCGCACTCTCCAAAATCCTAATGAAGATCGTTGAAACGTCGAGAGACGGGACGAACGAATAGGAATGGTCGGAGTCGAACCTTACCCCGGGTTATGGCAGCGAAGGGAATCACGGGGTCCTAGCTTGGGTTGCTGGGCTGGGAGGAACATAAGAACCGTCTTCCCCTCTTTCCTTACCTCTTGTGGTCGGGCAAGATCATTTGTCTGGTAGACGGCGTCTTCGATGAATTAGTGTAAAAACTACGTGTAAATAACCAAAACAAACATATCACCCGTGGATTTCATTCAACATGGCGCCCGGAGACAAGGCTAAGGCGAAGTTCTTCGCCATCATCGAAGACCCGAAGCGATACGACACGACTTGTATGTTAACCCCAAGAACTCAAGATAACACATGGACACTAACGGAACCATTCCAGGCTACAAGAACAGGCCCATGGCGACTCGAACCCCGTCCGGGGGTTCCGACTTGACGAACGTCGTCAGTCGCCGAGAGAGTACGAGCAGTACGGGCTCGAATAACCAGCGGACCGGCGTTAGAAACATGCTCAAGAACTGGATGAATCGTCCGGCATACTGAATCGGCGTTTACATGGGGACAAAGTCGATGAATACCTATCTCGAGGGCCCTCAAACCATGGACATGACATGGAGTATGGAAAGCAGAATGCCAATTAGCGAAAGTGAATGAGATTTCAAGTAAAGCATACTTTCGTCTCGTGAAGAAACTCCACATGACTATGTACTGATTACGATAGACGAGGGGTTGATGATGGAGTCATCAATAACATGAGCTTTCACTTTCTTGTGTCATGTTCCCATGTTCCAAGGCAAAGTATGATGACGAGGGGGATTGGTATTGGGCTTCTCGCGCCGAAAGCTCACTGACAACAGTTGTTTTCTCCGTTGAATGGTAAAGGTAATTGATGTCAACTACGTCTTCCTGGCGTGGGATAGACAAGCTCATCCAAAAGCCCGGATGTTGATACGTCGTCAAGCCTCACCAGGCAGCCAACACCATGTGGCTGCCTGGAACCGGTGCTAGCGCGGAACAAGTATGTCAGACAATACTCGCGTAAGCCTGTCAAACATATAAAAACTAAAACAAACATACTTCTCCAAGTCAGGCAAACCTCATTTGAGAACCTCCATCTCAAAATGCATCTTCCTCAAACCATCATCCCGCCGTCAACAACGCACACCCACACCGTAATCTTCCTCCACGGCCGCGGCGACAACGCTCACACCTTCTCGCAATCCCTCCAATACTCCACGGACTCCCGCGACAGAACCCTCGCGGACGCCTTCCCGTCCTTCCGCTGGGTCTTCCCGCAGGCCGAGACGAGCGCGCCCGCCGCGTTCCCGCGGGACAAGGTCCCGCAGTGGTTCGACGTCTGGAACGTGTCCGACTTCTCAGACCGGGAAGAGCTGCAGGCCGCGGGCCTCAGAGAAAGCGTCTCCGCCGTCCGGGAGATCATCGTCGCGGAGGCGGAGATGCTGGGCGGGCGGTATGACCGCGTCGTCCTGGCCGGGATCAGCCAGGGCGCCGCGACCGGCGTGCATACGATTCTCAAGTTGGGACTGCCGGACGGCCGGGAGAGGATCGGGGCTTTTATGGGGTTCTCCTGCCGGATGCCGTTTCCCGGGAGGACTCTAAAAGATACTCGCGCGGTACTGGGGCTCGGGGACGTCCCGGAGGATGACGGGCTGCTTCGGCGGACGCCGATGTTGCTGGAGCACTGCGTTGACGATCCGCTGGTCTTAGTTGGCAACGGGCGTGTGTTTTGAGAGATACGCTTCGGGGGTTTGGGGCAGAGGTGGAATGGAAGGAGTATCAGAATGGAGGGCATTGGTTTAACTCTCCGAAGGGCATGGATGATGTCGTTGAGTTTTTGAACGGGCTGGGGTTCGGTGCAGGTTCGATATTGCAGAAGGATGGGGCCGCTGATGATGCGATGGATTTGTCTTGAAAGTCGTCTTACAAGCTGTATAATGAGAGATCAATACCCATATACAGAGAGACCGGCGTATTTGCTTGATAGACTAAGCCGACAGTGCTTAACCTACATGTAAAGGGCAGCAGAACCGTATCAACTCGAAGATCGACTAGTAGTCAAATATTCTGGATCCCAAGTACGAAGATGTCACTCATTTAACTCATTCAATAAACCCATGGTCTGCGCTGAATATCTGGGACGTCTTACGATAAGCCATGGCAAGCAGGAACTGATGTTATCAGTGAGAAGACATCAAGCTCTAAGATCACATCGCCAAGCTTCCTTCCTCTTCAAACCATTACCCTGGAGAAAATAAAATAGCAGCATAACAACAGAGTACCTAAAGAAACCCTCAATGAACCAAAAAGGAGTTCATCAGGCTCGGTTCCAGTGCTCCCTCAACCGCCCGCCAACTAACCCAACCAAACTCCCACAACCAACCCAAAAACCACCCACCAACAGCGCAATCACCCAAACACCAAAAACCAACTCTTCACACCTCAAAAACTAAAAACCAAAAGAGTTCAATCACAAAAACGCCAAAAAGACCGCCAAAATCCGCAGCGCCAACCCAGCCGAGCACACAAGGACCCACGCCCACACTCCTTGAGCTCCAATTTCGAAGCCGGTTCTCAGCGCCTTGTTGGCTAAGTGGTATAGCGCCTCACTAGTAATGAGGAGATCGGGTGTTCGATTCACCCACGAGGCAACATGTCATCTGTCTTCCCTTTTGCCTCATACTCGAATTTCACCTCCACTCATTCATTTTTGATTGAGACATCGTCGTTTTGGTCCTCCGTGACTTCTCCCAAGCCGCGACCTCGATCCCGGAACCCCTATCAAGCCCAGGTCCCAGGGTTCATTCACAGCCTCAAAACCTCCGACGACCCGACCGACCCCGGTCCTTCTCCTGTCTCTCAACCCCGTCGACGAGAAATGCGCGCCCGGGGTCCAGACCGGGTCCGTCATCTTCCTGTACCACGTGGTGTTTCTATTCAAAGGGCGCGGAAAGGGGGTTCCGTCCCGGTGGATCTTGTCTCTCATTGATATCCACCCGTCAGTGAGGCTGTTGAGAGCGACGACCTCGGTCGAGAAGCAATGGCACCCGGTATGACCTCCCGATCGCGGTGAGTGACGGGCCTGATTGTTTCTGCTTGCGAGCTGCAAGAAGGTAGTCCAGATAGACCACGGTGTTAGTCGCAGTCGGAGCTCCACGCCGTCAACTGTTTGTATGTTAGCCGCCCCGAATTTCATCACCTCAATCGACGCCATAGAAATAGATCTTAACCAGCTTCACTGGTGGTCTTATTGACTCGAATCGATATATTATCCATCGGCTCGTCATCATCTGCAATCCTCTCGACCGCCCCTTTGCCATTCGTCTATGTTTTCCTGCGCCTCTGCAACAAAATCGTTTGCAGAGCTCAACACTTCCTCCAAACCAAGCGCTGCCGAAAAAAAGGGGGCGCCTCTTTTTGATATCAATCCCGTTTCGGCCCGCCCAATTGTATGTTCCGTTTCTTTATATGTAAAGTTGCTTTGGGGTATCTGTTGGTACACAAAAACAGTGCGACAAAGGAAAACCGGTGTGTTTTGCAGAAAAATGATGAGCAATTCGCAGGCTCTCCTGGGGGGAGATACAATGCTTCGCCGATGATGTCGTCCCTTTCGTATCTTTCCTCGAAAGGTCCGTAAAAAACAAATGAGAAAACGCCGTGGTTCCGACTAATCCTGCCTCCCGTGCTGATGCAATGTTTGAGTTGGTTTTGTTAAGGAAAATTTTGTCAGAGAGTGGTGATGTTGTGCGATGCCGCCGCAACGTCCAGGCCGCGACGGGAGATCCGGTCTGCTGAAAGAATTATGTCATGAAAGTAGTGTTGGTTGAATGTTATCCGCCGTCGGCGCTGTCCCCGCGTAACTCGATTCCACTATCGCGGTCTTGCGGCTCTTTGCTCCATAACGGCGGCGTGAGACTCTTCGGGGAGTCCAAGGGGCTGCTCGGTGCTGATGATGCGTCGTCCTTGCGCCCTTCCTCCTCGTTGTCTTCTCGTAGGTAAAGCGGCTGGAGCACCCGAGGAGGCAACTCGACGTCCATGGGTCGGATACTGTATTCAAGGGCCTTCTTACCCTCCTTGATGAGTTCCTCGCTCCAGTTCAGGCATCTCTTGATGCTCTGGTTGATTTTCTGACTGTCGACCAGCAACTCCCTGTGCTTGGTGAGATCCAGCTGAAGTCGCTTTTCGTCTCGCTCCCTCCGGCGGGCGTCGCGGTCAGGGTCAGCATCAGGGCTTTCCGCGGAATCCGTCTCCGAAAGCTCGGAAGACTCAAACATGGAATCGTCCAGATTTTCTAAGCCACCTTCTGCCTCGTCTTCCTCGCTGAGATCAGAAAGATCCAGGTTCTCAATTCCTAGGCCACCAGTAGCTGACTCGGACGGTACCCGACTGGGCGGTGCCTCGGGAACTGACAGGCGACCAGACCTCGATAGCCTCTTGTACCGCCTCAGTTCCGCCGACTGTTTCTTGAGTTGCCTCTCGAGAGATCTGTTGATGGCCTCCAGGGAGGCGTTCGTAATCTCCAGATCCTGCACCTTACGCTCCCGTCTGGCGTTCACAACCATGTCGTTCAAGGGGTCGCCGTGAGTCGACTTGGTCGGGCTGTGAAGTTCCTCCAGATCCTTGGACTCGTCCTCCTCCTCCGACTCGGACTCACTCAACTCGTCCGCGGCCTGCAATATCGAAGCTATCGTGATCGGCTGATTGGGGAAGAAACTGGACATCGTCGGGGATGGCATCTCGGAGGGCGTCGGCGATTGAGAGGCCATAAATCTTGACATGATCATAGCGTCTGTGGATGCAGCATCCGAGCCCATTTGACTGGGTGGCCTGCTGCCCACATGGCTGGCTACCTGGGAGACGGCATCGACGCTGACCTTGCGCTTGTGTATTGATGGGGCCAGTGGTGGCGGGCTGGTCATCTGGGCTCGGGGGTTAGGTTGGCTGTTGCTCTTGACCAACGGGGCAGACGTCGGAGGTTGCGCGGGCCTATTGGGAGACATGGGTCGTTGTGCCATGGAGAGAGCACTCGCAGATCCGGCCGAGAGTCTAGCTGGCTTTCTCGTTTCCCCAGCGATTGACCCGACGCCCGAAGCCGCGGAGGATGGCCGGAAGCCAGGCGCCAGGTTCGGAGCTCCATTCGCATAGAAGAACTTGCTCTGCGGCGGCTCTGCAGTCGACCCAAGCTGCGGGGATTGCGATGGTGTCGTCGACGGAGTAAGGGACGGCGCCAGCATCGGAGTGAAGCCCAAGCCGGGCGACGTGGGACGATTCCTTTCTACGGCACTGCCATTGGCGTACATGAAGGTCGAACCTCGCTGCGGGGCGGCGAGGGCCGGTGGTTTTGTTTTGGGTTTTGGCTGCGGCGCAGGCGCAGGCGCCGAGCTCTTTGCGTCGGAGGCATAGAAGAACTTTGAGTCGGCAGCATCGTGGCGGCCGTTGATGGTGGAGGGCGCTGGGCTGAAAGTGACGACTTGGCGCCTGACGGGCTCGGTCTGGAAAGTGGGCTGGTGATCCCAATCGGAATTTCGGTCAGGGTTCGGTGTGCCGTTGGGGGTGCTGTTGTTGCTGTCGACACGGCTCTGGCGACTTCCTGAGCGTGGCGTGATGTTATTTTTGCTGCCGAGCATAGGTGCCGCACTCGTGACATCGTCCCTTGCTCCTCCAGCATTTGCGTGTAGTGTCGGGTTGTGGGTGTTGTTATTTGGGCGGCGGCCCGAGGGGGTGACGGCGGGGGACGGTTTCGCAGCGACTTTCGGAGTCAGAGGAGCTCGACTGATTCCCTTTGCGGTGAGGGAGGGCATTCCCGGCTGGCGGGAGGTTGTGCTGCCCCCTTTATCGTAGGGGGGCATCGTGGGCGTGGAGGATGCGGAGGCGGAGGCGGAAGAGGAAGCGGGTGTGGATGAGGTGGGTGACGGTGTTGGCGATGGCTTCGCTCGCGCGGCGGGTGCAGGGCGAGAGGGGTTCAGGACATTTTGGTCTCGATTGCGGAGAGGGGTGCGCAAGTCGGGGGACAGGGCGGGCTGCAGTCGCCGCGAGGATGAAGAGCGGGTAGTTGTCGTGGTGGTATTCGCAGCCGTAGTGGGAGATGGCGGTGGGTTGGAGGATGTTGTTTCTGGGTTGGCGGTGTTGGAAGTGGTGTTGGAAGTGGTGGTTGCAGCAGCAGTGGAGGAGGAGGAGGATGTTTTGGTTGCACCGGAGCCAATTGTGGTGGTGGTAGCTGTGATGCGTCGGGGCCCCGTTGCAGGAGCGGATGAGGTTGGTGGGCCAGTGGCAGCGGCAGCGGCAGCGGCAGCTGTAGCTGTAGCGGTAGCGGTTACAGCGACTGTCTTTTTCTGAACGGTGCCGGTGCCGGTGCCGGTGTTGGTGTTGGCGCTGGTGTTCTGAGTCCTCGTGGTCCTCGCCTTGGTGGGCGTGCTAGCGGGATTATTATTTGTGGTTCGGGCTCGCAGTTGGGCGACCGTGGGTTTGCGATTCGCGGCGGGCGAATCTGGACGTAACGGCGAGCCTGCTTTATTATTACTCGTACGGGTCGATAATGACGATGCCGCTCTCCCTGCTAAAGGCGAAGGAGTTGGTGTTGTAGCGGGGTTGCGATGAGTGGCGGGCGAAAGCGACGATGGCCTGATGTTCTTGTTGAACCGGGACGAGTCGGGCTTCCTCTGGTGGCCCTGCTGGAGGTCTTCAGAGGGCGTCGAAAGATTGTTGCAGCCAGGCGGCGTGTTGGCCGAGGTGAGAGACCGCATGTTTTCTTTGGTGGTGGTGCTGGTAGTGGTGGTGCACCTTCAGCACTAAGGTGGTGAAAAAGGTATTAGGGTGGTGGAGGTACGTGGTGAGACCCTCCAGGCTCCTTTTTTCCGCCTCAAGTCGGCTTCTTACTGGCCACCATGGCCGGGTAACCACATTGGACGAACCTGGGCGTCCCCTGGAGCCCTGGACGGTTCCCAGGGCAAAAAAAGGAACCCGAACGAGAAGTGCCTGCAGTGAGATTTGAAGAAACAGGGCGGAAACAGGGATGCCACCGACTGTCCACGGGCCAATTTACCGGTGACGGTGGGTTCCCCTTGGGAATGGAGGGGGTCCCTCGGGAGTGAGATGGGGGGTTTGTGATGCCTGTAATTCCGCTTGAGGCAGTTGACGATGTCGCTTCAAGGTTGTCCGTCAGGTGTGCTCGTGTCGACGTCGGTGAGGCAAAAGGCGGTGATGGCCGCGACGATCGATGGCCTCCGAGTCTCGATTCCGAATAGGAGAAAGGTGCGGTGGAACGAGGCGTGTGTGTGAAGATGTTGGCTGCGTTGTCTCGGAAAAAATAAAACAAAAGTCGTTGACTCGACACGAAACGTTCCCCGACTGAAACACGCAAATGTCATCAACGGGAGTACTCGAACAGACGTGTAAAGACGTTCCTCGATTGCCGAAAAGGGGATGTGTGAGTGTGAGGGTGCCAGTGTGTGTGTGACGAAGGAGAAAAAAAAGAGTAGGAGGCGGCGGCTTGAGACACAGATGAAGAATGACTATCAGTAGCTCGCACTACTCACGATGCAGCGAAAGAGGGGAAGGAGAGGGAAGACGGACATGGGAAAGATGCAACAAGAATGCAATATGACATCTTATTCCCCTTCACAACAGCCACAACTCTTCCATGGTCCCGGATTCATTGGACCTCCCGTTGTGTTTTCCTTCCTCGAGGCCCGTTGGATCCCTTCATCTCGATTGGCATTTGTTTATTCATGCGTCGCACCTGCACAACCCACTCCGCTTGGGACCCAATCCCGGATCTCTCCTCTGACACAGGTGACATTTTTGTCTTGTGTTGTGGTTTTTTATTCTTGGTGTCAGGGCCTTGGTAAACAGGCTGAACACATGCACTCACTGGTGGATATCCATCTGTACGGACAACACGAACCCGGCCAGCGGGCCATCCAGGCCAGACAAGGCAAGCGGAAAGGATTGGGCGGTGACATCTCATCTCATCAGTCTCAAGTCTCAGTGTGGACTTGTTCGATGATCCTTTCTTTTTTTATTTTTATTTTTAATTCTCGCTGGCATTGGAGAAATCTCGTTTGTTATTTTTCTCCGTGGTCCCGGGGTCCTGGCCCAGTGCTGGCCCAGTGCCGCCTGGTTGCCCGGCTCGTCCAGCTTAGCGCGCTCTCGGTACGTACCGATACCTCCTTAGCGCGTCATTCCGCCGTCCGAACCCCGCCAGAGCAGGAGGTCCCATGCCCCCCTGTCGCTCAGCAGCCGCCTTGAAGGATACGTACCGTCTGTTGTCGCCAGCTGACCACTCAGGGTCCTCGGAGAGCAGCAATCTGACCTTCTGGAAGCTGACAAAGAATCCCATCTTCGTCGCAGCGCAGCATCTCCAAATCTTCGACCACGACAAACAACGACAACCTCACCTCAACCCACGTAGCTAACCGACCAAACCCCATCATCTCCGTCGCGGCCCCCCAAACGGCCCATCAAAGGTCGGCAAAAATGGGCTACGTCGGCGTCTCCCTCATCATCGCCTCCGTCGTCTGGGTCATCGTCGCCCCTCCGCCATGGATACACCCCTTCATGCCGCCCTTCCTCCTCTCCTGGCACAACGCCCTACCGCCGCCGCCGCCGCAAGATGAGACGAAAGGTCGCGCATCCGCGCCCGAGCGACCGCCGTCTCCCAACGACGAGAAGCGCAACGCCGCCCCTGCCCCGCCGCCGCCCTCCATCAACTTCCCCGAAGAACCCGCGACCGCACCCTCAAAGACGAAAGACGCCCTCGCCATGCCCCCTCCCCCCACCATCCGCCGCCCGAGCCCGGCCCCCGCGCCGCCGACGATAGCTGAACCGGAAGAGGAGGAACAGACGACCCCAAAGGCGAAGCCCTCCACGCCGGCGATCGCCGTGCCCTCGTTCTCCCTCGAGCCTCCCAACAACCTCTCCACGGGCGCAACGAACCCGATCCCGGGCCGAGGAAGCATGCCTCCTCCCCCGGCACCAAGCACCACCACCTCCAACAGTATGATGCCGCCGCCGCCGCCATCGGCACCCCGCGGCCCAGTGCCCCCTCGCCTGGCCGCCTTTCCAGCGATGAACTCCCCCCAGCGCGCCCGCCCAGTCCCCAACCGCGGCCCCGCCTCGAGCTCATCCTCCTCGCTGGCGCCTCCCCCGACGCACTCCGTCAAACCGTCCAAGCCGAGCCGGAAGGTGATACTCACGCCGGGCCACTCTCCGCTCGACTGGGCGCGCATCTCGGGCCCCAACGCGGACCTGCGCAACCTGCCGCCGTCTACGCCGTATCTCAAGGTCACGCCGTCGATGCTGAAGAAGATGACCGGTCGCAAGGGAAAGGATGCGTGGATGGCGTTGGGCGGCAGGGTATATAACATCACGCCGTACCTGCCGTATCACCCGGCCGGCGAGCCTGAATTACTTCGTGGCGCGGGGCGGGACGGGACAAAGTTGTTCGGCGAGATTCATCCCTGGGTCAACTACGAGACCATGCTTTCGGCGTGTCTTGTTGGGTTGTTGGTGGATGAGGAAGAAGTCGTAAAGCCTAGCGCCATGGACGAGATGGATTGAGTGTTGAGGCAACGCATCAGAAGCGGACACAAATTGGTGGGAAAAAAGGTATATTCGCAGGTAGGACCTGCATGCAAATACAGATAGAGAGATACCCCATAATAGACGCTACGCCCACAGCGAATGCAGTTATGCAAATTACTACTCTTTCGTCCCTTGCGCCGAACACCTCGCTCGCCAACTAAATCGGAACTGAAGACCGTCATTTCTTCAACGTCTCCGACCAAACCGGAACTGGAGCTCATCGTCGCTATCGTCGTCACTATCGGCAACCTCCACTGCTTTCCGCGTCGACCGGGTCTTCTTCGCCGGAGGTTCTGAAACAGGCGGCGGCGCTGCCCTCTTTCCCCGGGTCGATCTCTGAGTCTGGCTTTGGCTAGTAGCCTGTGACTGTGTCGTCGCCGCGCGGGAGGCCCTTCCTCGAGGCGCTGGAGCCGGGGCTGGCGCTGGCGTCGATTCCGGTGCGGGCTCGGCATCCGGCATGGCAGACTCCTCCTCGCTGTCGTCACTCAGAACAATCCGCTGTTGCCGAGAGGGGGCTGGAGGCGCAGGCGCAACAGGCTCACTGCGATTAGTCCCGCTCTTTTGGCCGTCACTGCCCTTCTTCTTGCGCTGGCTGTCCTCCTCGAGCCAGTGATCGTCACCAATGCCGAAGTCCTTCTTCTTGACCTCCACCAGAGACACGATGACCTTCTGCGGCTGACGGCCTGTAAGTTCCCCGCGAGCTCTGAAGCGCTTGAAGTTCTTGCGTCCGTTCCAACGAGGATCCCAGCGGCCATTTTCGGCGTCTTGTTCATGGTTTCTATCGGTCGACGGTTGACGAAGAGGCATCTCCTCCACGATATGTAGGCGACGAATCTCGCTGAGATCAATGTCGTCGGGAAGATTAGCGAGGTCTTCCTTCTCGGCCTTGGCACGGGCCTCCATCTCCTCGCGTCGTTGACGGGCAACGTCGAGAACGTCAATCTCCTTCTTTGCCTTCTTGGTCTTTGCTGGAGCCTTCGGTTCAGGCGCCTTCTCAGGCTCGGGTTCCTTTTGACGAGGGATCGGGTCTTCTCCGGCTGCGACCCTACGCCGCTTCGCTGCGGCCGCCGTTGGGATCATGTCATCCACTAGATTGTCATCTTGCGGTGCAGGCCTCTTCCTTTGTGATCTTCTCGTTGTCGCTTCCGGCGACGATTCCGGGATCTCATCTGGTGGACCCGCGTCTTGCGATACAAACAGTCCTTCCTCTGGTTCAGCATCCACAGGAATCCTCTCAGTCACAGCAGGCGTGGCGGCCTCTTCATCGTTATCGTCGTCAGCGTCGAAACCGGCGAATCGTCTTGTCGCAGCTCTTCGTACGCGCGTCGTTCTGAGAGAAAGTCCAGAGGGCGCGGATTCCTGAGGAGTGTTTTGTGAAGCCGCAGGTTGGTCAATCTCCATGGAGTCAGTGCTTGCCTGCGGTCGAGGCGGCGAGCTGCGGGGCCCTTGTGTAGGGTCGAACTCGAGAGGTCGACGTAGGATGCTTGCATCCTTGATGAGGATGGCCTCTAAGAACTCGTTCTGCTCGATAGGGCGATGATCCAGACGGATTGAGACTTGCGTGAAGAAATCGGCATACCACGACTCAGAGACGTGTTTGCTCGGGGTGTAGCGGACAACCACTACGCCACGTCCTTCGCTACCGTCCTCGAAGGACCCCAGTCCTTTCTCGCCTGCTACTGTCTTGACGTGGAGAATGAATTCATCGACAGTCGTCACGTTCGGATCTACCTTGGTATAAAGCGCCTTGCCCTTGCCGTTGGCGATTGGCGCGCGTAGGTTGTCGAACTGACCCTTGTCGTAGAAGATAAATGTGTAACCCTCGAAAACATTATGGCGGCTTTCGTCTGGCTCGTATACCGATGATGGATGCTCCACAGGCTCGCCACCTCGAGGTGGCAAGTATTTCAGAGCGTCTGGCCAGTGCCCATCAAAGTCGTTTTCCAGCGCAGACGTATCGGTCGGGTCCGCCGCGGCCGCAACCACGAATTCATTGACGAATGAGTCCGTAACGATGTACTTCCCATTAATAAGCGCCTGAAGGCCTTTGGATGTATTCCGCTTCTTTACTACCACGTGGGTCGTGTGTTGAATGTTGTACTCGGGTATCAGCTTGACATCGAGCTGTTCGAGATCGGGACGGAGTCGGGCAAACGGGTCGGCCTGCAATTCCTTGCTTGAGGAGCTGAACGTCAGCACCACCGGGTGCCACGTCAGACTAGCACACGATCAGCAACAGTCAACATCTCCCGCTTGGCGTCTCCCCGTACCGAAACAGTTGCGGGCATCCTCCGACTTTGATCTCCGCGGCGGCTTCGGTAACCACATGCTTCTCGCCCTTGTACTTGTGTCCGTCGACGGTCGTGCCGGTCTTCGTGTTCAGGTCCTCAATCGTCACCGTCGACCGAGTCGACAGGTCTTGCTGCACATCATGTAAGCAGAAACTCTTGTTCTTGATGCATCGAAACGTACGCTGCCGCCGTCGGGGACTGTGTCGACTTGTATGGTAAGGTGTTTGCGCGAGATGGTCTTGTGGGCGATCGCGAGAGTTCCGGCTGCAGATGTCAGCAAAACGACTCATCTAAAGAGGCCTCGGATGATTTGCATACGCTCAATGTTCTCGGATGTTCGGCCGAAGAGATACAGCTTTCCGGGACGGAGCCAGAGTCGCCGACCTGCAAGTCAATCGCGTTAGCTTCTTGTCGCATGCAATGCGACGCTGGAAAGCTTCGTTCGTACCCTTAAGGGCGTCTGCCTCGTTCTCCAGAAGCCACATCGCGATGGCGCTTCTCTGATCCACGGAATGGTATGTGCAGATCGTTGCGCAATGTGGGTGCCGCTGCGGCGCGGGGTGTTGGGCGTCGTGACAACAGAATTGGATTGTGTTGCGGGGAGAAGTTGCGCGAAAGATCGCCTGAGTTCGCGTCCCGGAGTTTCGCGGGAAAATGACGCCTGGTCACGTGGCCACTTTTCAGGCAACAGCGCCTCTTCTTTCTCTCGACCAGATCAAATGCCCTGTAATGTTACAAAGGAAAATAAGTATGTGATTGAGTTACAAGAAAATATAATCGGTATAGACGGGCATTGTCATGGAAAACGTCTACTTTGATCGATCCCGGAATAGAACCCAACTGTATCACACGGTCTCTAGCCCACGACGTCAGTGTGAAGAAAGATCAAGAATTGATGACTATGAATGAATATTTCGTATTTGCATCGCATATTTTGCTTTCCTATCTTTTAGCCTTCTCAATCGGAGCAGCTCTAGTTGCCTCATCCCCATCTCCAACAATGACACCCAGTATCCAGCAGTTGACCAGGAAGAATCCCACAGAAGAGGCATAAAGTCCTGGGAAGAAGGTACTGTATCCAAGAAACTCAAGTTGAAAGCCCTGCTGCAGCCATGCCGCTTGCGACACAACCCAAAGAACAAGTGCGGTGACTCCCAACTTCGGGCTCTTCAGAAACGAGGAGTTGGGCAGGTAGATGGGGAGGAAGACCATGTACCAGAGGAAGTACTGGCTCGTGCAGACCTTGTTGAAGGTGACGAATGCAAAAGTCTGGGCCATCATCGAGGCTGCAAGGTCCTTCTTTGCCATGATGAGAGGAATGAGTACTGTCGAGAGCAGAATCTGGGGAAAGAAAGCCACGGATTCAATCTTGATGCTGGCCGTCGACGGGAATGCAGAATTAAGATAGAGAAGGATGTTGTAAGGGCTAAAGTTGTGCCTGTGATCGATCCTAGTGACATGGTGGAAGTAGGTGTGCACCAGGAAAGGCGTGCCGTAGCTGAAATCGTTAGCGACATGAAGAAAAGACATATTGGGAGAGCTTACATCGAGAACATGGCGATGTTGAGACCCATGAACGTCGCGAGACTGACAACGGCCAGCTTGATTCTCTCCGGATTCAAAAAGTTGACGATGATCTGCGCCGGACTACTTCCCTCGCTCGCCCCTTTCCGTCCCAGTGCCGCATCATCCATCCACCAAACGATTGCTGGTGCATAGATGAAGGGGTAGATCTTGAAGTGAACTCCAAAGCCAAGAATCAGCCCGGCAAGCGTCGTTCGCCTCTCCAATACTGCCCACAGGAGCGCCATGACCATCACACCAAGCAGTCCTTCGGAACTGCCACGGGTGCTGATGGTTGCAACCATGGGGTTGAGTAGCCAGATACTGGCATACTTCAAAGCGCGCCCTTCATCGATACCTCGACTTCTCAAGATGCGCACGATGAGCCATCCTGCCAAAAGGTCCGCGACGGCGAAGGTGGCCTTTCCGAACGAGAACCAACCCTCCCAGGCGGTGGGAACGAGCATCCACGCCAACAGGGGCGTGTAACGGTAAGTTTCACGGTCGTAAGGTGAGCGTCCTTGGGCAGTGAAGCGAGCGGCATCCGTGAAGACCAGATAGTCGATGTCGGTGTACTTGACTGCGGAGTTGGCGTCTTGCCATAGTCCATAGAAGAGCATGCCTACTCGGAGGAGCGCGGCGGCCCCGAAGAGCGGCACGGGCCGAAAGAGAGCGTCGAGGCCAGCCATGTCGGGTCCTTGCGGAGGACTATCTTCAAGCCCCGGTGTGAGTTGAATTGTGCCAGTCCAAGACTATTGCCATCGAATCTCAACCGATTCAAATTCGCAGCCGGATTGGAATTCGTCGTCGTTTTATTACAAGATCAAGAGGTCGCGAATTCCCAAGTCGGGAAATTTGAGTGACGTGGGCAAAACCGGCAAGCCCCTGGCGGAGGCGGTCTCAGCGCCCCACACCCTCCTGCAGGGCCCACATCTGGGGCGTTTCGCCAATCATTGAACCCCACCATCAATTCTGACCCTGCACCAGCATCACCGACTTCACCGCGGGGCACTTCGACCATCCCTCACTTGTACCACCGGCGCTACTTCCTTGCTCACAGTCGCTGCAACGAACTTACGAGATGTCTAAGCGCGATCGTGACGGCAACATGCGGACTCATGAGGCCAAGCAGAAGCCTGCTGCGCCCGTGACGCAGTTCACGCCCATGTTCTCAAAGTTCCGCGATGAGCTGGACGAGCACCACGATCGCAGGGAGCGCATTATCAAGGCGTCGAGAGACGTCACTGCCTTGAGCAAGAAGATGTAGAGATTTCCCATCTCCAATCACACATAGAAATTGGCTAACAATTGAGCAGAATTTTCACTTGTCAGAGGTGATATCCACCCTTGTCAATCAATTCCCGGAAGTGCAGCTACTGACCCTCAGTAGAGTCAACAAGCTGGGAGAGCTCCCTAACTTCGCGACGAAGGAGATCACCACACGCATGGAGGAGATCAAAAACCACCTCACCGCCATCGAGGGCGATATTCAAGGCATCAATCGCTACCGCTACGCTTACTCTCTCCGCTGTCTCGAGGAGCTCGTCGAGGCTCTTTCATTCTCGCACTACCTGCGGACCCAGACCCTGATCAGTCCCGAGGAAACCGCGGCTGCGGTGCCCGCCAACGTCTCGTTGACAGAGAACGACTACATGTACGGTCTCTTCGACCTGTTCGGCGAGATGATGCGCTTCGCCACCGTCACCACAGCTCAAACAGGCCAGCTGGCCGGCATGGAGGGCCGCAACATCCTGATGGATATCCACGAGTTGAGCAGTTGCTTCGAGATTCTGCCAGAGATACCTACCAGAGACTTCAGAGGGAAGATGGAAGTTATGCGGCAGTCGGTGCGCAAGGTGGAGAAGCTGGGCTACGGCTTGGCGATTCGGGGTACGGAGAGACCGAAGGGCTGGGTACCCGACATGAAGGAGGACTTCGATCCGTCTTCATTGGAGTGAGATGGGCAGGGTTGATTGTTGGAACTTGCTGTGGGAAAATCGGTGGCAGTGTATGACGCTGAAGGACGAAGATGTCGCAGTTCGTGGCTGAAAAGCATTGGCGTCGAATATGATGCAGAATCACGCACTTTACAGAGGTTCTAGGCGGCAAATCGAACCATTCTTCTATTGAAAGAAGATACAGAGTGAGTATCTATCTTTTCATTTCTACTTTCCCATCAATGCTTCTGAGTCTCATCCACCTTGCTTTCGTTGTTGTCGCCCAGCGTGATGAGAATCGTCGTCTTGAACTTTCGAGGTGGCACGCCCCGACTCCAAAGCTCATCAATCTCGATGTTGGTGCGATTCTTCGTCTCAGGGATCATGAAAAATATGAAAATGATACAAACTGCCAGCGTCGAGCCAAACACAAACGCTATTTTCCCGCCGAGATTGCCTTGATCGGGATTAATGGCGTATGGCAGACTCAGCGTCCAGATACTACTGGCTAGACCGTTGGTAATCACCGACAAGGCCTGCGTTGATGCTCGCAGCTTACTCGTGGCAGCTTCGGATACGATAGGCCATCCGACAGCGCCGAGGGTTGCTTGATAGACTGCGCCATGGTTAGTCGACATCTTTCCCAAGAGAATGTCTCAGCAACTCACAGAAAGACCAGACCGCCATGAAGACGACTTGGGCCCAGACAGCACCTTGTGTCTTCACAAGCGACGAAGCACCAATGAGGAATAGCGTGACGGTCAGAATGATGGCGCCGTAGAGAGCGGTTCCTCTTCGCCCGAAGTAGTCCACAAAGAACCAGCCGACGATGTTTCCAATAACCATCAGACCAGCTAGGCCGACGGTCGTATCGAAAGATTTGGCGGCACTCATACCGGCCAGCTGGAAATAGTCTAGAAATATGTCAGATCCGTGTACGATGTTCGAGCAAACGTCGGAACTTACAGCTCATGTAACCCACGACCCAGACAGGACCGGACGCGTTCTGGATGAAGAACATGCTAGTCGCGACCAATGTTCTTTTCCAAGCTGCTTGGGAAAAGCACTCGGCGTAAGACCCCTGGGATTCGTTGTCCTGGTTATGGCGAGCAATCGATTCGTGGATCTCTGCCATGTGGCCGTCGTAGTCGTAGGAGGTACCATGGAGCTTCTCCAGGTTCTTCCTCGCCTTCTCAGCGCGGCCATGCGCCACCAACCAGTATGGCGATTCAGGGAAGAAGGGCAGGAAGGCGAGAGCCACCGCCGCAAAACCCCATTGCGTGGCAAAGAGTATCTTGTACGCGCGTGCATCGGCATATTGGCTGGCTTCGCGCATTACAGCGTACCCGATGAGCTGTCCTAGGACGATGGAGAAGTTTGTACCCGCGGCAACGGAGCCACGAATTGCCAGGGGCGCCAACTCGAAAGCGTATGTAGGAGCTGCTGATGTGAAAGCTCCCAGCGGCTGTTGAAGAGACAAATGTTAGTGACAGTCAACGCAGGCAATGCTTGGGATGGACGTACAAGTCCAGTAAGAATCTTTCCCCCAATGAACTGGGTGAGGTTCGTGCAGAAGAACTGCAGAAACGCACCCGCGATTGACAGGACACTTGCTACCAGAATGACCGGCTGGCGACCCCACCGGTTGATAACGAGGCCAGAGACAAATGCACCCAAGGTCATGCCTTTATTCGGTCAGCTACATCACGAATACTGGGACTTTTGTGTGAGGAGCCCTACTAAAGATGGTCGCTGCTTGAAAGCCGAGCTGCCAGTTGGCGTCTACGACCCAATCCCCCTCATACGGCGTGCCGAAGTCTTTACGGAACTCGGTGATCGAAACGACGATGCCGCCTGCTAGACCATCGAAGCCCCAGGTGATGCAGAGGAAGAACATGTAGCAGCCTGAACACTGTTAACAACGACGTCTCCAGTTCGATATGGCATGTTAGTCCAACTTACACCATACGAGTGGCCATTTGTTCTCCTTGATGGACTCTATCTTCGTGAGAGAATGCTGACGTTCCTCGAATCGGGCCGCTAGTGAGGATGTTGCAACAATGGCCGGCGTATCCTCAGTCCCGGACTCGACATGGTCGGCCGTTGCTTCATGCTGCTGTTTGTCGTCAGACATGGTGGACCACAACTAATACGGTTCCGAAGGCTGATTTGCAACGGTTGAGCTCCGAAAACTGCGAAACGTCTGAAGATCGCACAGAATCCCGCGGAACACAACGATGAGCTGCTTGGCTACGGAGGAACACCTTAAATACAAGTACTCAGCGTCCTCAACTTCACAGCCATTGTCTTACGCAGCCTAGAACACGATGCCTGACCGCTAGCATCCCCACACGACCCCAGTTACCCCAGACCGATTACCCCAGACAAATCATACCTGTTTAGGATTCCTGACATCTGGTGACAGCTCAGGAAATACTTATCCGCCATTTCGTCTGAAACTATCAGCGTCACAGTACAAGGGCAGACTCGTTCCTTCGACTCAGTTATCCTCGGTGTTGAACCAATTTCAATATGCCATGGCACGCCAAGCGCGGGGGAGCTCTCAATATGTCCATCCTATGCGGGGTCGATCATTCACCCCTGCCATGAAGAGTCGTCGATATCCCACTCCGATGCATGAAGAACCTCAGCTCGAGGCGCTAATGGAGAAACCGTGGGAGAAGTTCGGCCTCCGAAGCCAATCGCCCGGGTCACGATTTCCACCCCTGCCTTACCCAAGTCGCTTTGGAGGCTGCCCATTCGCAGCTTCATGCTGCGCCGGCTCATATTCGGCTGGTAAGACCAGTTTCACTGACTCGACAGATCACGCGGAGGATCAAGGTCGGTATTGAGAACGGTAGATCGGAAAATGAAACGAGACCCCATGGGGACGGAGTCCGGGGTTTCCCGCCACTTCCCGGACTAAATAGTAGTCAACAGTGACGAACGTCTCTGGTTTGTGTTTTGATCTAACTTGCAGTTGCCATAACTTTCTCGTTGCAACACCCACTAGTCGTCGTAATGGCATTGCAACCCTCTGACAAGGAGCTCCTCAGACTCCTCTCCCAGCTCACAACTCAGGAGAAGGTCTCTTTGCTTGCTGGAAAGAACTCATGGGAGACTCCAGAGATTGAGCGTCTGAAGATCCCTTCTCTAAAGGCAAGTCGACCAAGTAGTTACCACATGCGCGCAGCCATACTGACAGTTCTCAGGTTTCCGATGGCCCCAATGGCGCAAGGGGTGCCGAGTTTATGGATGGCACCACGGCTGCATGCTTCCCAGCTTGTGCCTCTCTGGCTGCAACCTTCAACCGCAGCCTTGTTCGGCGAATTGGTGTTGCCCTGGGCGAAGAAGCTCAAACGAAAAGCGCTTACGCCCTTCTCGGCCCAACAGTCTGTCCTCATAGATCGCCTCTGGGAGGGCGTAACTTCGAGTCATTCTCTGAAGACCCCTTCCTCGCGGGCGAACTCGCTTCTGAGTATGTACTCGGTCTTCAGAGCGAGAGGGTTGCGGCCACCGTCAAGCACTTTGCCATCAATGAGCAGGACACTAGACGGTTTACTATCAACGAAATAGTATCTGAGCGAGCAATGAGGTTAGCACTTCATTTCTACCCCAAAGCTGGACTTCACATGCATGAGTACCTACTGACGATGAGAATAGAGAGATTTATCTGCGTCCTTTCGAGATTGTGGTCAAGAAGTCCGATCCCTGGTGCATCATGACGAGTTATCCCAAAGTCAATGGAGCCTACGTCGATGACCAGTCTACCTTTCTAAAAGACATTCTTCGCAAAGATTGGGGCTTCAAGGGCTTGACAATGACTGATTGGGGAGCAGCATCAGCTGCTGTAGCAAGCGGAATAAAGAACGGGTAAGTTATTGTCAGCAATCTTGTGCATCCTATTTCAATGCTGACGGGTGTAGTCTGAATCTTGAGATGCCGGGGCCACCTCACCGCCGGAAGCCCGACTTGATACAGAAGCTCATCGAGAATGGTGATGTCGACATCAAGGATGTCGATGAGCATGTGTTGGCAGTACTGAAGCTCCTTCGCCAAACCGGGAAGTTCACCGACAGGAGAGAAACCCCGCCCGAAAGAGCTGTTAGCCGCCCAGAGCACGAGAAACTGATCCGTCAAGCGGGCGGAGAAGGCATTGTGCTCCTCAAGAATTCCAACCGGACTCTTCCCCTGAAGTCTTCTTCCATCAAGAGCGCAGCATTGCTGGGACCCCTCGCAAAGATCGCAGCTGCTCATGGTGGTGGCAGTGCGTCACTAAACTGTCATTACAAGATCAGTCCATATGATGCGTTCAAATCACGACTTCCTGACTGCAAGATAACAACCTCAGAGGGTAAGAATACCATACAAATCAGATGGAGTGCAAAAGCTAAGCCATTATACCGCAGGTGCGCACATCTTTCGAGCGTATCCAGACTTCATTGAAGGGGCTGTGAACCGTAACAACAATTCCGGATTCATCGTGGACTTTTTCAAGACCCTAGATCTTTCCGGAGAACCATTCCACGTCCAAGAATACCCTCGTGGAAATTTCATGACTCTGATGAACGAAACCGTTGCCGGCGCCAAGTCTGCCCGCCTCAGCACGACTTACACCCCTCCTGTCAGCGGAAAGCACTACCTGAGTTTCTCCGGCATCGGTCCTGCCAAGTTGTACATCAATGGCACTTTCCAAGGGGAGATCAAAGAAACTGAAGAAGCAATGTCGTTCCTTCTCGGTGTCCAAGAGGAGCGGCATCTTCAGTATGACTTCTCCGCTGGCAACAAGTACGACATTGTCATTGAGTCCACCATCTCGCCTGTTCCCAACTCCGAAATGTATTTGGGCGATGACCAGATCTCGGTTCATCTCGGGTTCGTCAGCCAAAGGGAAATGGAGAGAGATCTCCTTTCGGAAGCCGTGGAGCTCGCGAAGAAGGCCGAGATTGCTCTTCTATTTGTCGGAAACACGCCGCAGTGGGAGACCGAAGGCCAGGACATGGCCACCATGATTCTTCCCGCCGACGGCTCACAGGATAAGCTGATTTCCGAAGTTGCCAAAGTCAACCCCAACACCATCGTGGTTCTCACCACCGGAGTTCCCGTCGAGCTTCCATGGATCGACGAAGTATCGGCTGTCATTCAGGCGTGGTACGGAGGACAAGAAACTGGCAACTCGATTCTGGACGTTATTTTCGGCGAAGTCAGCCCCAGCGGCAGACTTCCCGTGTCATGGCCCAAGAAGATTGAGCACACGGCTTGTTACGGTCATTTCGGCCTTGACAGCTGGGAAAGTCGAGAAGTTGAGTATGTTGAAGGAGTCAATGTTGGCTACAGACACTTTGACTCTCAATATGGTACCGAGAAAGAGGTCCTGTTTCCTTTCGGTTACGGTATGAGCTACTCTACCTTTGAGGTTTTCGGTGTCATCGTGTCCGGCTCTCTCAGCGGTGACAATGCCAATGCCGAGGTCACTGTGACCACCACTGTACGCAACACCAGTGCAGTCGTAGGCTCGGAGGTCATTCAGGTTTATGTGGCACCGCCGAACAGTGGTGCCGGAAACGAGAGACCACCAAAGGCACTTGTCGCGTTTGATAAGGTTCTCCTGGCGGCAGGGGAACAGAAAGAGCTGAAAGTGGTCTTCCAGAGAGATGGGGTTGCCTTTTGGTCTGAGAATGATCGGGCTTGGAAGGTGGAGGCGGGTGACCACGAGATACTCGTGTCGACAAGTTCGGCCCCTGCGGATATTAAGGGCAAGAGTATCCTAAACATATCCAAGAGCTTTAGCTTTGCGGGTTAGTCAAACTGTTGTCGGTAGCAAAAGAATAGAGCTTATAGAATAGTTTCTCTCTACTGAAATTCTGACTTTTGCATGTCTATGATCTAGAGATATAATGGTTTCTCTCCTTCTCTCCTTTTCTTTTCAACACAATGACAGAATACGCCAGCGATGACGACGACAATAATAATAATAATAATAACAATAATAACGACTACAATAATAACGACTACAATAATAACGACTATAATAATAACGACAACAAAGACTACAGAACTTAATTATTCTCCCAATTTCGAACCAGTCGGAATAGCTTCAGATGTCGACAAATGCTGTCAGTCTCTGTCAAGCTCGCCGGATCGATGTTCTCAGTGACACAGTCAAACCTTCGATTCGCATGTCTGCTCGCTACCTTCTCCCAGGCTCGTGAGACGCCGAAGCCATGCACCGCTCGCCATGGAGTGGTTCCATGCTGCCAAGTAGCAGCTACGGTGAGCTTGACCTGACTCTTTCCGACCTCATATCGAAAAAAGAAACCCTCTCCCACACCGGGGCTCCACACTTCCATAACCTTCAAACGAGGCATATACGCAGCTGCTCGGCTTGCTGCTATAAGTAGACCATCTACCTCCGCCGGTTCAGTAGATAGGTCTCCCATGTCGCAGGTGAGGACAAGATGCTGAAGCAACGACCGGAATTTCTTTTCTGGGGACGATGAGGCTTTCGAGTAGAAGCACCGGAAGAAGTCCCTCGCGTCGGAAATATGCGAGATTGCAAGTTCTTCCATGTGAAAACTAGCCGAGGCTGCTTTTACAGCGAAATCGAAAAGTACTTTTGTCTCGTCGGAAATATAGTCGTCTTGATTTTGGGGCACGGCTCGTGAAGTGGCCACCCATAAACATGCTTTCCTCAGCGGAAGAGATTTGTCTCTCGCAGAGAAAATTCCTGCGCTTGCGATATCATACAGCATCACTCTGAATGATTCGGTTTCGAGCTGCTGCTCGCAACTGATTCGCTCCAGGTGGGGCAAACTGTCAACGATATGAGATATTGACCAAGCCGAAAGACTGCAAGAAAGACTTTGCTTGATGGAGAGAGTGGTGACGATAGGGGCCTTCCAAAGGTCCAACTGATTCCCGCGATCAAAGGTGTACACGTCGGAAACATCCCACGAAGAACCGAGACAACGGCGGGTCGAGTGCTGCGGACCGCCGTCGCTCGGCCAAACAGCGCCTAATTCAAGCGCAATGCCAGGTCTTGTTGTGTGATAAAACCATTCAGCAAGAAGAGAGAAAAGCCTCCTCAGATCACCTGAAAGTCTCTTCTTGTTTTCCGCGAACATGGCCTGGCTATCAGCCACTCGGCCACATGCTCTACAGGTTTGTTCTTCCATACCCACATGAAGCGAGATGTTCCTGACCAAAGTCCTTCGGTTGCTCCTTGTGAATTGACGGAAACCTTGGAAACCTGAACTCGGAATTGAGGGTCGAAACGCCAACGTCTGCCAGACCAACGGCTCGAAAAAGCTCTGCCATTCTTTTGAAACAGAAGCCAATTTTGACATAGGATGCTTTTCGTCGGACGAAACCGGGCTTTGTAAACTTCTCAATATCATAAGCCGCAGCTCCTGTGGAAGGCTTGCCCATAGAAAATTAGAGGTGCGTTCAGGGCCAGGGCGCTCGGCGTTGTACTGAGTGACATTTCCTTGCGACTGTAGCGTCATGTCGATGTTCAAAGAAGACATCACGTGTAAATGAGACTGGTATTCGGGCGGTTGTCAAAGCTGCCGATTGTACAAAAGACGTGATGATATTGGCGTGAATTTTGCCCTGAAGAAGAGGCCGATCAGGAAAAGAAGTTGAAAAGGGGAAGCAAAAGGGGGGGGAATGAGATTGAGGAAAACCCCCAAGTTCCGTTGTGGTGCCATCAAGGTCTCTGTGAGTCAGCCACCTCACCAGATCCAAAGTTCCTAATCTTGCCTGGATGTTTATATTGAGTCCATGTATGGTAACTATGAAGGTTATTTGAGACTAGAAAGTCATTCCAGCCAAACCTTCTCAATAGGTCTCAATAGAGTTTGGTCAAATATTGAACACGTTAGCCAACCTGGGCAGGGAACAACCATATGTGTTCCGTTGTTAGCGGTTGTAGCTATGGTTGTTCCCTGCGGCCAGATTACCAATTAACTACCTGGAAAGATGAGGCGGGTCTTTCGCATGTAGTGCGTGGCAGATGAGGTCAGTCAGAAAAATTGAATGATCGAGATCACAAATAAGTTCTCCTTCGAAGGAAGTTTAAGCACTTCTGTTTGTATTGTCAGTAGCTAACATTGCTTTACCACGAAACAACCTGGAAGGCGAACGACACTTTTGCTACAGATCTGGCACATATCCCCGCCAGTTTCTTAGAGATACGAAATCCACCAATTCCTTCTTGGGTTGAACGAAGGGTTTGATGGTTACCCGAGCTTGTGTCATCTGCTCAAAAGCATACGCGATGCTGATGAGCTTTTCTTCGCTGAATTCTGCCCCTGCAAAACCAATACCGAATGGCAGGTTTGGCGCCAATACGTCAAGATTACCAAGACTATCTTTGATGACTGGGGTGTCATTTGGATAACTCCCAAAAGGTACCGTCACAACAGGCGTGCCGAGAATAGCCGCAGGAGTCAGAGCAAACCGTGTTGGCAGAACAATCGCATCAAGGGAGTAGTTGTGTATTGCACCAGAGTAGCCGAGAGGACCAGCCAGGTAGCGGTTCCGAGAATAGATATCCCAAAATTCGGGGTCTGTGTTACGTAGCCCTCTCGCCAGGATTTTGTCCCATGTCTCTGTGTTGTGCGTAGGGTACTCTTCGCGAGGGTCGGCTTGTGTCCACCTCCGAAGCTCATAAACTGTTGAAAGGTTGTGAGAGTCGGGAACTAGTTTAGAGAAGTACGTCTCGAGGTTGACAAGAAAGTCTGCTCCCAGGACCTGGCTCGTGAGATTCGCAATTTCAGACCAGGAAAAGCCGGGAAGAAAAATGTCGTCAACGATCTCCGCGCCTGCAGATCGGAGAATTTCTACGGCAGAGTCGAACGCCGAGATTGAATAGTTGGAATGTGGGAACAAAGGCGTCTCTATCATGAGATGCCGCGGGATACCGAGTCTCTTGCCTTTGAGACTTGAGCCAACACACACGGCGACATAGTCAGGCGTCTTGGCGAAGGGAATGGCCGAGGTGTAGTTATCGTGAGGGTCTGGTCCGACGATGGCTGCAAGAAGGTGTGCAGCGTCCTTCACTGTGCGAGCCATAGGGCCAACCGTGTCTTGATGTTCCGAAATGGGCACCACGAGATGCCGCGAAGTCAGACCGACAGTGGGCTTGATTCCAACGAGGTTGTTAACATCGCACGGCATCGTTATGGAACCGAACGTCTCTGTACCCAATGACGCCCACGCAAGACCAATCGAAGACGCGACACCGCTGCCGGAAGATGATTCTTCAGGGTCTTGGTTTGGATAGTACGCTCCGATAGTCTGCCCTCCGCGAGGAGACCATCCCGCACTCGAGTTAGTGCTTCGACATGTAGCCCATTCCGCCATGTTTGTTTTCCCAAGGATAATCGCGCCAGCCTCGCGGAGTTTGGCAACCACAGTACTGTCGTTGGCCACTTTTGCGCCTACCAAGGCGAAAGAACCGGCCGTGTTATTCATTCTGTCTGCACTGGCTATGTTGTCTTTGATCAAGATGGGGATGCCGTGTAGTGGACCCAAGAGCGGGCGGCCTTGTCGTCGGGTTTCATCGAGGGTAGCCGCTATTGAGAGCGCATCGGGGTTAATCTCCGCTACTGCTCGAACGACGTGATTAACTTCCTCGATCCTTGCGATGTAGGCGTTCACCAAGTCAACACTGGTGAAGAGGCCTGTTTGCAAGCCTAGGTTTAGGTCATCGAGTGTTGCGTCGAGGAGAGGCGGAAAGCTATTGACATTGGGGCTGCAGTGACAGGCCGCATGCCACATAGGGCAAATTGAACGGCAGGCGATGCCGAGAAACCAACGGAATAACATCTTCTGCCCCAATGCACGGTAGAGGGCCTAACGGTTCGGATGATCGACGGGCAACTGGTGCGTGGCGCATGTGCAGCTGAAAATCTGTCCCAGAGTTTTACGAGGCGACGAGAGCTTGAAATAGTGTCAGCAATTCAACAGCAGGGAGATAACACCCTGGTCAGCGACATGTGGCCATTAAGATACAATGAGTGGAGCCTCCGTCTTACACGCATGAAGCGTGCGGCACATGAGGCAACCAAGAAAAACCCTCGTAATATCGTATCGTGACAAGGCGGTCTTCGATCATACTTTGAAGATGTCCAACACAAGGATGCGAATTTGGTTCCAAGGAGGGTGCGTCTCCGGAGACGGCTCCGGATTCAGTGGGGCTTCCGTGTCCGGTCCCGCGTTCCGTTCAGGACATAGAATTGCGCTTTGACGGCCGTTCGGCCGATACTAGCAGCCCGTCGGGTTATCGGGCAACACCTATGAGACCAAAACTCCGGCTGCAGTGAGAGCAAAACACAGAACAGCTATGAAACATGCGCCGCAACGACATTCAGCAGTCAGCAGTCAGCTTGCTCTTTATCCGCAAGCACTTCAGTGAATGGTTGAATGTTGTAGTGATTGCTGGTTGCTGACGTCCAGCCTCTTAAGGCGGTAAGCAGCTAGACTCTGAAACTTCCGACTTTCCAACTTCAATCTTCCCAGTAAAAAACATCATGTTTCTCCAGCAAAGTCTCGTGGAACGTCGAAGACCAAATTTTGGGTTTTCGGACTCACCTGAGACTTCGCTCAAGCGCGAGCCTAGCACGCTTCCACCCCCTGAAGCGTGGGGAAGTCCGACATTCCGATACTAGCGCCGAGATATCGAACTTTGGCCATGATGTTAACCCATCTCTACATTTTTTTTTCCCTTACGAGACCGAGTCGTGCGAGAGATCGAACGAACATTCGTTCAACTGAAGAAAACTGCACTCATGGCTCCAGGATCTCAACAACCCCCAGCGGGGCCTGCCGGTCTTCCACCTCGGAAGGGTAAGCTAGCACCCAACTTGAAATTGATCCTACGATCCTGACAAACACAGTCGATACCTTCACGGGCGATGTTATTCATCACGACACTTATCCAGAAATCTACCCCGTGACATCGTCTAACTGCACGGGCAAAGCCGTCCTCGTCACTGGCGCCAGCAAGGGGCTGGGTAAGGCAATCGCCATCGGCTACGCTGAAGCTGGAGCATCACACATAGCTGTCGCGGCCCGATCGGATGTCTCATCCACCGTCGCCGCTGTACGCGATGCTGCCATCAAGGCCGGACGTGATGAGCCAACAGTGTTTTCCATGGAGATGGATGTCAGCGATATGGCGAACGTGAGGGCGGCAGCAAAGAAGTTGACGGAAGAATGGGGCCGACTTGATATCCTGGTCAACAACGCTGGCTATATGGCGCCATTCAAGCTGCTATTGGAGACAGATGATGATGAGTACATGAAGGCATGGGACGTAAACTACTGGGGCACTTACAGGGTCACAAAGGCATTCTTGCCTTTGATGCTGAAGGGAGGAGACAAGACGATCGTCAACATGTCCTCTGTCGCGGCGCATTTTATGGGCGCCGGAGGTGGTGCTTACCACGTTTCTAAGTTTGCCTTGATTCGTTTCACGGAGTTCGTTCAGGATGAGTACGGTGATCAGGTACTTACACCCGATCCTCATCTTTGCACCAATGGTTCCCAAGCTGACTTTTCCCAGGGGGTCTTGGCATTCTCAATTCATCCCGGGGGAATCCCCACCGAGTTATCCTCAAACCTCCCCGAGAAGCTTCAATGTGGGTTCACCAATTTTCGATCTCCTTGGATAACAATTGATGCTTGCGAAAAACCAGTTCGAATGACAGATACCCCTGAGCTTGCTGCCCACTCTATCCCCTACCTGACAAGCCAGAAGCGGGAGTGGCTCGGCGGGAGGTGGTTGAGTTGCATGTGGGACATGCCTACGCTTTTAACGATGGAGAAGGAGATCATCGACAAGAATTTGCTGAAGTTCAAGTGCACAGGGTTGTAGGAAGTTAGGTACTTTGACCGGACTACATTCATACGGATTTCATTCTGTCGTGTTTCATCAGGCCAATCTTTCGAGAAATTTTAGAGCCAATGAGTTTACATGTCTTCATTCTACTCAAAGCAGCGGCCATTTCTATGTTTACCTCTGAAAGTTGGTAAGCCAGGATTGGGCTCCCGCAGGCAGATGATACACAGATGAACACGCTGTCGGCGGTCAGAACTCGGGAGTAGACTGTAATGATGCTTCAAAATATCAACAAGAATAACAGGGTGCTGTCCTATCAATGTCACATGCCATGCATCAAATCTTCGAGCTACACTGTGGTGCAAGTCAGATCTGGAGAGCTTTGAGGGTCTCAGCCTTGGTGCCTTCATGGCCATAGCAACCAATTACGCCGTTCTTGACCCAGATACCATAGGCTGAGCACCAGAAATTAGATCAATCAAGCCAACGGGGCGATTATCAACTCACATATGTCCAACCAGGACCATCCACTTCCCCTCCAGAAAGAGTTCTTCTTCGGGCAGTTGCCGCATTCCAAAAGCAGAGGTTTATCTTCCGAATCGTCATCTCGTGTTACTTTGCACTCCCTGCAGTTCAGACTTCCTCTGAATAACACAAGGCACTGAGGTTAGCAATTTGGTGCTTCACGGGCGAAGGGCCCTTCCAGCCTACAGACTGCGGGTATCATAACTTGCTCTGAGAGAAAACTTACTCATCAGCCCATGCGAGAAGGCCGTCAAAGTTGCCAATGCATTTTCTGAGATCTAGAGAGGTGATGACGTCTGAACCGGCGTCATTTTTGCAGCGAGCTGTCAAGACAATTGGTTTGACGTCTGAAAGCTTATCTGGTCTGCCAGAGTCGTATGTGAAATCCGTACACAGATTTTGGATGCAGTCCGATTCAAGAGGGCACTTTCGGGCGGCGACTAGAGTGTACAACAGGGAGATGACGAAGGTAGCAGTGGTACTCGTAGGCTTCATGGTTGAGACTGACTTCGCGGCTTCACTTCATCCGGATTTCTCACTTGAAGAGTTCTTAAAAGCAGGGAAACAAATGATGAAATTCCCAGAGTTTGGCATAACGCACTCCTCAATTGAAGGCTGCTGAGGATGCGCATCTTTAATACGGACTCAGATGGTCTCAGAAGTGCGACACAGAGATGTCTATTACTCCCTAGAAAGAGATTGAGATGTGTGACCCAGAAGTTTCGGGCAGGAATTTCTTTGACATTAGTAAAATTTGGAGTAAGGGGCAAAAGTTTTAAGTCGGAAGAAAGATGGTCTTCAAAGTAAGGAAACTCGCGCCCTTCAGGCGAGCCAGGGATAAACGTGCCTTTGTTTAACGATGCACAGTTTTCAAGAACTCAAGATGAAGTGGTGTAAGCTGTACCACTAACCCATGTTTGAGCTGGTGGCCAGTTAAAGGTCTTATCTGGAAGTTCGAGTAACATCCTCCTGTTGCTGTGTTATAACCCACAACCAGCTGTCCAGTCACGCAAAACCCTCCAATGAGCTTGTTGCCACTGCCTTACACTCTTGCTGCTCCTGCCCCTATCATCGATTCCTGGGGCTTAGAATACCTCATAGGGTAGTACAAGGGGCCAAGTGTAAAAATGGCGAGCTCAAGAACAGTCAAAATAGTGCCTAGCTGTCGAGGATGGCATATCCTGGACATGGCAACTATCAAGCTCAATCGAAGCCGTCTGCCTAGAGATACATGTTGTACAAAGAACTTACAATTGTGGTCATGCCCCAAAATGTCGTCAAATAATCCCAATGTATTCCACATTCAAGGATCCGGTGCCTTTGTTGTGTGGACCTCTGCGGGACCTTGTGGATGTCAGGTTGCAATTCACTCACACCCACAAGTGACTCACGCCTTTATCCTCTTAAGAGCTTTTTCTACTAACCAGGTCATCCAAGAACAACAGAAAGCACGGTAGCTCAGGGGTAGAGCGCTGGGCTCATAACCCAGAGGTCCCTGGATCGAAACCAGGTCGTGCTATACCTTTTTGCTTTTTGATCTATTTTTGTCACCTTAGATTTGTTTGAGCCAAGTGCAGTGGGGCAGGATTATAGCTAATTAACTATTTTCAGCTTTCGAAGATAGCTCTATTTTCTAACTGAAATATTTAAAGAGACTGAGTTTTATTGAGTTCCCATTTTGATACCGTGGACTCTGACTTCAACTTTAGCTCACAGCCCATGCAAGTCGAGTCATTGCTACAACCCAGTTAAGATGACTTCCCACTAGAGCTGTGGCCGCACCGTTCGAGTGTCTGTCTTTTGCAACGCGGGCACATAAACGTCGATCTTGAATCGATTCGTGGGGGTCAGTTGCTAGATGCGACGCTGCCGCAGTTCGACCCCACCTGTGTCTTCCCAACCACCAACCCCAGACTTCTCAACCCCGCATCGTCTGCTCCAGCTTACGCCCGTTCAACACTTATTGAGCCGCCCAAAATGACCAGAAGATGTCTTTACTGCACCGACTTCTCCATTGAAGCTCTGGTAGAACAAGCGAAAATCGACTTTGAAGCTCATTCGTTCCCTCAAGAGGCCTTCTATCAACATCATAAGTCCTTCGACGATCTCGAAAAGTCAGCCAATGACGGTTGCAGTTTTTGCCATCTCATTTTGGATTCTTTCCGACGCACACCGTGTTCTAAACGCCAGCCTCTTGAATGGCCGGCAGGATGGAATGATGGACCTAATTCCTCCGTGGAAGGGTTCCCCGATACCATGTATTCAATCGCAAAGCATCTTGACGTCTCAGATGTCAAGTTATGCATCAACGCTACTCACCTGTTAGAACGGCAGTGCTTGAAAGACGTAAAGGTCTTCGACGAAATATTGGTTCAAGTCGGAACCCTTCATGTCGAGAATGATGACAACTACGGCATATGGTCCTTCCCACATCTTAGACTGAAGCTCAGTGTGCCCAGAAGTGAGCCCCAAGAAGCCGTTTCAGCACGATAGAAACTCTGGTCATTTACTGATGTTATCTCGACAGAGCATCCACCTTATATAGGAGAAATACGCATTGGCCGTTATGAGGTTGATCCGGATCTTGGATCGCCCATCAATCATGATCTGGCCAAACAGTGGATGTCGAACTGTCTCCAATCCCATGCTACTTGTCTCTTGCTACAAACTCATGAGCTTCCAACGCGGGTCATAGATGTGGACAGCTCCTCGGCCAAGGATGCAGTTCGTTTGGTTGTTTCTGGTGGCATGAAAGCTGATTATACTGCTCTCAGCCATTGCTGGGGCGGGGCAATCTCTCCATTACTTACAAGTCAGACGATGGCGCCATTCCTGGAGTCGATTGAGATAGCGACACTGCCCGCTAACTTCCGCGATGCCATTACTATTACTCGCAATCTCAGGATCCGTTATCTTTGGATCGACTCTCTCTGCATTCAACAAGACTCAAAAACCGACTGGGAGAAGGAGTCCAAGAAAATGGGACTAGTATATCGAAACTCGACAGTGACTATTTCAGCGGTAGTATCTGAGGGAAGTAAACATGGCATACTGAATACGAACGAGATTCGGTATAGTTCGAACAACCTGGTGTCTGTACCCGTTTTCAGAAGCAAAGATGACCCACGCCGGATCACCGTGAGCCGCAGTGATCCGAACGAGGAGACCCTCCGGACGTTGGATATCAGCAGTGCGTTGACAGAACGTGGATGGACTCTCCAGGAATACATTCTCTCTCCACGTCACATACTATACGGGAAGAACATGATCTATTGGCGTTGTCCTCGAGGGTTTATCTCATCTGATGGCTTACCGCCTTGGAACAGATTTCCACAGGCGTCTTATGAGAATGCCTCGCAAGTTATTTACTCTGACATCCTGAGAAAGTCTCAAGTCACGCTTCCCAATGTCGACGCAATCTTGAGGGATTACTACGAGCTTGTCAATGCCTTCTCACAACGAAGGCTGACATATGGTTCAGACAAACTGCCAGCCTTTTCTGGTCTAGCACAACGACTTCAACCAGCTATCGGTGGAGACTACTTGGCCGGAATTTGGACCGCTGACTTCAGACGAGGTTTGCTCTGGGCACCAGAGTCTAACTTCTGTCGGCATGTTACCCAACCCTTTCGAGCGCCTTCATGGTCTTGGGCTGTGACTGATGACATGGTTCTCTTCGAGAGCCTGGGCTTGATAGGGGAGCAAGCAAGACTGAAGCCGAGTTCATCAAGCGCAGAGCTTCTGGAGTATAGTGTGAACCCTCGATCTCCCGACAACCCGCACGGAGAGATCACATCTGGAACGCTGCTAGTAAAGGCGTTGACAAAACCATTCGTGCGGAGTCGTCAAGTCATTGGTAATGTTCTGGACGAAAGCTCGCTCGGAACGGCGAAATTCGATGAGCCTTCTGGGCCAGAAGATTTGATTCCAAGGAGTTGGCCCAGCCTATTTCGCATGAAAACCGAAGAAGGAGACTACATCTTGTCCATCATCACCCGGCCGGGTGATGAGACTGACTGGGACGTTGATTTTGGGCTCCAGTTGGAGGATGATCTTCTCCTCATGCTTGTGTACACAGACGACAACACAACAGAAGAGGCGGTATGGTCAGAATCTCCTGCTTTCTGTTTGATCCTTCGCCGGAGGACCGAGGAATCCGGGGAGACATATGAGAGAATTGGGTTCGCCAAGCTGGATGAACCGAAGTTGACTTGGCTTGAGACCTGGGAACGCCAGATTTTGACGCTTGTTTAGGAAAGTGGGAATATTACTTATTCTGAGCAATACGATTACAATAGTACAACCCGAAGGCATGTGAACATGAGGTCGGTCCACTCTCACGCGTGCATGAGTCGTATCAACACAAATTGGTCCATCTCACCCATGACCCCGGCCATCGCAGGCCTGTCAATTCCCGCCTGTATTTCCTATTTCTCTCATTTTCCTCGTGATAAACCCAGGCGCGTCTCCAACTGGATTGCAACTCAACTGCGGGGAAGCCGTTTGCCAATACCGGCCTCCAAACAAGTTTAAAAGAACCGCAACTTTTCTACTGCGTCGCGTGTGGGGAAAATATGACCCGATCACTGACGTCGTATCGCTTTTTATAAGCGCCCTATTCCGACTGGTCACACGCCTTTGTCGATGCGACTTTCTCCCCGATGAACGTATTCGTCCGATTTCCCCGCGCATTTTACCCCGACCCGACCAGCCTCTGGCGGGGAGCTTGTGGAGAGCTCACCGCGCCGGAACGATATTTCAATGGTGCGCGTAGAGTCGCGATGACCTCACCTGAGCCAAGACGAGCTATCCATGCCGGGGATGACGGGGCCGCGCGGGGAGTAACGGTAACATGTCGCTCTCGCGAACCGATGGAGAGACGACATGAACTATAAGATGAACAGGAACCATCCGAGGGTTTGGACACAGGAGGCTCCTTCGGCAGATGCAATGAGCTCAACCCTCTCAGCGTCCCAATTCGATCCCATTGAAAGCACGTAGCTTCAGTGCAGCCATGGCTTCCGTCGCTCTCACTCTCCTGGCGGCTTTTGCCGGCCAGGCTTCGGCCAAGACCGTCAAGACCCCGACTCCTCAAATGGGCTGGAACAGTTACAACTACTACAACTGCTACCCCAACGAGAAGATCATCAAGGAGAACGCTCACGCCGTTGTGGATACTGGTCTGGCCGAGGCCGGATACGCAACGGTCACCACCGACTGCGGATGGCCAGCTAAGAACCGCTCGGCCGACGGACAGCTTGTGTGGAACCCGGAGCTGTTCCCGTCCGGAGGCGCTAAGGAGCTCGGCGACTACCTCCACAATCTCGGCCTCAAGTTCGGCGTGTACTCCGGCGGCGGATATTACCAATGTGGATCTACTGATCAACCTGCTTCCTTGGGTAAGAGATACCGGGAATGGGAACATGTACCGTGTAGCGCTGACATCGCTCCAAGACCACGAGTTTACTGATGCAAAGTCGTTTGCTGACTGGGGTGCGGACATCCTCAAGTATGTTGATTCTGTGATTTGTGGCCTATTCAATGACTGACATTGTTTCCATAGGTACGACAACTGCTACGCTGTCGAGCCGGACGTCATGGTCGACTACGTCTCTGAGGAGGCCATCTCCCCAGACCGCTTCGTCACAATGGCCGAGGCTATGAACACCACGGACCGAGATATGATCTATCAGGTCTGCCAATGGGGCACTGGAACCGACTTGGGCGTCTGGTAAGTCCGCAATTACATGCATACTGTTCGTACGGGAGAAAGCCGAATGCTAATCTCGTTTGTAGGGTTCCTAAGATTGGAAATAGCTGGAGAATCAGCAACGACATTTACAACAGCTGGCGCAGCATCTGGCGCATCACCAACCAAGTGGTGCCTTTCTACAAGTACACCGGCCCGGGTGCTTTCCCCGACATGGATATGTTGATGTAAGTGGCCTGATGATTTTCCTGTTTGCATCACCAAACTAATCGTAACATTGCAGTGTTGGACTCAACGCCCTGTCTATTGAGGAAGAGAGGTTTCACATGGCGATGTGGAGCATTAACAAGTCGCCCCTCACTCTGGGAGCCCCGGCCATCCCCGCCCTCGTCCCGGAGCACACCCTGTCCATCGTTGCCAACAAGGAAGTCATCGCCATTAACCAAGACCCCCTCGCCAAGCAGGCTCAGCTCGTCCGCCGCTACACCGAGGAGGAATGGGATGTTTGGGCCGGTGAGCTCTCCGGTGACCGTCTGGTCGTCGGCATCGCCAACTGGAGGAACGACTCCCAGCCCGTCAGCGTCGACCTCGCCGGTGTCCTGGGCCTCACCTCGGCCAACGCCCGCGACGTCTGGGCTGCGAGTGACATCGGCTCCATCTCGGGCACTTACGAAACCACCCTCAAGGGCCATGAGCTTAGATTACTGGTGCTCTCAGACCTCGCGAAGGCGGAGCAGGTCCACAGCTCCGTCGGCTATTACACGGCTACAGACGACGGCGCGCTGTCCGGATCAGCGGCCAAGGTGACTTGTGGAGATGGCCAGTGCCTCCCCAGCGGAACCAAGGTGGGCAACATCGGGTCAGGGGCGGCTGTCAAGTTCGAAGGCGTTGAAGCCAAGACTGAAGGCAAGAAGCTTCTTGGTGTTGACTTCATCAACTATGATGTCGCACTTGGCACGGCTTGGGACTTTGGCTCCAGCTCGCGCAACTTGACTGTCTCTGTCAACGGTGGCACCGCCAAACGCTGGGCGTTCCCCATCTCCGGAGGAAACTGGTATGATACTGGGCGCCTGTTGGTCGAAGTTGACGGCTTTAAGGGGGATGCCTCCAACACGGTTGAGTTCAAGGCCATCGGGAGTGATTGGGCGCCCGACTTGGTTGGTTTCGAGGTCTTTGAATCTTCTTAGAGCCCTGGAACCACTAGGTAATGAACATACAAGACAGGATGCGGTAGTATTATCATAACTTTTGATCACGCTTGCCTGCCTACCGCGAGTTCTGTTCTTGCCACACGGCGATATTATACATAAGAGATCTGAGGTGCCTGAAGAAGTACATCATGGGGTATACGTTTAAAAACAACATTTGAACCATCGGGCATGGCGTGCCGCACCCAACATTGAAATCCGTCAATCGATCGTAGATTCCTTGAAATAATTGCGCTAGTGGCCATGAAATCAATCAGAGGCTCTTCTCGATGGATCGAGAACGAGGGTGGCCTGGGTTCCCAGTGAGAGAGTCTTCGTCATCGAGTTTGTAGAAAGTGCTGCCACTGCCGTTGTCATCGTGTCGGGACCTGCCACCGAAAGACGGGGTGCTTGTGGGTGTCTGCTCGACTCTGATATCGACGTCGACTCTTCGGTGAATTCCAGCTGAGCTACCGGGTATGCTATCCAGCTGCAAATCGGGAGGGACCGCTCCGACGCTGGCTCGGTGGTAGCTCTTGAGGCCTGCATCATGCTCGCCGCGATCGTGGAGCTGGGTGGTTCGGTTGGTTCGGGAGCGGCCCTTGGAGTAAGAGAGCGAGTTGAATCTGAAGCCGCTATCCTGGTCCTTCGCAAGTCGGGTAATGAGTGATGCCATGGACATCTCGATGTTGAGCTTGACCATGTAGGCGACGGGGTGGAACTGAATATAGACGACTTGGTTCGGAAGAGACATCAGACCAATAAGCATGGCCTGTTGAAGTCAGCCACAGAGGTTTCCAGAAGAGGAGAGAGTCAACCACTTACGTCCATGCCAATGGATAGAACCATGAGTTTGGCATTGAAGCCAACGAGGGGCTTGTACTTGACCAAGCCATGTTGACTAAGAAGACGCGTCTTCACGATTCTCAAGAAATACCAGTTGAGGCCAGCATCAACAATCAGAATCAGTACTTTCGAGGTACGATCCCAGTAGTGGTTGATTTGAACGAAACTGCAGGTGAACATTAGTAGCTTGTCCAACGGAAGACGCAGATATGGTAGCGGACTTACATGTCGCCCGCAGGAGGGTCCAAGTGAGATGGAATCCAGATGATGAAGACTGCGATGTTGATAACGGTGATCACCACCGCCGTTCCCCATTTCAGCCACATGATTGTCTTCTGGCTTTCTGCAATGACGGCAATTCGGTTGATGATGATTTGCATCAGCAGCTGAACCTCGAAGACCCAGAGGAATAAGATGAAGAATAGTACGGGAACCCTGAAAGACTTTGGTTAACAACGACGCGATGCCCACGAGATATCCTGCTGTAACCTACGTTGGTCCCAATATGCCATCCAGGAACAGCCATCCAATGATCGTGATGGCCAAGTTGGCCAAGATCTCACCCCACATCATGTAGATGTATGAACTTCGTAGGGGGTTCCGGTTCTGTCTCGTCTGCTTCATAGCCTCCCATACCGTCAAGAATCCGAAGCCGATCGTGAAGCCCGCTGCCAGAGAGGCGATCTGGTAGTCCGCCTTGGACGCCATCTTGAGTCGTGGAAAGGTCCAAGTCCGTGTTCGATTTCGTATTGAGGGTGCCGAAGTTCGGTCCGGTCCTCGAGATGCTCGTGGGTACGCCGGGTATGCAAGGACTCAAGGACCGCAGAGCGAAAGCCGGCGGGATGTCGTCAAGTCTTTAAACTCTAAAAGAAGGACCCTAGGAGGCGGCATCGAGAGGGGAGAGCCACTCTTAAGGCTTCCTTTGCTCTGCTTCAAACATCCCTCGTCAGTTCCACGTCCCACTCTTTCCGGTGGACAGCCTTTTCAAGTACACCTCGTCTGTGGCAATAGCAGCAAAATCTGTCTAAGGAATACCTAGAGCAGAATGTCAAAACGGCACAGGGTTGCCTTGGCCGCGGCAACGAACCTCTAGCCGTCCTTGATGGACCTCGGTGGGCTGGGCCCAGCCAAGAGCCCACATAGTGGTGACAGGAAGTAGTGTCATCCTTAGCTCGACGCCACGCGCCGTAACGTCGGAGGGCGCTTCACTACGACGCCGTAGTGGCAGAGAGGAAAGGATTGCGTACTATTATGAACAGGGGATATGAGACGACAGGTTCTGCAATCGACACGCCAGCCAGTCTAGCGGCCAAATGAACTGAACGAGACAGAGCCGATTAACTCTCGGCCGCCAGGGGTTAGCCCGCCGACGATATCTCAGAAGTTAATCGCAAGGAGATGGCAATCCTGTTTGCCCGAACATGAAGACAAAGGATCAACAGGCACAACAGCCAAGTCTTTCGATATGCCGTCATGCTCATCGTCAACTGCCGGAGGAAGGTTTGTTGAAGAAACCAGGCGTCGGTCGATCTTGGGATCAGTGTCACGCAACAGAAGAATGGGGACCCTTTCGAGAGGCCCTCCTGGAATGCGACTTGGGGTCCGGACAAGCAGGTATCCCCTTTCCGCGGATCCATTTCATCAGACGCGCAGCGTGGATAACATGGGTCATATGGGTCCTGCTTGCAAGAATCTCGCAAAAAAGGCGGGGAATATTAAAAGGGGACAACGGGTCAAGAACGAACATGGCTTCGCGAGCGAGAAACAAACTGGCGAGTCAGAATTGGAGATGCTCTGTTTTGCTGGAGACACGACGAAAAATACGCTGTGGGATCAGCAGATCGGCATCTCTCGAGATGGACGGATGCAGCTGCGGCCGTGCGCCGCTCCTCTTGAACAGCCAGAAAGGTGACAACGGCGAATGGCTTTCCCATCTGTCTGCTTCTTGAGTGAAAGACAGGAATAGACTTGGCTGCCAATACACAAGAAGGCATCTCCCAGCGAGACGGTCTCCAGAGGTTACGTTTCCCTCTCAAATCACGCGTGTAAATACAACTCCGGCAAGGAAAAAGACTCAAAACATCCGGTTCTCGTAGAGACCAGCAGCCAAACAAACCTGAAGCCACGAACCACTTCCAGCCAGAGCGCCGAACAGCCGTTCATGCGCATGGAACATTCTCACCCTCGTGCGTTCTGAAACGTGATCTCACAGGCGTCTGAGGAACTATTCCTTGGGGGCTGCAGGGCCGCATTGTTCCCTCCGGAGATATTTCCCACGTGGTTGAAAGCTTCGACCTAGTATCAATCGGGACACGAAGGCCGAGATAACCGTCAATAAGAGGTCGAGCATGGCGTCTCTGCCCGGGCGACATTGACATCCGCCAATTGCCATTGCCATTGGACATCTGCATGCCATTGAAATTTGAGTCGCCAAGGATAAGATGCCAGGGGTAAGAAGCGAGCGAAGAAACCTTCAAGAGGCCCCCGATCTCCTTTTCGCGTTCCACTTTCTGCAGCGTGCCAGTGGACCAGAGACGACACACATCAGGAAATGCGGGGAGCTGGCACGCTAAGGACATGGAATTCCGATGCTTCATCTCTTTTGTTACTCTTCCTCGTCTATTTATCTGTCAGCTAACAACAGGCAGACCTTCTAGCGACGAACGGTGGCTTGGGGAGAGGGGCAATTGCTTGAGTAATTCGAGCTTCAAAGAGTCAAGAGAAGCCCTCATCCGACGTTAGCACCGGCCGTGGCGTCGGCCGCTTGGAAACACCAGACTATTCCCACTTCGTCCCTCTCACCCGTGGCTTGGCTTGATCAGCACTGCGGTGACACTGAAGAACTCCCTCGGAACCACCTCCAAAACCAGAGATCCGCGTTCTGCAGCAGTTCAAGTTCCGCATCCGGAAAGTCTCTCGGCATATAGAAGGCCACTTCACATATCAAGAAACCAAACAAGAACCCCGGATGAACCATTGTTCAGTCTCGTGACCGCATTGTACCGTGGTAAGAGAAGCTCTGGCAAGGTCTGGAACTTGGGGAAATTTTGGTACTATGTCCGGTCATCATCTTGCCCTCGGCCGTGTTATCTAAGCGAGCTGAAAGCCGGCGCACTTTCTCGACAGCTTCCTGGATTTCTCGCCGAGCATCACACACGCGAAGACGAAGACGAAGGCGAGACGAATCTGCTGATGTGGTATATGATATTTTGGAGTCCGCCCTGGCGCCGACTAGAAGCTGTAGAGAACACTCGACCAGAAAACAACCGTTTAACTAACCCGCACGCGATTCCACTCCGAAGAAATTGGCACCAAGCTACTGACAAGAAGTGAAGGGCGAAAAATGCAACGAAACGGGGGCAGCCATCAACAACACAAACGCCCTGCTCGTCTAAAACCCGCTGAACCACATCATGCATCCTGGACATGCACATATTCCTCTAAAGTCCTCCAAATCCCTGGACGGGAAATGCATAGTTGACGTGGTGACTCTCGGTTTTCATACCGCCGGTGTACGTCGTCTTGTTCGCCGTCCGGCTTGCCCCTATCCCCGTCCACCCGATGACAGCGACGAAAGTCCTGCCGCCGTTGCCGCCACCGATGCTCGCGCTCCCGCTGCTTGGACCTCCGGAGCTGCCCCTGCCTAGCGAGAACCCGCTCGCCACGCCGTTGCAGCCAGGCATCGTCTTGGCCCTCTCAACAACTTCGCGCATCCTCTCTTCGGGCTCTAGGCAGTTCTCGAAGGTCAACGTCTCGACGATGGGAGAGTTGATGACCGCTTGCGGCGCGTACGGTTTGAACTGCAGCAGGTAGCTCGTCGCTTGGCCGTTCAGCACGGGTGCCAGCTTGGTCATGGCATCGGAATAGTCCCTCGTTCGCTTCCAGGCCTCGCTCGACTCTACGTTGATCCAACCTAATCGAGCACAGGCGAATTAGTTTGGTATCTTCCAACAGTGGAAGTTCTCCCCGGCTGATCGGCAGCGCGAAAATTCGAATCCGGGCGCAAAGAGGGCATCACGTACCAGTTAGTAGCTCCAGCTTCTGCGGATCCTCGCTCCATGGGCCCCATCGAGTACGGAGGTATCCGGGCTGGTTCTGAAGAGCTTGGAGCATGGACTTCAACTGCTCTTTCCACTCGTCGATGGGACCCTTGACGGGAATAATCACGCGCTCGGTGACAGCGTTGGCAAGCTGGGCGGCGGGGTCCATCGCGACGGATAGCGGATGGCTGCGTACAATCCTGCGGCTTGCTTTTCGACGGCTATGCTCCCTACTCAGACCTCTTTACTGAATTTCTCTCGACTCACAACAATGACGAACGGGTAACGGGTAGATGACTTGAAGTTGATTTATAGTTGCTGCTAAGCTTAGGTAGCTAGCTGGAGACGTCCGGATCCTTTCAGCTGTCGCAATACTCCTTTCCCCTTCTAGCTGATGTGGAAACAACCTTAAACTTAAATACCCGTGTTCACCGAGAACGAACAAGACGCGACTGGGTAGGAGAATACGTTCCAGACGAGAAGCTTGGCTTTGGATGGAGGTGTGTGAGAAGAAACAAGGCTGATGACGTTCCTCCCGGCTGGGAGAAACGGTATTCATGTTCGCCCGACAGTCTGGCACCGCAGTTCGGGTTGTGGCGAAGCGCAACGCCGACGGCATATTCTCACTTCCCTCCCTCCCTGTCCACCGAGGCTATCGTGGGAACCCCCGATCAAAGCTTCATGGGTTCGTCGACGTCCGTCAGGGCGCGCGAGAGGGGAAATAACCTCGCGAGAGCGCGTCGCAATCGCAAGTTTACCCATTCCGCCGAGGCTTGTTGTCGAGCCCAAGAGTGTTCCAAGCTCCCTCGTTCTCACGGAGCGAAGCCGGCGAAACCCAAAGCGGGAAACGTTCTAGAAACGCCGCGCCCTCCGCTCCGCGCCAACTGAGGATTGCCGATGCGAAACTTCTCCAGCCGCTCCTCCGGAGCTGGCCGCACCCCGGCTCAGTCCGCCCGCCGTCTGTCCCATGGCTGCGGCTTTGCAATGTCAAGCACGCCATTGGGCGTTTGGCAGGTTTGAGAACGCAGGTAGGGTTAGGGAAAGATGGGATGATGTATGTATGCAGGAGAAAACGAGAGTGTGCGATGTTGCTTGACGCCCGCACTCGGACAATGCCGGCCGAGATAGCCGGTGAACTGGCTGGTTTACCCCACGGACATGGACGGCCAGCTCAACTTGTTTCGTTTCACTTGCGTCTCCCACCGCGAAGATAAGACACCGTCTGTCAAGACTGCATCTTGCATGCCGCATCTCACAACGGGAACGGCTGTCTGTGTGTTCAAGGTTCCCGTCAAATAACGTTTCATGACAAGTTTCTTCCCGTCCACCAAGTCCGCGACTCCCGCCCACCTACCCCAACTATCTCCTACACGAACATGGCTGTGATGTGCCGTTTGTTCGCATATTATACCGCTTCAAGCTTTCGATTTCAACCCAAAACTGCTCCACGACGTCCGCCACGTCAAGAAGAAGAGAGTTTCATGACATGGTGCCCCCCACTCAGCCCAGACGAGTCCAGCCGTGGCCAACTTGCGCCACGACTGCACTTACACCATGGCGGCGGTGTGCCACCCAACAGGTTTCCAAGCCACCATTTGGGCATCTGTCATGTTTGAATCTAGTTAGGCCTGCATTTAATGTTCGTATTAGGCAGCTGTCGACGTCGAACAGGTGGTCGGTCCATAGACCTAAAGCAACTGTTACAGCTCGCTTGCCGAAAAGCCTGCAGATCCGCGTATTAGAATCGAGACTTCAGACGGCTCGGTCTCTTTCGGCCTCGAACTCGCGTTCTGGGAGCTCCCCGAGCAACGAACGGGTGTAGTTCATGAATGTCCGCACGAATGGGTCCAGCCGTTAGAGCATGAGTAGTGGGAACTACTGCACGACGTCGTTCGTCCTCCAATATTCCAAGATAAGCAAATATATCGTGACGTGCATTGTTGACTTGTCTCGTTGGGGTCCACAGCAACTGGGGATCTGATCGTAGAAGATATGTTAAATGGCCTTGAGAGTCTTGATTTGATCGTGATGAGGGTTCGTCATTGGCAAATGCTACAATACCTCCCTCTCGCCTTGACTTCTGAGATAAACCTTGGAGATAACCCCTTATTGCTATAACCAACCCTCAAATCGGCACTATGGCACCGACCCACAAGCCCATGGCCCTTCCTCCGAACTTCACCTCAGAAAAGTTCCAAGAATTTATCCTCCGCGCTCAAGACATCTGCGGCGCCGAAAATGTCCGCGTCGTCCCGAATGATAAACCGCTTGAAGGCGACTCGTACCTCAACCAGCCGAAGTCGCACGACCACTTTCCGCTTTACGAGAAGACGAAATTCGTAGCCTCAGCTGTCATCACGCCGCGTCATGTACCCGATGTCCAGGCCCTGGTTAGCCTTTGCAACGAGACGGTCATGCCCGTTTGGCCCATCTCCCTCGGGCGCAACTTCGGATACGGCGGAGCCTCTCCGCGCGTTCCGGGCTCGGTGGTGATGGACCTCGGACACCATATGAACCGAATCCTCGAAGTCAACGTCGAGGGTGCGTACGCTCTTCTCGAGCCCGGCGTAAGCTTCCGTGATCTCCACGAGTACCTCGAGAAGCACAACCTGAGGGAGCACCTGTGGCTTTCCGTCCCGGTCGGGCAGGGCTCGGTGCTCGGCAATGCTGTTGAGCGAGGAGTTGGAGCTACGCCATACGGCGATCATTGGGGTATGCATTGTGGTATGGAGGTGGTACTTCCGAACGGAAAGTTGGTGCGCACCGGGATGGGCGGCGTGCCGAACCCCAACGCCGACCCGAACGTGAGGCCCGACGAGCAGCCCGCCAATGAGACTTGGCAGCTCTTCAACACCGGCTACGGTCCGTACAACGACGGCCTATTTTCACAGAGCAATCTTGGTATCGTGACCAAAATCGGAATGTGGCTGATGCCAAATCCTGGAGGCTATCAGCCGTACGAGATCACCTTTGAGAACGACTCCGACTTGCCCAAGGTAGTCGACATCATTCGTCCGCTGCGTCTGCAGATGGTCTTGCAGAATGTGCCGTTTCTTCGTCACACACTTCTGAATGCTGCACACAGCGGACCTAAGACCAAGTATACCGACAAGGAGGGCCCGTTGTCCGAAGATGAGATCAATGTCATTGCGAAGCAGCTGGACATGGGACGATGGCAGCTGATTGGTGCTGTGTACGGACCGAAGCCAGTCCGCGATGTCTTGTTAAGAGTCATCAAGCACGAGTTCCTCTCCATACCGGGTTCGCGGTTCTTCCTCCCTGAAGACCGACCAAGAGAAAGCCCTCTCCGGGCCCGAGAGTTGCTGATGCAGGGGATTCCTACAGTGGAAGAGTTGAAATGTCTTGAGTAAGTCAGCTCGTCTGAGATAAGATACGAAAGCAGCTAACGAGGTGGTCAGATGGCTCCCCAACGGCGGTCAACTTCTGTGGGCTCCCATCTCAAAGGTCTCCGGTGAGGACGCAAAGAAGCAGCACGACGTCGCCAAGAATCTGATCACGAAATACGGCTTTGACTACCTCGGCGCCTTCGCCGTTGGAATGCGAGAGCTTCGTAAGTCTCCCAATCGAATTCTGCGGCGATTCCATGTTCTTACATGATATGTTACTGATTATCGTCAGATCATGTAATTGGTATTCCCTACCGTCTCGATGTGCCCGACGACGTGACTCGTGTCCGCCAGCTGGCTCACGCGCTCATAAAAGAGACGACAGCTCACGGATGGGGCCAGTTCCGCGCTCACACGGCTCTTATGGACCCCGTTGCTGATGCCTTCAACTGGAACGACAACGCACAAATGCAGCTCAATGAGACCATCAAGAACGCGCTCGACCCTAATGGGATCATCGCACCGGGTAAGAACGGCGTATGGCCCGCAAGTTACAATAAGAAAGATTGGGTGTTGGACGGGAAATAATCGTCACGAATGCCAGGCAAGTGGTGAAGGAAAACTGTCGCTTCTGGTAGGGTTCAGTGGTGAGAGGAGCGGACATGAAGCGGCAGCTAATCTCATCCAAATTTTGGGCCGTGTTATGAATGGAGACTAGACGTCCTGGGCCGAACGAGATGTGACGTGTAGGTGATGCTTAGAGATTTGGTAGTCGATGAACGTAGACAGAATGACGAGGTCGACAAAGTCGACGGACGCTGAAAAGATAGAAAGGCTAGAACAATAGATACCCTCGGCCATATCTATCGCCGAGGAGTAGAGCCCAAGAACGTTACCGAAGTCGGTTAGATGAGGCTGATCAATTTGAGATGCAATCCCACACATCTCGATCCACGTAGGCCACGTTTCTTTTTGATCTAATAAGCCTAAACCGATCAGCCATTTCCTTAGCCCAAGGATGAGTAATTACCGGCTAGTCAGGAACGAACTGGAGGTAGACCCGATGCGACCGGGGTCCGGAGCTTCATATCCGGGGTCCGATCCCGGATGAACGGGCAAGCAAGACAAACAGTCATCACTTTTCATATCGAGCCATCAATTCGCAAAGATCATCTTACCCAAAGCCCGTAGTTCATCTCAAAAGAAACTCCTCCCGCCGTTTTCCCACATCCGGAACAGGGGTTTACTCAAAATCGACGTGAATGAGAGGCGCGAAAAGCCTCATGCATCCGATGTAAGCGTCATCAAGACCGGGGCCGACCATTCACGGCCCGGCGAAGTGGGCCCGCCAAATGGTTCGTCCCACACCGGAGCCAACTCCGTGAGGTACTTCTGACGTCTATTTGATGGTAAGGCTGGCTGGTCGGGAATATTTTGTGGTCGTGTTATGGAGAGCGACATTTTGTTTCTTGCCCGTAGATCTGGAGCTACCGACAATCTGCCCCAGCTCACCTGAGTGAGCGCAATTGGCGATGACGGCACAATTACAGCCAAAGACTCGGGAACGCGAGTGTAAGCGCGTCGGAAATACACCAACTACGCAATTAGCTCGACCAGGTGAGAAAATTTCCGATGAGCCGCGCAGGCTCAGTCTATGAAATCATCTCTGAATCGTCCCGCCGGGGCTGGCGGTGGAATCGACGCACCGAAATCGGGACTGGCGGTCGTGATGCGGTAATGCATATGGGGAGGACGTCGACTTTCTTGATTCGTGCCAGCGAGCCAAAGGGGATATAAGAACCAGCTTGAGTTCGCTTATTGCAACGGGAAAAAGAAGAGACCTTCAGCGCAATCCAATCGCAACAACACAACGAGGAACTTCATACCGAAGGTCCAACATGGCGCCTAGAAGCCTTCTTCAGCACGCCGGGCTGCTTGCCTTGGCCACGAGCATCAACGCCATTCCGTTTGTCTCAGAGCCGCAGACCACAGTCACCTCCGAGCCGGCCTTCACGCCCTCTCAGGTCCCTCACACCAACGTGACCTCCCACGGCCCTTACACAGGCCCATCGCCAACCACGACTGGTGCCATTTCAACCAGCGTCCTGGCATCCGAGGTTCCTCAGCTCCCTCCTCCAGACGACGCATACGACTACCCTGCAGACGGAAAACTTCACGGTGACCAGCCAGCTCCGTATACCCCGTCCGGTGGCATCGGGACTAATGGCTCTGCTCCGGTCTACCGCGTCCAGAGTGACTTTGACTTCCAGTCTCTCGCTCTGGGCCTGTACCAGGAGTACATTGAGCTTGACCTCTTCCACTGGGGTCTTGCCACCTACTCTGATGAGGACTTCGAGGAGCTTGGCTTGAATGCCGAGGACCGCTTCCTGCTGCAGCACATGGCCGACCAGGAGATCGGCCACGCGACCGTCATCACGAACCTCCTCGGTCCCCAGGCCCCGCAGCAGTGCACATACAACTATCCCGTCTCAAACCTGCGCGAGTACATCGACTTCAACCAGAAGCTCACCCGCTGGGGCGAGGCCGGCGTGTACGGCTTCCTCCCTCACCTCAACTCCGGCCCGGCCGCCCAGCTCTTGCTGCAGAGCATCACGGTCGAGGCCCGCCAGCAGATGATCTTCCGCCAGTTCGAGGGCCTGTTCCCGATGCCTGAGTGGCACACCGTCGGTATCCCGCAGAGCTGGGCGTGGACGTTGCTCGCCCCTTATATTTCCTCCTGCCCCTGGAACCAGACTCGTTTGATCTGGCAGAACTTCCCTGCTCTGCACATCCTGAACCAGCCTAACCCTTACCGCATCAACGGGTCGAACGTCTGGAACGAGACCACTGGAGGTTGGGCCAACACCGCGGCGACGACCAACATCACCGACTCCGAGTCGTGCGTGAACGCCACGGGCCCCGGTCAGGACTGCAGTGCTGCCATCACGCACAACCGCACCGAGCCGCTGTCGTACCCCGGTCGCCAGGTGTTCCTGCAGTGGGACGCGCCTGGGCAGCCGGTTGGCCCCAACAACAGCTACATCACCTCCACCAATGTGCAGGAACCCAAGTTCGCCGCGTGGGTGTCGCAGCTGAACGTCACGTACTCTGCTTTGCTGAATGTCAGCATGGAGGATCGTACCGCGTACACGATCCAGCCTAACGTGTCGACTTGGGAGTATGACCCAGCAATCAACTCGACCATGTTCCTGGCTCTTACGGACACTGATCTGTACGTCACGCCGTACAACTTGACCATGATCAACCCGCATGTTGCTGCTCTGGCCGTGTACCAGGCTGGCTAAGCATCAAGTAACTGAACATAAGACCTGCTTCGGCAATGTCATCAGCATAACGAAGATCAGGGGGATGCCGACGGATATTGTTCTGGCTCACTTCCTACTACTGTAATGCTTAGCGAATAATTTTAATGAAATGAACATGTAAATGGACCTTTACTCATCTGAATGCGTATTTCGCTTGATTTCTCTCCATCCAATGTGACCAGTCTCAATGGTGAGTAGGTCGCTTGACTCCTCATAATCATGTCGCCAAGGATTTGGGGGACTGTGTGAAAATCAATTGGCATTATGTTGCTCGCCTAGAATCATAGTAACTTCGTTGCACGTCTGAATATTTTCTCATGTCAACCCGTATTCGCCGGTCCATGCGAAGATGCGGACCCTATTTCCCCGTGCGCCATGCGGCCTTGCACGCCTTCTTTTGTTCTACCGAATGCATGTACAATTGTGAAGACAATCCATTAGAGCTCGTTGTGCTCCTGACCGTCGTCGGAGTCGGCGACGATGGTCTTGACGACATCTGCAGCCTCGGCAACCTTGCTTGCGACCTTCTCGGCGATCTTCTCGGTGGCGGACTCGGCAGCCTCGCTGGCCTTCTCGCTGGCCTTGACGATGATCTTCTCGGGCTTGGGGACACCGTCGATGCCGACGAGCTCGGTCTCGAAAACTATAGAACCCTGTGATTAGCCTGGAAATTTTCAATCAGGCTGCCACAGACACATACCAAGGGTAGAGCCGGCAGGAATAGGGCCCATGCCACGGTTGCCGTAGCCCAGCTCAGGGGGAATGGTCAAGGTCCTGCAAGGCGTCAGAATCGATTGGTCTTGGAGTGTTTGAGCGGCTCTTATTCACCTCTTCTCGCCAATGCACATGTCCAAAAGACCCTGGTCCCAGCTGTCGAATTGTCAGTTAAAGTTCTTCGCTGTTTGTTGACCGTATGACTGAACTGACCCCTTGATAACCTGGCCGCTGCCGAGCTTGAAGCTGAGAGGGGTTCCGCGGTCGTAGCCTTGAAGAATGAGGCGTCAGTATTGATACATTGGTCTGGAAGCTGTGACTCCGGCTTACTGGCATCGAACTTCTCTCCATTAGACTGCAGGGTACCGCGGTAGTGCATGTTGACCTTGTCGCCGTTCTTGGTCTTGCGCTCGCACTCGACGGCCTGGGTAACGTCGATCTGGAGGTCGGCAGCAGCAACGCTGATGGCGCTGGAGGCCAGAAGGCCGAGAGAAAGAAGGAGACCCTGCATTGTGACTGAAGTTGGACGGCGAGGCGTGAGTGTTTTGGTGAAGATTGGTCGTGATATGAATGATTTGGCGGTCAATTGGTCGAGGTAGAGACGAACAGCTGGCGAGCAACAAGGAAGACAGCTGCAGCGGCGGGGGGGACCACTGCCCGCCAACCGGTGGCGGAGGGCGGGTTGAAGCCACGCCGCCTTTCGGTGCCCGGGCCACCCCCGGTGACAAGTCTCCGATTGGCCAATCGGCTCCGAGATTGAGGGGATCCTTATCAGATATTCCGGGGCTCGGATCCATCTTTATCGATAAGGCGTGACGAGGGTGGCTTATCTTATCGCCTTGCGTCTGCCTTGCAGCAGGGGACCGAGAGCTCCCACTGACAGCTCTCCGTGACGTGTGACGTCAAACCGGACAGACGCCAAACACTGAACCAAAACACTCCCACGATGATGATGATGACGGGCAGTGGGGGCCCTCGCTCGCACGTGAGATTCTCGAACGCCCTGGATTTCTCATCATCCTGGATCCGAGTCACTTGACCTCGCGTTCAGCTCGCTCAGGAATCCCAGGTACACGCATCGCCTCGCCTGCCTGCCTGGTCTGGCACCCGCTGCTCTTTGCGGTTCGATCTTTTCTTTTTCCTAAGCCTCGACTTCGTGTCCACGAGGTCCTCGACCACAGCCGGGCGGTGCAGAACCTGGACACCGAAGTGAAGAGTCATTGCGGCCAAGGCAGATCATTGTGGCATGTCTGGAGCTGCCGAGGCAGGCGCCGTCCACGAAGTCCTGTCTCATTTGCTGGACGTCAACGCCATCAACCACCATCACGGCCGTTTTTTCGATGTGCTACCCACCTCGGCGAGTCGGCGACGTTGCGTGCCTGTCAGAAATGTCCACGCACCATTCAACGTCAACTTCGATTGACGACTGCAACGGGACAGATGCATTGGACGACGGGCTTTCTTACGCGTGGGGTGTATCGAAACTGAAAAACGATACGATTGCGAGCGGACAGAGCCAGAGCCGGCTTACCACTTTTGCATCTGGGAGCGTTTTCCACTTCAAGTAGTTTCTGCAGCAGGTCCGTCGCTCATCGGCCGTCTACTGTCAGAGCCCGCCAACTCATCCGTCGCCCGACCTCCAGTCGCAGATCGAATCATGCGGCTCGCCCTGCTCGACCAACTCAATCTGCACGCCAAAAGCATGAACCACTCCACCAAGCAAATCGATCACTCACAGCAGACGGCTTCCCGCGATCTTGCCAATTTCGTGCAGTCGTGCTGCAGACTGATCACGCTACCGCAGCGATCGCTGCACATGCAGACTCACCCGCTGGAGACCCGATTGATCGATTGATCGGGCTCGACAGCGGCCGGTTGGGTCGCAGGACAGGGTCCGCCCCAGCAATCCCCCAAACATTCAGAGGCACGATCCGAACTCTGGGCCTTGGGCGAGCCCGACCGGACCGCCTCCATGTTCCAGAAACACAGACGTCTTCGCTTGTCTACCGCGGACGGTCCCGTCTGGGTGGAAACTCTGAGATGAAAGGCGCGAAAAGCAAAATTGCAATGATGACCGAGGATGATTCAGGCCATGCGTTGGGCAGCGATGGCGTCGGTACGCCAAGGGCTATGCTGGTCAACCTCGATGACACGGCGAAGAAGAAAATTTCTTCAACTTTGTGCGATGCCACATTCGGCTTCTCCCTGCCCAAGAGGGCACTGGCGGATGACCACTCGGGAGATTTTCCAAGACGCTGGCTGCACGGCGCTTGAGTGGCCAACCATGCCCACCTACCATGACCTACCACCGCCCGTCCGTCTATGCCGCAGCCTTCAGTCAGACATCAAGCAGTGACACAAGGCCTGCTCGACTTTGGTCGCCGTTTTTTTCCATTTCACTGCAAAACGTGCCGCCCCCAAAGCTGAACAGCCATGACGCCGAGACGACAGACGCGCACGCCTGCTTCGTAATCGACATCAGGCTGTCACCAATCCAGGTTTTCGGTACGAAAGTGTACTTTCCCCAAGTCTACGCATGACGAGGAATGATGGCGAGGAAATGTCTGGCGCTTACAAAGGGGAAAAGGGGAATGTTTTCAAGGTCAAGGTCACTACACGCGGCAGCCGGGGCGAGACACCACACACCCAGGCGGCAGTCTGTCAATCATGGCCCTGACGAATCCGCCCTGCAGTGTGTGTCGTCTGGTCAGTCTGGCTCGTCTTTGCCCAATCATTCGACCCATTCGCCACCAAGGCACTGCAATCAACCAGATGCGCTGCTATTTGCAGGACGCAGACTCTCTGGTGTACGAATACTGCGGTAAGGACTGCAGCAGGACGATTCCATGCAGGCGGACCCACTGGACACCACCCACCCTTTCTTTGCCGCACTTGCAACATCAACAACAACCTTCTTCCCTGCTTCCTTGGTGATCCCAGGACGTTAACAAACGGAGGCTAACCGTCTTAGCCAGTTTTCCATGCCCAACTTCCCTGCATCTAGGACCCTTGAACGTGACAAAGCTGCCCAAAGGACTCTCTTCTCGCAGGGCGATGCCCTTTTTTCTCTGATGGTCAGCCCCAGGGACATGGGACATGGGACATGGGTTTGACGGCAGCCCCCACTGCCACACACCTTTCGTCGTCGTCCCTCGAGCCATCTTCCAGCTTCCACCGTCACCCTCAGTCATTATTCTACTTCTTGCTAAGCCAGCGAGGCCGTCCACAAGGCTTCTTTCGCCCAGGGCTGGCTGGCCTGGTTTCGACCGGGTACCTCTCAAGGCCAGACAAGCAACCCGAGATGGGCCCCGTCCGCTGTCTCCACGGCCGGGCTGGTCCCTGCCTCCCGGCAAGTGCTGGTCACCCTCAAATGTACATGAAGATGCGTCCTAGGACCTCTGTTTGTGTCTTCTTCGACTATATATCAGCCGTCTCCTCGGATTCTTCTCCTATTTCTTCTCTCGTCTCATCAAGCATCCAAACCAAACCCATCCATCCATCTACTCAAGGACATCTTCCTCTACAAGCAAGCAAGCAAACAACTTCCAACTCCATCTCACACTCCAAGCCGAGTCACAACCAAACATCATCACCACCAACCCAAGACACACACAGAAGCCACCAACACTTCCACATCACACACATCAAAAATGTCCGGCTACAGAAACCCCGTCATCATCCACCAGACCGCCCCCTCGATCAGCAGCGGCTACACGGCCTCCTCCTCCTCCGGCTCCTACGCCTCCTACGACTCCTCCACCCCGCGCTCCATGTCCCCGTCCGACGAGGTGTCCCTCCGCGTCTACGGCGCCGACAAGCACACGAGCTCCATGCGGAACGGCAGGAACGTCACCGTCGTCAACCGCAACCAGCCCGGCTACGAGTACGGCGCGCCGTCCCCGAGCTACGGCAGCAGCTTTGCCCGTCGGACGCAATAGCAAGACGGACGGGTCGAACCTTTACACACACACACACACACACACACACACACACACACACACACACACACACACACACTACACTGTTTCGATATTGTAACTTGCATATTCTTTTCTGCGTTGGCGTTTAGGAGGCATTCGGGGCATTACTACCACGGGCGGTATTTCTGTACGGGCATACACTTTTGTATCACCAATTCATGGGACATCAGGGATATCGGGGAATTCGGGAAACGGCATGGATGATAATGCAGGATTATGGGCCACGCGCCGTGGGCCTCAGAGCACAGAACCGGATGGATTACTTGCAGAATGTTGTACATCACGGCGGCCGGGGGGGTTCGGTCGGTCGGCCGGGCCTGTTTAGACTAGATTTGCGGGACAAACAAACCTTGGGCTGGGGCATTTTCATCAAGAAAGATTTCGATATCCAAGACCTTTAATCGGAAACTTCCTTCTTCTTTTTTGGCACCTGTCAAATCTGAACTGCTTCTAATTCTGAAGTCTCCGCGAGATTGATTGTGTCTACCACTCCTACTTACCGAATTCGGCCGAGGACCCTGTCCCGTCTCAGGGTGCTGCGACGCTGGAATTCAATGACACACGCAGCGGATTGCTCTTGCTGATTCGCCGCGCCGTGGGCTCCCTCCCTCCCTGCAGGATTCCCGTGTTCCGGGGCACAGTAGTTACCGCAGTATGGTACTTTTACTGCAAGGGGGCGTCTGATGCTGACTGTCCTAGCATTCTCTTTTGTCTGGCCTGGGCCGTTTACAGCGAGGCTCGCAGGCAATAGCTTTCGTCTGACTCTGGTGGCTCGCTGGGGTTGCGATGAGGTCATACCCCGGCCGGTGGACGGTTCACGTGTAAACGGACGGGAGAGCTTCCAAGAATAGAACGGGCGGCGGGGACCCTGAGCATGCCATCGCATGTTAATAGACGACAATCGCGATAAGGCTGAGGCGAAGCTCACAAGGAAACATTTCATGCGATGGATTATGGGACGTTCGTGATTGAGTGCAGTGTTGGATAGATTTGTTTGTTGGTATTTTCAGAAACATGCAGGCCAGATGGCTACCCACGATAACAAGGAAACACTCCCGCATCGCCCGGTTCCAGCACCAGTTAGACTTGTTTTTTGTGTAGTTATTCATATCTCATCAAGGAAACTTCCCCATCCTCAAGGGTCCTGAGGCTCAACCGTGGAACTGCGAAACCGATAATCCTACATCGTATTTCGGCGCCGTGCGTCCGGTCGTTGGTGTTGCATCGCATCGCAACCGTTGATCTTTCCCCACACCTCGTTCGCCTCATACCGTCAACTGATCATGGATTGATGAAATGACCGTCACTGTTTAAGCACCACCCTCGCGCTTGGCGTACTCGTCCTCGATCGCCTCGGCGTACTTGTCGTCTGCGGTGCGCGGATCCTCCTTGAGCACGCCCTCGGCGACGAGCTTCTCGGGGTCAGGGCGGTGGGACAACTTGTCGTTGAGGGTGTCGGCGCGCATGTGCATTTCGAGCTCCTTTTGGTGGGCGATCAAAGAGGGAGCGGCGTTGGATGCGGGGAGGATGTTCTCTGCGGAAGGTGGAGATGGAGTCAGCGTCTTGTCAATTGCAGTTCACGTTTGTTGGTCGGGTTGCTATATGCGGAAACAATATTCAAGATGCGACGATGGAGTTGAGGGTTGGGATCGGCAGGTGAGGCGGGCGGTGGGGGTAGTTGCAGATGGATGCTTGGAGGAAAGAGTGGAGGCATGAGATGGGGGCGACGCTGAAGCCGAAAAGGGGAAAACAGGGAAGTGATGCTGATGTCGGGACGGGAGTGGGAATGAAAGTGAGGCTAAGGGGGCGACATACTCTCGACCAGTTCGGCGCGGTCGGGTCGGTGCTGGAGGTGAGCCTCGAGGGAGTTCTTGCGTTCGCCGCGAGACGGGGAGATGGGGGTCTCGTCGACGGCGGCTTGTTGGTTGGTGTCGGGCTTGGTGTTCTCGTCGGCCATTGTGGATTTGGTGACGGTTCGTATTCTGCGGGTTGGATGGGGCGGGGATGTCTCGTCGATGCTGTCTCGCCCTGTTTTGCGGTGGTATTGGGATGTGCGAGAAAGGATCTTTTATGCTGTCGCCCTGTTTTTCCTTTTGGTGTTGGGTAAGGTGATCGGGTGGATGCAAGTGCAAGTTTGGTTCGCGATGGAGATGGTGTTGATGTTTAATGGGAAATGGTAGATGAGGGGGCGGTCGTGGTATGTTTTGTATGCTCGAGGTCTGCCACGCTTTGGGCAGCTGGTGTCAGTCTGAACAGCTAGCGAAAACCAATGAGATGCAGAAGCAGGATCAATCAAGTTCGGTTGGTATGGCAATGGGCGCTTGCTGGCTGAGGCACATGGGATGATGAATGGAGGCCCTGGACGTGGAGGGAGGTCGAGAATGCTGCATTTTGGTGCATGCACTGCAGGTGAGAGCTCCTGGTGTTTACCCCGCAACCCTGCTTGCCTCCTGGTCCCTGAGGAAAGTGCCCCCCAATTGCATCACCACACGGCAAGCACCACCCAGCTAGCTTCGTGCCTGCCTGAGCTGTCATGGCAAGCTCTCATTTGCTGAATATCTCTGTTTACTGCCATTTGCATCTGACGTTGCATGTGAATACTCAGCTCCAGCTTCGTCACCTCGGAAACATCGGCAGCTTCACGACATTTTTTCGATTTAAAGACCTACGACCGTTGACACTCGAACGAAGCTCGAGAGCGACGAGACAGCTGCCACAGCTGCCGCAGCTCTCGGACTTTGACAGATGACGTCTGCAGCACGGGGGACCCTCCAAGCCACCACCAGTCACGCCACCAAAGACATCAATCCAGCTGCAGCACCCTGCTTACCTGCCCTGCAAAGCACCGACGAAGCCAGGCCTCGGTGATGAGATCATGAGGACCAAATCGCCATTTCGCTTCGCAACAACCCCTGGTCGCCTCGCCTCATGACCAGAGCAGTCCGACGCCGATAGCCGTCCAGACCACACTTCCGGCCGCGATTGTTCCGCCTCTGTCACCATGTCAGCCAACGTACTCAGACTACGACTTGGTCGCGAAATCACGACTTGCGACTCACAGCTGTGGCCCCTGCGCCTGCCAAATGGCGACTGCATCCCAGAGACAGAGAATCGTCCCGGCCAGGATCACGACCCCCATCTCCGCGTTCTTACCCTGCCGCGCGAACGCGAATAAGGCCGCGGCGATTGACAGGCCCCGCGCCCCGAGAAGCGGCATCAGTCGCGTAACCGGATCCGACGGCGGCAGGCCGAAGAAATGGTTCGCCGCTTGGTGCGGGAGAAGAATGTCGAAAATGCCGAGACCGGCGTAGCTCACTGCTACTGACAGCCCCAGCGTGCGCCAGGTCGATGGCTGGAGATATGCCATATCGTGGCACTCGCTGAAACTGTGATGGATTTTTGAGGTTCACAGTCCAAAGCTTGCTAGAAACGCGATCCTCACATCTACGCTCCAGTGCTGACATGTTCCAGGTGATGTTATGATGGCTGTGGGTATTTGCTACCCAGCCTATGGTCTTTCTTCCCGTCTCCTGTTCTCACGTCAGCACGGGGTCGCTAGGCCACCATTAGTGGTGCAGTCATGGCAAACAATATCTTTGCAGTCACGGCACAAGCAGATCAATGAGGCTCTACTTGTGTGCTGAGCTTTCGTACACAACGCGGACACTTCGCCGAGACCCCTCTCCGGCACCCACGGCAATATGCCGTGTCAATCTCATTGGCATCGAGTTTGCTGCAGTCATCGTGTTTCACCTCAAGGCATTCACGCGTTCCAGCGCAGAACGATCGGCCTGTCTTTCTGCCTTGTGTTACCCTCGTCTATGCTTAAGTATCATGATGCCACGTTTGATTCTAACTGTCGTCGTCTCAAGCTTCCTCCTCACTCGGTTTTTTAAACCAAAACTTGACCATCCAATAGAAACCAGTCGGTCGCCCTCCTGTCGTTACCACAATACCATGCGTCTTCTTGATGCCCAAACCTGCGAGCTGAAGGAGTTCTTTTCGCCCCTAATTCCGCCATACGCCATTCTTTCTCACACGTGGGACGAAGAAGAAATTATCCTGCAAGATCTCGCCAGACCCGAGACCATCACCGACAAAAAGGGTTTTCAGAAGATCAAGAAGTGCTGCGCACAGGCCCTCATCGACGGACACGACTGGGTGTGGGTTGACACGTGTTGTATCGACAAGACTTCGAGCGCAGAATTGTCCGAAGCCATCAATTCCATGTATCGATGGTACCAAGAAGCAGAGGTCTGCTATGCCTACATCAGAGACTTGCCGCCCCAAATCTCGGAAAACCTGGACCAGGAAGCATTCAAGTCGGCCAAGTGGTTCACTCGGGGCTGGACACTGCAAGAGCTCATTGCACCAAAGATCGTCGAGTTTTACGATGAAGGCTGGAACCGAGTTGGTACCAAATCCCAACTAAGAAATCTGATCAAGGAAATCACGGGCGTAAAATCCAGAGTTCTTCTGGGAACGAAATCGCCTTGGTCTGTCTCTGTTGCCGAGCGCCTGTCGTGGGCGGCTACAAGGTCTACATCGCGAGAAGAAGACATCGCATACTGTTTGCTCGGGATTCTGAACATCAACATGCCGTTGCTGTATGGCGAGGGCCCGAGAGCTTTCATCAGACTCCAGGAGGAGTTTTTACGCACATCGGAAGACCTGACACTTTTGCTATGGACCCTCGAGCCCAACACTACGTCGGATTCCGATTTGGAAGAATCCGGTATCCTCGCGTCAAGCCCGGATGGATTTGCCAAAATCAAAATCATAGACTCGGAGGGACATCACTTCGCGATACTGAACAACTGCTGGGATGTGGTCAAGTTGCCGCAGCACTATCTCTCTCCTCTTCGTCACCTTCGTGGTCCCACATGGCGAGCGGAAGAGGGACATGTTCCCGTGCCACCAGCAATCACACCCCGCGGACTACATGTGGAGCTGGTCATCATCATGCTTCCCGGAAAAGAAGAGAGATACTTCGCTTGGACAGGCCGGCTGTTCAGTCAAACTGGCAACCCGTCCATAGCGAACCCCCGGGTTGGGTATCTCTGTATCGAGCTGTGTCGCAATGGACAGGCTTTCAGGGTCAACACGGGCAGCTTATTGTTCATCGACAGTAATCAATATGTCACCTATGCCCGCCTTCTGCCTCTCTACCTGGCTACCAAATCTTCCTCCGAAAACAGGTATGACAACGATGTCAGCTCGGCGGCCAGCATCGTTACGGACCGTTCAGCCGATGGGGAGAACTCTCGATTCAAGTTGTTGCGATCAAGCCGGACTTGGGCTTTCTAACCTGGCAAACGCCTTGTTCATCATTGAGGGCAGCCCCTTCGAGGCTTCTTGTGCTTTCCGTGGCTCTTGCTGAGAAACCTGGAAGGAGTTCTACGCCTCATTGAGCTTGGTTGTCATGGCGATTTCAGACGACTGGCTTATGCTTCTTCCGTTCCACGCTAACTGTGTTGTGGGAGGTCTTTTTTTGGCGTAATAGTGTAGGTTGTACATTCAACTTGCTGTTGTCCAATCTCATACATTAGGTTACTTCTCCTCATCTTCGCAGAAGTACTGCGTCCACTCGCTCCTTCCCAAGTCACCGAGTCTGAAATCCAAGTCGGAGCAAAACGGAGCGGAAATGCCCTGCGAAGTGGCCTTCTCCCAAACAGCAAAGCCCTCTCTTTTGTCGGAGGCGAGTGCGGGAAGTGTCAGCTCGGGGTCGCCGCACGTCGTGAAGCCCATCAGACGGTGCGATTCTTCAGCCATATCGGCATGCTGCAGTTGTTGCTCGTTCTTGTCCGCCACTGGGAAATGAGTCTCCTGGCAAGTATGTCAGTTCCATGTTTCTCATACCCGATGATAGAAGCGACGTACGACAGCGAACTCATTGAGCGACATGTCTGTGACATGAGGAGCCATGGGATAGTGGCGCGACTCCTCATCCTTCTCAAAGGTTAGCTCGAATGCGTCGAAATCAGGAGTAAGATGCCACCGGAGAGGTTACGTACGAGGACTTCAGTGTGCTTCACGTGTCGCGGCTGGCCGGGCCAGACTCGGCATGACGACGGATGTTGAAGAGAGGGTTGGAAGTGTGATTCATGCTGAGCATCGCGCATCGGCATCTGAGCTACCAACTTCTCCTAGGAGTTGGCTATGCTGCCCTGATCACCCTCGAATATACCGTTGCCATTGCCGCCATCGTCGCCATTCTCCGATTCCTCTTCAACGTCTGAGAAGACATCTTGCACGATATCGCAGAGAAAGGCGCGAGGGCCGCGCGCGTATCGTCTGTTCGTCTCGGGGGGACTTGATCTCATGTCAGTGGAAGACGGCCAGAAGGTGAGATGAAAACATGCCTTTCGTCCCGAGTGCGCTTTCTCGGGTTCTCCTTAGTCGTCTGCTCTGGCACAATCTGTTGCTGGTTGGCCTGTTCCGCAGTTGCCTCGTTCTCCCGATTCTTTTCCCGAGGTTCAATGATCGTGTCGGTATTCTTGTGAGCAATTGGCGTAGATCGATCCACGGGAGAGACAGGCAAAGTTGTGCAAGATGATGGCGAGGCCGGCGGGGGTGTCTTCGAGTTGAGCGAATTCTGCGTTATGGCACCCTGAGTAGGCGACTTCTGCTTGGTGTTCCTGAAAATGGTCTGGCTAGTCTCCATGCACTTCTGTTGCGCAGGCGTCTCCTGGGTGCTCTCGACGATGAGATCGCGAGTCTTTTTAGGCGTTGCCTTGCTCAGCGTCGGCTCGGTAGGCTTCTCTCGTGCCGGCGGTTCTGCGATCTTCTTGGTAGCGATGGGTCGGGTAGTCTCCGCTGTGCTTGCCACTTTCTTCTGAGTCGACTGATCGTTGATAGCTCCTTCCTTGGTTGACTTTTTGTTCGGCAATTTGGCGTCTTGCTTAGGGTTCTCCGTCGGGAGAGAGAGATTCTGTGGTTCATTAGCTGAGATCACGAAGTCGGAAATCGAAGAAGCTGCGTACCTTTGCTTCAACTAGCGTAGCACGTCTCGACCTAGCCGAGTTGCCGGGCTGACCTGCCGCCATCGCCGCTGCCTCGGTTGCTTCTCGGGCGGCAACGATCCTCGCCGCCTCTTTTTCGTTGAAGGCCTTCTCGTAGAGAGAATGCCCGCTCAACGGAAACGGTCGCGGCGGGAGTGAGGGCCCGGCCGTGCCTGCCAGCGAATGCCGTGAAAGCGGATTCGGGTGACTCGGGAGCTGTTGCTTGCGAAGGTTCTCGATGATGGTTTGCGCTTCCTTTGGCACCACCACATCACCGCCGGGGGTACGTACCGCTGGCTTTGGTGGAAGAGAGGTGTCGCGGTGGGTTTGAGGCCTGAGGCCGGCGTCGAGGTTTTGTTCCTTTCGAGGTGTGAGTGACGAACAAAGAGGATTGAGTTGGGCTTTGAGGTGAGTCGAAAGTACCGTAGGCAAGTTTGCCCCGTCAACGCGACGGGGCTCGTTGCTTCTTGGCATTACTAGATGCTACTTTGGAATCTTTCGAGAGCAAAATATGAAACGATGGAGAAAGCAGGCCAAATAGCCGCAACCAAAACTGAAGAGCATATATCCTTGAATCAAAAGAAGATGGAAGAAAGAAAGACCAAATGTGATTGGAAAGAACTCAACCATTTCATATCAGCGGATTGACGAGGCCGCACACATCTTCTACGATCCGCCATTGTTGTCTGTTCGACTACATCGTGGGTATGATAAGGTCATCAACCTAGCGTGTTCCGGCAAAGTCCAAATTTTGAAAGCCCTTTCTCCCAAGCATAACTCGACATACGTTGTTCTTCCATGATGCCTCTCAATGTGTTTTACTCCCCCATATAGAAACCCAAAGCCCAGCGAGGAATCCCGAAGACTCGGCTTCCTTTTGTTGCCTCAACCTTTCAGCCTCCTCGATAGCATCCTCAACCTTTCCAATATTCGCCCGAGAAAGCTGTAGGCGTTGTGCAATCTTGAAAACGTCAACTCGAACGCCATCTTTCGTTTCGATCACGACGTTTCTATCCGCCCCATGTAAGATCATAGATGCCATTGCCTCGGCAATCTCATTGCCCTCCACACTGTCTTTGTCTCCTTTGATACCATGACTGTGGCAGACGGCCAGGAAAAGCTCCCATGGCGACTTTCCTGTGTATGCTCGTAGCTTGTTGTTTGGATCTTCTCCATGATCAAGAAGAAACTTGACGAGACGACTGACAGGTCCTTCTTCCTGGCTTGATATCTGCAGCGGGGTGACCATTGTGGGCCGTAAGGCGTAATCGAGGAGAGGCCTTCCCCCCTTCTTCTTGACCAGGCTTGAGTCGTTTGTGATCTTGTGCTCGACATACAGAGACAGCCTGGCCTGAATAGCAGCTCCTAGAAAGGTCTTCTTGTTGCTTTCTTTGAAGCTGCCTTTCGGCGCGTCTTTGTAATTGGTCCAGTGAACCCCGTCGTGGGTGATTCGCTGCATGTTGACTTCGTCTAGAGCATCCAGTATCCGAAAAGACTTTCCAAGATCAGACTCCTCACCTAGAGACGCAACGTCGCATTCATTTTGGCTGAAATTCCTGACGAAATCGTCCTGGATTCTCCAAGCATAGTGCATCAAACCGTCAGCAAAAAGGAACACCTGATTGAAATCCAGACGCGTCTCATCCGGGTATGGCAGCGCTTTGCTCAAGGCCAACATGATTCTGCACAGAGATAAGAGGGGTTTGAAGTCGCCTGCCTCCTCTGACACAGGAATCTCACTCATGACATTGGTGTCCACGAAGAAGTCCCTGACTGTTCGATGCAGAAAGTCGACCTGGTATCGCAAGAAGGAAGGATCTTCGGTAGCTGCTGATATATAGAGGAGATCGGCGCCTCTGGCGTTGATTTGTTTCGTCAGGTTTGCGTATTCTTCGGTGAGACCTTGTAGCGCAATGGTTTTGACCCCCATTTCTAGCGCATAGTTTTCGTTTTCTTCCTCTTCTTCCCCGAGAAACTTGAACGCCAGGAGAGGGAGAGCTTGTCCCGACTCGATCATCACCTTGAAAGTACGGATGGTGCTGTCTCTGTAGCACTTCTCTATGTTCCCTATTATGTGGCGAAAATAAGACTCCAAGTCGTCGGGAAGTTCGTCGAGTCTTTTCTTGAGGATTTTATAGCTGTCGGCATTCTTCATCCCATCCGTCAAAGATTTTACAATCAGGTAAACCCACAAGAACACACCTTGTGCTCTCCGGACTATTGTCGCAGGAATCTCAGAGCATCGACTGTCCTTTGCTGCAAGCGCTTTGTAGTGCCGCTCTTTCTCCAATTTTTCTTCGACATATGTTTTGATGTCATCCTTCGTAAGGTCCTCCATTTGGAGCTGCCACTCCTTTACCGTTGGATTCAAAGACTCCAGGAATGGGGGCCATGGCCGACTTGACACACATATCTTGACCGAGGGCAGAGACGCCAGCTTGTAGAGGGTTCGGAGAAGATCTTCGAACTTTCCGTGATATCTCTGAGCGCCTGCGGTGTACTCATCCAGCCCGTCGATGAAGAAGCAAATCCTCATGGGGAAGTCGACTTCGGTCATAAGAGCTAGAGTGTCGAACGCCGTCATCAGTTCCGTCTCATCCCATGCCTCTATCAGTGCCGAACGGTCCTGTGCTCTCCAGCGGCGGGCGCAGACCGTTTCGATGAGGCCTGGAACCCCCTTCAATATCTCGAATAGGAGAGTTTGGAGGAGACCTCTTTGAGACTTCTGCATGCTGTTGCCACTGTTCCAAAAGTAGTGGCTTGCTATGGCCACCTTTTTCCCTCCGCTCCACGCCTGGAGCTTCGATCTCGTTGTCATGTGAGGAACGAGAAACTTCATCAGCGTTGATTTGCCACTTCCTGCCTTGCCCCGAATCCAGAAGATGCCTTTCTCAGATTCTAGCCACGTGGAAAAACTGGTGTTTTTTCGCTCAAAGATCCAGGAGAAGGTAGATTCATGGTTCTTCGGTATAGCTCTCTCTCTGGCTCTGATCTGGTCGAAGCGCAGACCTCGCAAGATCTCCTGTTGCTTTTCCACAACCAACTTGGCATCCAGAAACTGGACTATTTCGCGTTGGAGACTTTCGATTTGACCACGAAAATCGTCACTCTGACGTTTCTCCAAACTCCCGACAAGTTGTTGGATACTTTTGAATATGTCATCTAACTTGCCGATTGTATTGGTTTCCAGTCTGTCGTTTTGATCTTTCAGGCTCTTGACTGCGCGTAAGGTTGCGACCTGCTCCCGGCTATTGCCTTGTCAGATTACTGCCGTAGTCAAAGGGATAGGAATATCACGGTTGAGATCTATGATCTGCAGGACGTTGACCTACTGGATTGCAGCGACAAGATATCTTTGAAGCTCATCACGAAGTTTCTTCAATTTGTCCTCGAAACCCTTTGTCTCCCCTTTATCTGAGAGATGGCACAGCGCTACCTCTACACTTGCCCACACCCTTTTGTAAATCTTTTCCTTCCTGTCGACGCTCACCCGGAGCTTATCCAAAAATTCCGTCAAAGCATCCGCAGCATCATCGCATTCGTCAGCTATGGCTCGGAGGCTGCCCGTCGGATCGGAGGTGTCCGAGTTCTTGATAGAGCCGCGTACATTATTGGCGAGGGTCTTCACACTCTCAAGTTCGCTTCGGAGGTTGTTATGTTCAGCGGTGGTACCACTCTCAGATTTGTAGACTTGTCGAGCGACAACAAACAGTTTGAAACCTTGTTCAGCAAATTGCAATAGGTTACTCGCGAGTCCTATTGCAACTAATTCGGCCATCTTGTCGCCGGCGGAGATTTGAACAAAAGTTGATGACTTGATGCTGACCTCCGCATTAGGCTGTGGTGAAAATATGCAGCCGGAATCAGGCAATCGTAACGGGCCGACAATGCTCCTCAACCTCTTGGCTCTGTACACGTGTGCTAACCCCCTGCCTGTTCTAAAATTGTCGATGTCAGCTGATGCCAAATCAAATTTCAGCACGCGGATGAGGCTGACAATGACGAGGGCCATTCTCAAAAAAGACCTTCAACCAGTTTCCGGTGAGGTCAAGACATTGACACTTAACGCAGATACCAACTAGCTGACACCTCAGACCCTCAAAGAAAATGCAGAGAGTCAAGGGACGCACTTCCGGTGGCCGCAGAAACCGAAGTTCCAGATCAGGCTCAATCTTCAATTGGGGACGGCCTGGACGTTGGGAACGACCTGCCTGGACACGGCCGTCCAAATTACAATGGTCGGATCGAACACGGGAAGCTGGTAAGACAGTTCAATGAACTGATTTCAATCTCATGAACTTTGACGGAATGACGACGAAATGATCTGATCACAGCCATTAGAGGAAGGCACATTTGAGAACGAGAGCCGGCCACTGCTTGGTGAGCTCGAGCGGATTCCGCTGGCTGATGATGATAGGTGGTGGGTGCGGTGGTTCAGCATCATGATCGTCAACATCGTCTACAAGCCGCCTGAATTATTCTTGTGGTTTATGCGGCCATTGGTACAATTCTTCTGGGAGTCGATTCAAAGCGCCTGGGGTCTCGTGGTGCTTTCCGTATCGGCAATCCATCATTTTGCGCTGGAAGTCTTGTGGGGGTGTTCCCCCGGTCCGCAACTGGGTCGATTCCTTGTCTTCATTATCTTATTCTTCTGGGTTGCGATTGGACTGCCGTGGCTCCTCATAAAACGTGTTATATAAAATGACCACAAGCCGAAGGATCTTTCCAACGCAAGTAGTGCATCGAAAGTCGCAATTGGTTAGACATCTGTCATTTGATATGATGACATCATCAAGCAGCATGGAGCATGACTTGTTATTACGAACATCGGCACACATGAGTACGCAATATTAAGATATTGCTCCTTTGTCTCTGCCTTGACCCATCTTATGCTCCTCGAGCCTTCACTTTCCGGCCGCTGCCTTTGCATACTGGTCCCCAAAAGCTCCATACCATCGATCAATCACCTCTCCTGCCATGCCAGGCCCAATAGTGTCGTCGCCGTTTTCCAGCTTCTTAGAAACCTCGTCCATGAATTCGTCAACGCTGAGGGCATCGGGATTGTTCTCCTTCTTGTTGTCGTTGGGATCCGATCTTTCACGGTGAAGATCAGTAGCCACTGTCGGTGGAGCGATCTCAACGACCCGAATCTTGGAGCCACCGTTCTTCAACTGTGTGCGAAGGTTCATGCTCCAGAAATGTAGCCAGGCTTTCGTACCGTTGTACACTGGGTTGATGATGGAGAACGGGATGAAGCCGAGCACACTAGAGACGTTGATGATGAGCGCTGATTGTTTATTCTGCAAGTGCGGAAGTAGACCCAGGGCAAGATGCATCGGTCCGCGAATGTTGATGTCGATCTCCTGATCCGCCTTCGAGAGAAAGTCGTCGTCCTTGAGTACCTCAAGGGGCCGCTGAACACCGGCGTTGTTGACGAGACAATCGAGCTCGGGGTGCTCGCTGGTGATCTTCTTCACGAAGTCTGGAATCGAAGCCACGTCTCCTGTATCAAGGACGTAATATCCTGCGGCTCCAATTTCCTTCGTTGTCTCCTGTAGCTTGGATTCGGTTCGACCAGCCAGGAGCACCTTTTTTCCTTTCGAGATGAAGTGTTGGGCCATGACCTTGCCAATGCCACCTGCACCACCGGTGATGACGGCGCATTGGAAGCCCAGGTTGTCCGAGGTAGCCGGTGCCATATTTGCTGTATGTCGTGACAATGCAAGATTTTCAGTCAGATTGAAAGAAGTTTCGGACCTTCAAGTGGATGGGATCTATTTTCAATGAACTTGTTTTGAACGATTTGTGGGTTTACTGTGGCACCTCGGTAGAATCTGCCGTGATGTTAGATTTTATTCCATCCTTGAATTGCAAATACAGCGCTCGGGTGGTGATGCCGAGTTGTGTCATTCCACTAGTTCCATATTTTCGGGCGATGACGCCGAGGCTTGCTGTGAACTAAGAACGACGTCACTCCTTACACTAAGCCTACGACGGGAACTATGGCTTGCATATTTGGAAGCTTTGATTCTGTTTCTGAATCGGAACCCATATTCCACATACCCCACAGAGATGTCAACTCGCCCGAACGAGGCAACTTTTTCTTTTGCGTACCGAGACACTGTCAATCAGAAATTTTATGACTAGAGAGGACTTCCGATGAATTTTCTTCTGTAATCTTGGAGGTTTGGAAGATGCGAGAACGGCTGCGAGACTTACACCGCAAAGTGTTGTCATCTGGGGCAAATGTGCGATGGCTGATGGGCAACCGATTGCAGCGATAACATTCTGGCAGAATATAGATACTGGCAAAGTAAAAAAGGGGGTTATTCATATCACATAATTCAAGATGTTGCGTTCTCTGTCGTGGGGGCACAGGCAAGCCGATTCGATTTATGCTTACAATTGCTCCATCGCCAACCAACCCACGAAGATACTGCGGCAGGCGACAGTTTCAGTTGAACCGAGGCGAAGTTTATCAGAAAGACAACAGTTAGAAATTGTGCTTGTTATTTATGTTAGTTATAGGGACTCACTGGAGACCTAGATACCGTCGAAGCATTGACTTGGAGTGGATGAGTTTCTCTTTGCTCTTTGCGTGTGTAATAAGAGCTACTCACCAGGTATTCATTTACAAGCCAGCCTACTTAATAACTTGACATACTTATCTATGTTTGAGAGAGACACTTCCTTCTCTCCCAATGAAGTCTGTGCCTTCGGGCCAGTCCCCAGTCCCGGGGAACCGGGGCCGGCATCTTCCAAGCCAGCCCCCACCAGGGTTCCCGATTCCCACAACCCCATCGACCCGCTCTTGATTCTTAGTTTTCAATTTTGAAGTTTCCTTCAACAATCCAAATGGTTTCGTGGTGTAGTTGGTTATCACGTCAGTCTAACACACTGAAGGTCTCCGGTTCAAGTCCGGGCGAAATCATCAACTGGGCGAATGGTTTAGTGGTATAATACTCGCTTAGCATGGGAAACATTCCTAAACACGTCTGTGAGTGGTCCAGGGTTCGATTCCCTGTTCGTCCAATATTTTGCCTCTCTATGAAGCTTTTTGATGTTGCTGGTTATAAGGAGAGAGGAAGCTGGCAAAGGGCCCTCCCTGTCAGCCTAGGCAAGTCGCCGGAGAGGCCGGCCTATCACGTGTCTAGAGTTGTGAGGATAAGCATATAGACATTAAGATGGCTTGTATTGCGTTGCGCTGGTCTATCGTTTTGGTCTCTGCCTGGCTTTCAAGAGACCATGAAGCAATCAGGCGATTACAAGATGTCTTCAGGCTTCACGATAACCCAGTTCTTGTCTGCAGTCACGGGAAGTCCGAGCTTCTTCTGTTCAGCGGAATACTCCTCAATCATCTCGTTCATCTCCTCCATGGCGCTGTCTTTGCGGTTGATCCAGAGATGGATACCGCCCTTGGAAACATCGACACCCTGGAAGATCATGGGGCCATCACTGTCCGGAGTGTCACCGCCGGCCAGGATAGGCTTCTTCCACTCGTCGATGTAAGTCAGAATGGCAGCCCACTTGCCAGTCATCCATGTGGCAGGCGTCCACAGGAAGGGAGTCATGACCAGACCAAGGTTGGCCTTCTCATCATAGGTACCCTCCGTGATCTGCTTGCGCGACGTGGTAAGGTCACCGGAGGTCAGGTTCTTCATCAGAAGGCTGACACCGATAACATTCTCAGGCTTGACGTTGTAGCCGTACTTGGGGTCGGCAGCGACCATGCGGACGAGCTCCTCGGCAGCCGCAGTGATGACGTAAACCTCAATGCCGTTTGCCATCAGCTTGTTGTAGAGCTCGACCTGGCCGGCAAAGATCTTAGGGGGAGTGATCTCGGTAGGGGTGATGACATCGCCCTCGTAGTAGGTAGTTGAGACGGTGCCGTTGAGTGACATGAGCTCGTCCACGTAGCCCTTGAGTTCGCTCAGAGGAATGCCGCTGAAGATCTGAGCTGCGAAGGGGTAGCAGATCATGTCGTCGATTTCACACAGCCGCAGGTAGTAGCTGTAGATTGTCTCGGTGTGGTTGGCGGTGTCCTTGAAGGGAATCAGCTTCAAGGACGGGTCCATGGTGTCGCGGGTCAAGACGCCCTTGTTCTCGAGGAACGGCAACAGTGACTCCTCGAGGTCGAAGCGGTAGCTGGTGTTGTCCATGTCGAAGACGGCGTAGTTGCTCTGGTTGGCATTGGCAGCGATCATGGTGTTCAGAGACTTGGCAGCCTCAGCGGGCCAATGCTTCAACTCGGGACCAACGGTGTGGTTGCTGGCGAAGACAGAGGGCGCGGCATTCGCAACGCCACGGGCAAGAGCCAGCCCGAGGGAGGCGAGAACGGGGTTCATTGAGGTTCTCATCGTGAAAGTGATGATGGCCGTGACGAGCTAGTGTTTTTCAAGTTAGCTACAGCTTGCCAAAACCCCTAAACCAACGTAGGGTGTGATGCCGGCGATTATAAAGGACGGGCCGAGAGGGAACGGGATGAAGACTCAACCAACGGCGGCCGGGCCGGAGGCACGTTATAAACAAGCGATACTCGATTGGAGGATTTGCACTCCAAGTTCACTTTTCCTCAATTTAGGTAATCATGGTTCCTCCTGTTCGCTTACCGCGCTGAGTCTAGTAGATACTGGGGTGGCCAAGATAATGAAGGTCTATGCGAGTGTTGGCGCTGACTGGCGATGGTGTCGCGACGTCGTGTAACATCCACTTTGTGGAGTGGCCAATTTCCCCGGCCGGTCGTGGTCACATTGGTGACGTCGCGCGGGATTATTGAAATGAATAACTGATAAGATTTTCGTAATGCGGCGGGGGTCTTCTGCCGAAGCCGATAGTCGTTGAATTCGAACAAATACTCTGAATGTCTCACGTATCGCGACATCGGATGAACTGGTTCTCAGCCCTACATAATAACGTGGGGTTCACCCACGATGTGCCAAGACGAAATGGGTGTACATCCCCGGGACCACAGCTCAGGGACCAAAGGGTCCAGCCGGGGTCCTCGAGGAACCTTCGACGGTGGCTCCGGTCTCTTCACCGGAGCTGACTTCAACGCTTTACTGGATCAAACATGAAACAGGTGACGGGACTTCCATGTTATACCTCACCGGAAGATTCGGGACGCCAGACGTTTGTTCATCCCGAAGGCCTTCGATCCCAAATTCAACAAGCCGGAACGGACACAACATAACCGCTTAATGGAAACCTCATTAATCGGATGTGAAGTCTAAGATATGGTGAAGTTTCTCTCCGAGATTGACAAAAGACGAGGTCCCATTATGAACTTGAACCAGCGACGATGAGCTTGATTTAAAGAGTCTCAAGGATTCAACTGGGTACAAGAGCCAAGACACAAGTTTCAGGAGAAGTCTTGATTGTCTCGGCAACGTGAAACGAACCGCCTCTCACATTTAGCCTGCATCTATGGCCGTTGCAGGGCAGATGTCACCTACTCCTGCAATACTTCGTAGAAACACATCGTACTCACGAGCGAAAGGCTTTTACATCATTGACAGACTTGCCTCTATCGGGTTAGAAAAGGACTCAAGCTAGGGTTCTCTCAAATACCGGCTTCTGGAAGGTTGCCAGGCGGGATGTCGCCATCGGGCATCGGAGGATCGCTCGGGCGAGACGACTCCGCAGAGCCAACACAACACCACTCGAATGCGGCTCCCGTAAGTACTTTGGCCCGACATTTGGACCGGAGAACTGAGTCGATCGAACTTTGCCGTGGAGAAATCACCTCAGGCGGCGTATCTTTCCGACTGAGACGCCGACGGACCCGCGCTCCGCAATCTTCCTTCCTTCTTCACAGCAGGACGCCTAGCCTTTGGGTTCTTAAGGAGAACTAATATATTGCCCTCGACCTCTCAGGCAGCCCATCCATCCATCGTAAGTAGCAATCCTTGCTCGAACTTAGACTCCCTTGAAGCCGGCGACTACCCCCAGCATGGCGCTTTGCGCGATCGTCAACCAGCCTACCGCAGACACCAGCCCATCTGTGGTACACAACTCTTACGCCGAGTCGGATAGCTCCACAGAGCTGAACGCTGATAGTGACACCAGTATATCTGAGAACGGAACACAGACGTTAGCCCGTTCAAGACGCAAGATGCCTCCGTCGAAGCCCATCAAGGAGCAGCTTGGTGGCCTGTATGAGGAGAATGTCACAGCTAAGATCTTCAGAACAGCTACAAAAGATCTTGTCAACAATGTGAGCACCGCTTGATTCTATTTCAGACTAACATCTACTGACGAAGCGAAGAATCCTCCCGTAGCGTATCCCGAGTACGTGCTACAGACTGGCCCCGAAGCTGGTGAATATCACCTGAGGGAAGCTTCTTTCTGGACATGCGGTTTCTTCCCAGGTAGCATCTACTCTCTGATTGAGAGATTGGTCAAATTTCCTCAGACTATGCCCGGAGATAGCGACAAGAGTGCGTTGCTCTCGAAACTCTGGTCACTGGGTGCTGCGTGGTCAGAGCCTCTCCATGAGACGGCGAAGCGGACGGACACCCATGACATGTCTTTCATGATCCAGCCTTCAATGAGAGTGCGGTGGGAAGTTGCTCAGGACAAGCAAGCCCTTGACTCTATTACCACAGCGGCTAAGGCGTTGTACACCCGATACAACGACACCGTTGGAGCGATCAGGTCGTGGGATGCTCTCACCCAGCATGGAGTCACGATTACCAGTCTGACAGATGACTTCCTGGTCATCATCGACTCGATGTGCAACCTTGATTTGCTTTACTACGCTGCATCCCACACGGGAGAGACGTATCTTTGGGAAGCCGCCACGAAACACGCAAAGACATTGATCAAGTCAAACTTGCGACCGGAAAAGGATCCCAGAGGCGAAGTGAAGGGGCCGTTCTACAGCACCATTCATGTTCTCAACTTCGATCCCAAGAACGGCGATATCAAGGAAAGGCGTACAGGTCAGGGCTACAACGCCGAATCTACGTGGGCAAGAGGCCAGGCTTGGGCCATTCTTGGCTACGCGCAGACCTTTCTGTGGACGGGCGATGTGGAGTTCTTGGATGTGGCCCTAGGACTGGCAGAATACTTTATCTTCCGCCTCGAATCTTCACCAAAGTCAGTTGAGTTCCCCGTGGAAGGCGAGAACAGGACAAAGGGCCGCTATGTACCTCTCTGGGACTTTGACGCACCCATTGAAGACAAAGCGAACCCCCTGAGAGACTCTTCGGCCGGTGTCATCGCTGCCAACGGCATGCTCGTCCTCTCTCAGGCTCTAGCTGGCCAAGGTTTGAACGAAGAAAGCGTCAGATGGCGCGACATGGCTGTTCTGATTGTCAAAGACACATTGGACTTTTCGTTGGCTACCGAGAAGGCGAAGCTCGTGTTCCGAAACGGAGACATCTCAGCCATCAATATCGAAGAGGATAAGACTTTTGAAGCCATTCTGAAGAACGCGACGGCGAATCACAACTCACGCGATCACAAGCGTTATTGGGATCACGGCTTGGTGTATGGAGACTACTACCTCATTGAGTTCGGAAACAGGTTGCTGAAGATGGGACTGGTCTAATGCTTATACTATAGACAAGGCGAATGAGGGTATCTCGAATAGAATTCCAAACCCGGTTACTCCAAACGCGAGTTGTCGACTTGAGTCCACCCGTTTACAGGCAACCCTGAATTGCCAGGATTTGCAGTCTGCGCTGTGAACATCATGTCATCGAAACTGATGATTCTGTCCATCTCCATGAATCGTGGATCCATTAACATGTGAGAAATCGTGGAGAGCTCGTCAGGAGCATCGGAATCCCGAGGGGTGAACCCTGTCATGGGCAAAGGCGATGCCATATGTCCAAGCACTGAGCCTTGCCGAAGATTTCCAGGGGATTGTTGGTTGGGAAACATGGGAGGCGGCCTTGAATGTGCGCCGTGAGAAACAGTAGCAGTCTGATGAGGGGCTAAAGGGCTCGAAGATTGAGGTTGTGCCAACTTGTTGGATGGCTGTGAGAAGAGAGCGTTCCCCTGCTGATGGCTGAAGACAGGGGTTTGGGTAGATGGACTACATCCTTGCCCACTGATTCCGCTGGAATACCCGAGTACGTCCACGGTGAAGTCACCATCCGTTTCACACTTGCTGTGAAGTTCTCGCAGTTGAGCTGCGTACTTCCCGGCGAGACATTGGCCAAGCTTTTGTCGGAGTATGGGGCCAACCCAGCGTTTAGCCATCTCCTCGAGGCCCTCAACTAACAGCCAGAATTCCGGGGTCAGGTCTGCTTCAGAAGAGTTGCGCCATTGCACTGAAGCTGTTAGCGAGAAGCGACATGGAATTCAGGCTCTTTTGATTACTTACCCAGAAGAACCCTGGCGCTTATGAACACGCAAAATGCGAATTGGCTTGTCGCCGGGCTATTTTCCGGCGTGTATTTGAGATACTTCTGAGTGATTGTGGCGGTCTCAATAGCAGCAACTTGGCATGTTTCCGAACTGCAAAGGCTGGGAAGCTTGACGATGTTAGCCCATCGAGAATCTGGGTACGCTATGCGCTGATGGAGCAGAATCATTGAGGTATTATGCGTGACATGGGCCAGGGTCAAATTTGGGTCCATGTTGATCAATGCGGGCTGGCGAGAGATGTTTGAATCCTTCCACTTCTGGGGTAGAAACATCTTCCAACTATATCTTTCGTGTTAGCATTCTTTTTCTAGTACCGCTTGCTGTCTACCGATGGACCTACTGCACGAGCCTTAAGTCAAGCTCTTTGAATCTTGTAAGCCAGCTGCTGACTTCTTGTCTGTCCTGGAAGTTGATCTTCTGTTGGAGGAAGTAGGTCGTCACTCTGCTTAATGATTCCGTGGCCTCTATGCAGTAGGCAAATGCGCCGACTGTTGTCATATCGACCGTGTTCGGCCCTTTATTGGGGTGCGTGGTGATTGGTGTTTGCGGAGGTGCTTCGGCTGTCTGTTCCGGACTAGGGTAGTGCGCTGGCAAGAAGGCGATAGAGTTGCCAATCTTTGCTGCGGATCGATCCCAGATACCGAAATATGGTGTGATGACGGGCTCTTCCTTATGCCACAGGCCGCCATCTGCAGGCAATCTACGATAGACGTCATCGGAGGTCAAGCTTGTATTCCATCTACCGCCAACATCAGCATGTTTTAATCTCAACGGATGTCGAATTTGTCAATTATTCATGAGAGTTCTTACCCAGTTGTTACTGAACAGAATCTAGGAAAAGTCAGTAACTGACGTTGGAGTACGTGTATGCGAGTAAGTTACCTGTCTAAGTTGAAGACGTTCCAAAAGACCCTACGCCGTTCTTCCTCCTCTGTCCAGTTTTGAGGAGGAGTTATTGATGGCAATGGCTTCAGGAGAGGTTCCTTATCCTGGTGATCCGATTCGACGCTCAACTGAAGGTATTCTACCGTCCTAGTAAGAGACCCAACAATTGACCATGCTTTCGAGGCGTCGCCGTTTCCAATCTCGGGAACGTTAGCTGAGATCAGTTTCAACACTCCTCAGCTTGTGCTTACATCGTTGAACGCAATTATAATCAAGGCTTGCAGATTCTCAACTGAAAGGTGATCCATTGCATTGAGAATCACAACATTTCTTGACTTGGACGTTCGGCGCTCAACCTCATGAGCTGGTAGTCGAGTTTCGGGGTTATCGACAAAGCGAAGAGCGGCAACTACCATTGCATGAAGAACAACAACTAGCCGTGGGAGTTGCTCGGGATCATGGACTCGCCGCCGGAACTGCGTCTCGTGAAGAATGGGAATCCATGGCTGGATGATGTTGAAGTGGATGTTGATGACATCCTCCAGCAATTCCGGTGATGGTAGACTTGTGGTTATGTTTTCCAAATCTTCTAGAGGGAACGCGAGATCGATGTTCGGGTTGCCGCAGCTGTCTACTCTCCGCCTCTTTCGTGGCTGGTTATGTGGATGCGAGACAATCTCTAAGCCATCGACTGTGTGCCGTCTTGACGAGCTGGAAGTTGTTGGAGAGAACACGGCTTGATCAGCGACACCCTCTGGTGTACCAGCCTGCGATCCAATCTTTGTCTTTGAGTTCAGTTTATGTAACTCCCGAGCCAGCAGAGAGAGAATGCCGACAACATTTTGAGACTCGGCGGGTCCGCTGCTCGGCTGCCCGTATCCGCTGGAGCTTGAATAGTTCTCTCCTTCGCTGTTAGTCTTGTTCAGTAAAGCATTCTCCAAAACCTCTGAGAGATGGTAAGCGTAATTCCCTATGCGACTATGATGACTCCACGTCATCGGATTACAAGGGAGTCTACATACCTACTCTTCGATTCAAACTCTCGACAGCTCCAGGCTTGATACCCGGCTTGTTCTTCTTCAAGTCGTAAACACATGGCGAATCTACGTAACCAATCAGCATGGCTCACTATTATCCAAATGAGACATCGGCGGCCGCAGCCGGGCGTACGAGACCGACCTACCCAATCGCTTGCAGTGAGAACACGTCGGCTGGTCGCGCGAGCAGCGGAGCTTTCGGCGCCGGCAACCCTGACATGAGGGGATGTCATTCTCGGAAGCCCCCTCGTGGGGCTGCTGTGACGCCGAGCCCGACGTGTTCAGATCCATGGCCGCAAAAAGGATCGCCGGGCAGCGGGTTGACAACGGCGGCGGTGGCCGGTTATGCGGGCAGGCGAGAAGCCGGACGCGATGTTACTAGGGCTGATCGGCTGCAACGAGCAACAGAAGCGAGAGCGCGCGCGCACACACCGGGCTCGATTCAGTGTGTTTGCCCTCGGTTTCGCGTGAGAATCGTCGGACTGAGAATCGTGCGACGCGACGATGCAGTAGTGGGCGAAAAGGATTGACAGTGTTTATGAGGTGAGAATTTGGGGCCGGTTGTGGGGGATCGGGGGCTCGTTCGGTTCGACTTCGCCGAGGAAACACGAGCATCGACGGCACCAACTTTGGGAGACGATCTGCCTTTGCTCTCTTCTCTCTCCATTCTCCAGAAGGCGACGAAGACCAAAACGGTTGTTCCCCCGCATTCTGGACTTGTCGAACCGGGGTGAAGACAAGGAATGGGCAGTTTGGTGGGACGAGGTTGGTGCGGAGAAACTGAAGGCAGGACAGGGGTAGAAGCGAATAAGCACTCCGGTCCCCTTTCATCCGATGCCCGGAGCCACGCGAGTGTTCTTCTGCCGCTCAACTGGCAGCTTGTGTGGAGGAAGGTTTGATGTTTGCCGGGATGTTTTCTCGAATTAAGTTATGACTAAAGGTATGGCCAGATTCAAGGTGAGAAGAAATATGAGAGACAAGCATCTCCATACTTGACCCCGAATCCCAGACCGTGGCCTCGGCTCGTCTCAAAAAGATATCGAAAACTACTGTTGGGGGTATCGATAGGACCGGAAGGCGCCATGGCTACGACAGCCAGTATAGCACACGTCTCGGACGAAACCACTACCCATCCACATGGAACAACAGATCACTCAGTCGTCAAAGATGCCTCGGTCCCAGCTGTTGCTGCTTCGACGGTAATGGAAGAGACTGGCGAAGCCGAAAACAAACCGCAGAAGCGACCGCTATTGACTGCCTGGCTGTACATGTTCGATTGGTACCCGTCCCATCTTTCGAAGGAGGAAAAGAAGTTTCTCCGTAAACTCGACGCCTTCCTCTTGACATTCACATCACTGGCTTTCTTCCTGAAATGGCTCGACTCTTCCAACATCAACAGTGCCTACGTTTCTGGTATGAAGGAGGAGTTGAAGCTATATGGTAACGAGTAAGGGATCGAGCGATTCGTGGTTTTCAAGGAGATACTGATGGTGGGTGCAGATACTCGATGTTCCAGACTTTCTACAACATAGGCTACATCATCTGCCAAGTCCCGGCAATGCTCCTATTGTCTCGACCGAAGTATTCGAGGTACTTTTTGCCGACTATGGAGGTGCTCTGGAGCATCCTGACGTTTGCTCAATGCAAGCTCCAGAACGCCCCACAGATCTATGGTACACGATTCTTGCTTGGTGTGCTTGAAACCCCCGTTGCCAGCGGATCACTCTTCATTCTTTCTTCGTGGTATAAGCCAGAAGAACTGTTCAAGCGTGCAGGGCTCTGGTACGTGTAAGTTGACACCTCCAAGCCTGTTCCTCTCAAACATGGGCTTACATTGGTGGTCTACCAGATCGAACAACATTGGAGTCATGTTTGGCGGATATCTTCAAGCAGCAGCTTATAAGAACTTGAATGGGGTTCACGGTATGGCGGGCTGGAGATGGCTATTCATCATAGACGGATGCATCAGTCTCCCGATCGGGATCATGGGTTACTTCATTTTCCCAGGCATGCCGACCAGCGGGAAGCCGTGGTGGCTTACTCAACAAGAGCACGAGATCGGTCAGCGAAGAATGCGAGAGGAGGGCATCGAGGAGCCCAAGAAGATTTCGGTTCAGATGCTGAAACGTCTATTTTTTCACTGGCACTGGTATATCGGGGTTCTGGCGTACGTCTTCTTCCTGTCTGGAGCTTATCCTCACGGTACGTCATAACACCTTGGAACTAACCTGTGAATTTCGAATCCATGGATGACCCGACTGACCTCTGACACAGGTCAAATGGCCCTCTGGCTTAAGGACCAAGCAGACAAATGGGGCATCTATACCGTGCCCCAGATCAACACCATCCCGACAGGAGCGCAAGGAGTCTCAGTCGTCGCGGCAGTCTTGGCTACATCTCTATGCATGGTTTACCCTACTTGGGTTATCTTTCAGATCGTTATGGCCATCTTCATGTTTGCAAACATCGTACAGATGGTGTGGTTCGTCCCCCACGGACTACACTTCGTCTCATACTACCTCTTTGGCGTCAGCGCAGCCGTCACACCCATCCTGGTTCCGACGGTGAACTACTGGCTCAAGGATTCAGCCGAAGCACGTGCATTTTGCACTGGAAGCATGCTGGTAAGTGAACATTTCATCACAGACTTCTGATACTGGGCATGCTGACTGGATGGGTTAGACTCTTGGCTTCGCCATCTCCAGTTTCTACCCACTGGTGGTCTTCCCAGTGGTGGAAGCCCCTCGCTGGAAGAAGGGATACATCGTCAACTTCTTCTTCATTCTCGGCTGCTGGGCTTCTCTTTCCCTGGGCTTCTTCCTATATGACAGGCAGGAGAAACGTCGAAAGCAGCGGCAGCTCCTTGATGCAGATTCGTTGAAGGGTGACGACGTCAAGCATGTCGACTAGAAGAAACTGGGACTCTTCCGGCCTCTTATGCAGTTTCTGGTGGTTGTCAGAGGACGTGTTTGTGCCATGTTTATTACGAAATAAGTAACTTGTGGATGATGCCAACTCGGAGCGTTACCCGGCACTTGCACCGATGCCCGCCGTGATTTGTGGAACCAAACCCCTCTCCGTGACAAAACAAGACCCGAAGAACTAGAAATAAGTCAATGAGGCTCTATTCTGATACTACTGATTCAGTCCAATTGCACTTCGAACTCAGTCAAAATGCCACCACTTCCAGGTTTCTCCGACAACCCTCTCCGCACTAGATCGGACCTGATCCGGGCTACAATCGCCCTTCTCCGGCCGCTTTTACCCCACTTCTCTCCGACAAAAGCCCGGATCCGCGTCCCGGTCTCCACAGCCACCCACTTTGACGAAACAGCAGCTCAACTCGAGGGATTTGCGAGGCCACTATGGGCTGTGGGGGCACTTCTTCTCGGCGTTGAATCCACGTCGGATCCTGACTTAGTAAAGTCTATCGATGAGGTGGTTCAGCCATGGATCGAAGGCTTTGTTGCCGGAACAGATCCTGAACATCCGGAGTACTGGGGGAAGATCAACAACATGGACCAGAGAATGGTGGAAGCCGAAATCGTGGCATTTGCGTTACTCTCTGCGCCGGAGAAGATCTTCGACCCCTTGACTGAAAATGCGAAGCAGAACGTGACGAACTGGTTGCGCACGCTGAGCGGGATGGACATGCCGAAGAACAACTGGCGCTGGTTCCGTGTCTTTGGCAACCTAGCTCTGTCCAAAGTCTGTGGTGTACCCTTCGAAGATGTTCGGGATGAGATGAATTCGGATCTAGATCTTTTGGACTCGTTCTACCGCCTGGACGGTTGGTCGGCAGATGGCCCATGGCAGACTCCCGAGCAAGCACAGTCCGAATTCGAGCAATACGAAAAGACTGGCAGACGCGATGCTATCGGAGTCGGAAGACAAGCGGACTACTACTCAGGCAGCTTTGCGATCCAGTTTAGTCAACTTCTTTATTCTCGCTTCGCCGCCGACCTCGATCCTGAGAGGGCCCAGGTCTATCGCCAACGAGCAAGAGACTTTGGAGCGACATTCTGGAAATATTTTGACTCAGAAGGTGAAATTTCCATCCTTTCGTACGCGAGATGGCTATGATGTGTCAGATTTGCTGACTCGAATCAGGTTCTGCCATCCCGTTCGGTCGATCCTTGACGTACAGATTCGCCTGTGGTGGCTACTTCGCCGCCGTCGCTCTCGCTCAGGTCGAAGATCTCCCTAGCCCTCTCAGCACTCCTGGGACTGTGAAGGGATTTTTGTTGAGACACTTGAGATGGTGGGCTAAGAATTCAGCTGACATATTCAACACCGATGGTACCCTCAACATTGGATGGCTATATCCGTGAGTCTCTCCCTTTCTCTTGGATCTGATAATATGGACATCACATGTCTTCGCCAATTCACTAACTTCAAGACCAGAAACATGTACATGTGTGAGGACTACAACTCCCCTCAATCCCCGTACTGGTGTCTTAAGACACTCGTCGCCATTGGCCTTGCCGAAGACCACCCTTTCTGGGCAGATGAGGAGACGCCGTATCCTGAACCCTCATCGTTGGAATCGGTTACCGCTGTACCAGCACCGCAGCAAATAGTCTGCAATCACCCTAAAGGCAACCATCATTTTATGCTATCGCCGGGTCAATTTGTTGGATGGCCGATGAAAGCCAACCAGGCGAAGTACTGCAAGTTCGCATACTCTTCTGCCTTCGCCTTTTCAGTGCCCACGGGTCCTCTCATTCAGCAGATAGCGCCCGACAATGCTCTAGCTCTTAGTAGAGATGGCGGGGAGACTTTGGCGGTCAAGTGGAAGTCTGAGGAGGTTCGATTTGCAACTGCGTCTGTTGAAGGAGCATCTGGACGTGAAGAGGTGCAGGTGGCAAGTGTGAAGTGGTATCCATGGGGAGACCGGGCTGTCAGCGTCGACACAACCTTGATTCCGCCCACGAATCGCTGGCCTGACTGGCATGTACGTGTCCATCGAGTCCGGATTCACGAAAAGCTTAAGACCTTGCACACAACAGAGGGCGGCTTCGCCATCTTTGGCCGAAAGAAAGCAGACGGCCTGCCTCTTCCCGTCCTTCGAGACGTTCCAGAGAAGGCCAGGCCAGGTGATTCCGAGGGAGTCGTGCACAACGAAAACGCCGTTTTGGTTCTTTCCTCAGTTGGCGCAAGTGGGATAGTCACGAGGGCTTTGGTTGGCGATGGCAAATCCTCGGCATGTCTGCCCTTGAAGCCCGACGCGAACACAAACTTGGCTTGTCAGCGGACGTTGATCCCCGCCGTCTCTCATAGTGTTGTTGCCGGGCTTGAGGCAGGGTCCGAGTTTGTTTTGGTGGAGTTCATTTTCGCCATATCTGCGACAGCGAATGGTCATCGACAATTACCAGCTGATATAAAAAGACGATGGCTGGATACACCAGTCATCACTGCTGTTTCGGATGCAGTGAAGATTGAGACAGGAGACGCTATCGTAGTGAGGCTTGAAGGATAAGTGGTCTCAGCAAACAGTATGTAGGTAAATCGCTGGCGTATCAGCTGATTATGTTGCTTCGCATCGTGTCGAGAAGTATACAGGAAAGAAGAATCGTAACATATTATGAACGTCATTTTACATTAAGATTAAACATTACATTCAACGCTTCATATCTATGACTTACGGCACCCATTTTTATAGGTGTTCCCATACCACGCGTCACCTATTCCATCAACCTCGTGACGAAGGGCAACGACCGCTTGTCGTATCCCATGTTCTTGTCGACGCCGACCTTGATGGTGGCGCTTGACAGAGGGGCCTTGACGTCGTTGCAGAGTCCCTCGGCCTGCTCCTTGGGCAAGAACACACGGGGAAGACCTCCGGCAGGCATCTGGACCCAGAGACGTCCGTGGGAAGCCACCGTGAAGGTCTCGCAGTTGACAACGTCGACGACTTCGGAGCCGATGGCAAAGAGGTGGACGTTGCGGGCAATGGAGAACATGACGTTGTTGGTAGCGGCAGCACCGCCGTTGGTGTACATGGAGAACAGCTGACCCTTGCGGAAAGCAATGACGCGGCTGCTGTCCTTGCTGCTGTAGGAGAAGACGGCTTGCGTGCGGTCGGTGGTCAGGAAGTTGGCGTTGCCCTGAGCGGCCTTAACACGGATCTTGTTTGACTGCTGAATCCAGCCGTACAGCTCGGAGTTAATGTCGTAGCTGTCCAACCAGAAGGCCTCGCGGTTGTGCGGGTTGTTTCCGCCGTTGAAGTGCTGCTCCTGGCCGTAGTAGACAATGGGAATACCGTCACGGAGAATGGAGAAGGCGTAAAGGTTCTTCGCCAGAGCCATATCGCCGTTGAGGCTGGGGAAGCGAGGTTGGTCCTGGTTTTCGACGAAGGAGCCCAGGAGAGATGTGTCGATGGTAGTCTTGGCCGCCATCTCGTTAGTGCCCTTGTAGAGAGTAGTGAGATCGGCGTTCAGGGACTTGAAGGAAGCTGCGAGCCAGTGGTACGCGCTGTAGTCCATGAAACCGTCGATGACCTCCTGGTAGGGGGCCAGAACATCAAGGGCGGTGTGGCTGATCTCGCCCAGAAGGAAGACACCGGCAGCGTCTCTGAAACCACCCTCGGTGAAGAACTCGGGCTCGATCTCGAGGACCGTGTCGACGCGGAGACCGTCGATGTTATACTTGGTAACGAAGTCTTTGATCCATTCGGCGTACACCTTACGGACGTAGGCATCTTCGGTACGAAGGTCGGGCAGACCCTCGAGCCAGCAGAGCTGCTCAGACTTTCTGTTGTTCCAGTTGATGGAGCACTCCTTGTGGTAGTACTCGGGCTTGTCGAACGGCGTGTACTTGGTGTAGTTACCAGGGTCGCTGTTGAGGCCAACGTGGTTGGGGGCGATGTCGACCATCAGGTACATGCCGCGGGCGTGAAGGGCATCAGCGAGCTCTTTCAGGTCGGCCTCAGTGCCGAAGTGCTCGTTGATCTGGTAGATATCCTCAGTCCAGAAGCCGTGATAGGCCTCTCCAGCATTTTCGATGAATCCTTCAACGTTCTTGACGATGGGCGAGATCCAGACAGCAGTGGCGCCCATGTTCTGGATGTAGTCCAGCTTGCTGGTGATTCCCTTCCAAGTTCCACCACAGTACTTGCCGATGTTGATATCGCACTCAGGAGTGGAGCCATCACTTGTGGCAAATCGGTCGGTGATAACCTGGTAGATGCTCTGGCTTCGCCATCCTGCGGCATCCAAGGCTGAAGCGCCCTGGAGGGCTCCGGCGGCCAGCAAGGCAAGGGTCGATGTGAGAGAAGGCATGTTTCGTAGACAACAAGATTTAAATATTATGCAAGGTGTAGAAGCCAAATAAGGAGGAATGAACACAGAGAGACAGTGGATAACTGGGTATAGGAGGCAAAGAGAGTTGATTGATGGAGGATGGGTTTAAGATGCGCAGGAGGGCTCAAACGAATGACAATAGCGCAAGGCAGAACGAGAGATGATGACCTTGGCTTCAACTGCGATACCAACTGAAAGGGAAAGACCAAGAGGAAGCGGAAGGGCAGCAACTGAACAGCAGATATTATATATTCGTGCTCAGCGAGGGGGCCCCAGTCAGAATGAAAGACTCCTGAGTTCACGAGAATGCGAAAGCGGCTACGAGCCGCAAAAGTCCCGCCCTCTTGGTAACCCCTTCAACAACTTGCCCTTGCCGCAAAGGCTGTGCTATTAGCGAAGGATGAATAACTTTCCAGATCGAGTGGTGCCGGCCGATTCAAGTCAGTTCATGTTTGCCCGTTTTGAACGAGACCCCGGTTGCGGTGTCCATCCGAGATGGAAGATCCACAACGGAGCCTACCCAGACGGGCCCAGAATCGATATGGACCGGGGGCCCGGGACATTCCATATTGTCCGTGCAGACGCTGCAAAACATTCACAACATGCCAGAACAAATGCAAGAAGAACTACAAGAGCAAGAGAGTTGGTGCCAACTTTGAGCAGGAGACCGTTCGAACAGCCAGGCATGGAAGAGAAATCTCTTGCGGAGTCTCCTGAAGAGTAGCAGTTGAAAAGCAATCTACACGGCGCACAACCTTCCACTTCCCGGAGGGATTGCGGCTTACTTCTCGGCATGCATCGTCTAGGCTGGGTCAATAGAAACGTCCGATGTGGATAACCTCGACCAACATGGAAGAAAATAAGGGGTGAAGTCCCACCTTTGTTCCCGATCGGTCACTTTTCCATACTCCCTTAACCTTGAATCCTTGCGAAAACGCGCGAGATCCGACTTCCCCAGTGGATATCGTTGCATCTCGTATTGGCTCGGGATACTGACCAGCTTCAGGTGTCTCTGCAGCCCCACAATCAAAGCAAACATTTGGTCAATGCCCTGTCCGTTCTACGATCCTCCGGGATGTACCGTTGTAGTAATCGAGTCGTGCACATTGGATCAAGAACTCCTTTCTCAAGAGTCGAAGCTCTGATTGGTTGCTGATAGACGTCGCTTCATCGACAATGTCGCATCGATGGTATTAATTGTGAAATAATGCTTTTCTCGGAGAACTTGAAGCATGTCAAGGACGTCACGAACTTCCACTGTTATCATTATCCGACTCTCAGAGCCTGCTCGGGACCGTCCGGTTGTCTTGACTGTGATCCTTGTCACTTCTTCTGGGATCAGTTTTCAGTGAGTGTGGTTGTCGTTGCCATTCCTTGCTCAAGGTTCTTCTACGCCCAACAGCAGCAGCCACAGCATGTGACACGCAGAACTGACTTGCCTGTCCCTGCCTTGTGATGTGGCTACAAACAACACCACAGCTCTGCTGCTCCCACAGTGACCTCGAAGGCATTCGCTCAAGTTTAGTATTACCTCTGAGGAGTTAAAGTGATTGGCATTGGTGACAATGATGGCCCTCTTTTGACGTAAAAACCCAATCGCCACCCTGTTCAACAGCCACATCGTCCCTTTACCGCTCCACTAACAGATCATCATCCATGCCCTCGGGGGTTTTCACAGAGCGCCCAACGTAAGCCTCAAGGCTAGTCCATGTTTAACTCAACTTACACAGTGATTTAGGCCATACTCGTTAACGTTTGCATGGCTCCTCATCTCCATGAGGCATCCGTCACATCGGATCATTGAGTCCTAGCTGCTCTCCATTTCTTCTGAACAGTTCCTAAGTCTGGAGTAACAGAGGAAGTTAAACCAGAAATTGGCTGATCGCGATGATCCATAGCAGTCCACACGATATATTCTCATACAGTTCTGACTCTTTTTTTCTATGTTGGAAGCGGCTAGGTGAACCGTCTGACATTTTCTATAACGAACACATCCTTTTTGACGGGAAATAGTATTGAAGGATTAACAGGTAAGGATACTGAGGTGCGGGATAGGCGGGATCACACTTGTGCAATGAGATTTCTTCATTAGCTGGAAAGAATGTCGCATTGAGGAGACGGAAAAAAAACCTAGGTCCGATGATGTATTATTGCAACTCCTCCTGTTGAAGTTGAACATTTAGAACCAAGACTGCAGTAGCCTGTTTTTGCAGAAGAGGCATCGCGAAGATGACTCATTCAGTCAGAAGTCGGTAATCCTGACTGATCATCAGCCCGTGAACATTGCATCCGAGTGCGAAACTAACAACTTGTCTGGTCATTCCTCAGTTCTGAGTCTTTGACGCTCAGTGGCTAGGTAGGACGTCTCACATGCATGTCGCCGTAGACTCATACGGCGAAAACTCGAATCAAGCAGTCTTACATGCATGTGAAAGACCCAAAATTGTTCCCAGAGCCATCCGATTACAAATCCAGATGGCGGAGTTAATGTGAATAGCGGAGTTTACACCAGATCATCAGTCTTGCCAATCAATGGATATGTGTTATTAATTGGTGTAAGCATTTGCGACACCGTTTGATACCCTAGTCCGCTTTCGCCATTATATATATCTGGGAATTGGCGAAGATATCAGAGGCTCCCAACCTCTTTGAAGGCGCCCATATCTCACTGTCTGCATTGCCACTGTCGGCGTTCGTCCAGGCACTATCAGTGAAGAGCATCAATCTGCGACAATATCATGGCCTATCCAGATACCTACCAGGCTGTCCGGCGAACCCATGGCAGTCTACCTCTCAGCGTCGAGACTGTGACGGAGACACTCCCAAACGAGCTTGGATCTGACGATGTGCTGATTAAGATTCACGCTGTTTCCTTGAACTTCCGCGATGTTGGAATGCTACATGACCGCTATCCTATGGAGTCTCTTGAGAGAGGCATTGTTGCGTCCGACTGCGCCGCCGAAGTCGTTGCGATTGGACAGGGGGTCCAAGACTTTCGATTGGGAGACCATGTTGTGCCGCTTTTCGACATCAACGATATCGACGAGAACGTTGATGACAGTTTAGCGGCTCTGGGAGGAAACGTAGATGGTGTTCTTCGCGAATACGCCATCTTCGAGGCGAAGCACCTGGTCCGCTTGCCTGAGTATCTATCATGGGAAGAGGTAAGTCTCCCCTTCAGCAATCTGACGAGGAAAAGTGCTAAACCGCCTTGTTTTGATAGGCTTCTACACTGGCTTGTGCTGGTGTGACCGCTTGGAACGCACTGAATCTTCCTAGTGATGCATCTGGAAGGAACCTAAGTGCTCTGTTGTCAGGTCTGAAACATCAAGCCTACATCAACGTTTATCGTGTGAAACTTTTAGCTGATAATGATGTAAAACAGGCACTGGAGGCGTCAGCATGTTCGCAGTTCTTTTGTGTATTGCCGCTGGAGTCCAACCCATCATTACCTCGTCCTCCGATGAAAAGCTGGAAGCTGTCAAGAAGCTTCACCCTTCCATCAAGGGTATCAACTACAAGACTACCCCTGATATCGCCGCAGAGGCTCGAAGAATCACCAACGGGAGAGGAGTCGACATCGTAATTAATAACGTCGGTCCTGCCTCCGTGATGCAAGACTTGGACGCGCTTCGCCAGAAGAATGGGCACGTCTCGCTTGTGGGTTTCTTGGATGGCTATGCCGCCACGTGGGACCAGAGCGCTCTTTTGGGTTTCATGAGCAAGAGAGCCAGTCTGAGGTTAGTCGGTTTGATTTGCGTTGCGTTTTCATAACTAACCAAGTACCAGGGGTATCAAAGTCGGATCTAAGAATGCCTACATTCGGCTTTTCGAATTTCTCGAGCAACACAAGATTACACTCACACCCATCATCGACAGAGTTTTCCCTTTCAACGAGTCCCGAGCTGCTTGCGATTACTTGTACTCCGGCAAACATGTGGGAAAGGTCGTGATCAAGATCTGACGGAAACGTGCTAGGATTTAGTCGTAACATCTACTATGTACATGAACAATTACAGTACCTTTCTTTAAACATGAAGCAGCGATCACTTACTGGATATCGATAGTGGTTTGTGATCTCACTTGGTCGCGGCTCACATTCCCAATCTGGCCGAGGGGCCGAAAGGATTCACTAGACATGTTGAATAATCCAACCCGAAAAGACCACGTTCCGTCTTCTGATGCTCCATGACTCACCCTACTAATAGCATTGAATGCAGCCACGTCTTCAGTTCATGTGTCAAGCTTCATTGCAAGAGTTCATCAGAACTCCATCTTGCGTATAAAGCTGTCGACTATTCCGGATTTTTCTCATGCTATTTCCCTCACTTGATAACAACTGAATTATCGAATCATCCCATATCCCTTCACCGTCAATCGCCACGGCGTTGCTCGAACTTATAACCTAAGTTGAAGGATACATCTTGTCAATCAATCGCCATTCAAGCCCTCCTGCGATGTCTTACAAGATATGCGGCGTTGACTACGACGATGCCGCCGGCATATCACGGAACAACATGACGGCTTTCTATCGAACCGACCCACACTGGCGGGCTCTATGGAAGTCCACACCATTGGAGGACATTATCAAAGGCGCGACAGGTCGTATGCCGAAAGGCCTCATTTCAGGCCGCGACAAAAAGCGTCATATGAAGGCTGTTGACGAGACCACTGGCGAGATCATCGGATACGCGAGGTGGGTTCTGCCGGACGACAACGACAGTATCTACTGGCCCGAGGCTTTGGTTCGTGAGCCAACTCAGGAGGAAGCCGAAAAGTTCCAGGCAGATTTTCAAGCCAACACTGAAGGGGGCATGATTCCAGGAATGGATTCACGACTGCAGGCGGCTATGGGCATGCCCCTTGAGGAGGCTGAACTGGAGCTGATGCGGCAGCATGAGGGGCCGTTTCTGGGTGAGTTTTCCATCCCTCGATCAGGATTTCAACACCTATGATACAAGACTCTTACAAGTCCCTGTTATCGAAACTATGGCTGAGACAAATAGTTCTTGACTATCTCACCGTGCATCCTGACCACCGGCGAAAGGGGATCGCGTCAGCTCTTGTCAAGAAAGGCCTAGAACAGGCAGATTCCGTTGGAATGAAGGTTTGGGTGATGGCTACGATGACAGCTCAGCCGATGTACGAGAAGCTTGGGTTTCAACATCTTCGAACTGTGGAAACAAATGTTACGGAGTTTGGCATCGAGGATCCCCAAAGAAAGGCCTTTCTGATGAAGCGGTAGCAGCAAAAAGTTGTATGTATCAGAGATCGCAATAAATGAGTGTATTTATTTGTAAAGAACGAAGGCTGAAACCGCGAGTCGTTTGATCTCAACTATCACAACTCCTTGTCCACAATACTGCTGCTTAATCGTCCCAGTTCCACTCCTGCAAAAAGTGAAGAGAGGGAAATTGACAATGATTAGAACTAGTCATCGCAATTGGCTCTTGAACCCCCCGTATCCAATGCCTCTAAAAGGTGTATCTGAAGTCGGACGCGTCTGTTTCCTATGAAAACATTAATGAGATGAGCTTTATGTCGTTGTATCGCCCATTTTGTCAACCTACCTCCGAGGCTTCAAGTTCAATCTTACCACTCTCCGCCTTGCGATTCCAATAGTAGAAGTAGATACCCAAACATAAAACGAGAATTATGTTCATGACGGCGCATCCTAGGCACGTGCTGATGCCGGGCATATATTTGGGTTTGTCTTGGCTTCTATTGAAGGTTAGTATAGACTATAGAGCGGGCTGTATGTTCGTAAGGACTGATAATACGATTTCCAAGGACCAGTATCGTCATAAGAACTACATGTGGTCTCTTGTGGCCTCAACGCGTGCATGCCTCAGATAGCTTCACTTACCTGAAAACCAGGGATCCTGCGATTCCACCGATGCCACCAAAAGCGATAGTAAGACAGCTTGAAAAGGCACGCTTCCACTGTCCCCGAATGTTGTTTGCTTGATAGGCCATAACCACTGGTATTGAAGAGAACGATCCTCCAGTGACGAGAAAGACACCGGCGTATCGTACGGCAACATGGCTGTGGAAGCCTACCAAGATGGTCCCGATGATAGCGACGATCATATCTCCAATTATGATTGGGCCTCGTACCTTGTAGCGGTCTCCCAACCAGCCGGATATGAACATTATGATCGCTGCAAAGATGTAAGGGGGAGCGATGAGGATCTGAGCCTGTCCAGTGCTGAAACCCATGTTCTCCTTCAGGATGATTGGAAGGAAGAATGATAAAGCTTTTCAAAAGACCCGTTAGCCATATTCTCTCCAGTATCATTATAACTTACAGAAGTTCATGACCGCCTGGTTGAAGTATATCAAGGAAATGGCCCAGACTTTGGCATCAGTCCCACCTCGGAGGAACTTTCTGATACTAAAAGCCGGCAGGGTTGCATCTCCGCGGTCTTGCTGGACGCGGGCAATTACCCACGCGATCTCTCTCTGGGAAAGAAACCGCCATGATGTTCTGTCTGCATCGGGAAATCCCACAAGGAGGAAGTACCCAATTAGGCCGAGAAAGCATGTGATGACGCCCTCCATGAGGAATATCCAAGACCATCCGCTGAGATTCCCCTTGCCGTCCAGCTTGGTAAGCTATCAATGATAAGTAAGCACGATGCTATATAAAGAGATAGCTCTTGCAAGCATCGGTTGAACCAATAGGAAGATTTGGGACTCTTGATCTTTTAATGTTGCTCTCACTTACACCGAACGCGAGGATCCCAGAAAATGCAGTAGCAAGACACACCAAGACGTAAAATACTGAGTATCGCTTGCCAACTTCGTCTGCACCAATATTAGCAAACTGCCTCATTCATTTTACAAAGCGACTTCAACACACATCGGGTGTACCAAGTGCTGAGCAAGTAGACGCAGGTTGGGAAGAAACCGGAATCCAACGCTCCGAGAATCACTCGAAGAGCAACCATTTGGCCCCATTGTTTCAGGAAAGCCATTCCAATTACAATGAAGCCACAAAGCATTGTGACGCCTGTGAAATATGCCTTTGGTCCAATGGTTCGAGCAAGGATGATCGACAATGGCTGAAAGGTGGTGTAAGTCGTGAAGAAGACGAGACTAACAATTGACTACATGTCTTGTTAGCAGAGCTTTCGTGGTATTTAAAACCTGGTGTAACGCAATAGACCAGCAGTCGAATAAGTGGTATGACGGCCGCAGCTCCTACTTAGTTATGGACTCCAAGAATATGCTTACATATCGATTGCCCGTAAGTTTTAGATCATCCGTCATGCCAGCAACTGCAGCAGATGGGAGATTCGAGCGATCAATGACTGAAAAGCAATACAGAAGCGACACAGTGGCCACAACTCGGACATCAACTCGGCGCATGATTTGCCTTTGCTCTTTTGGGGTGAACTCCATGTCGTCAGAGGGGCACGTCGTTGTGGTATCACCACGAGGGATGTGATCTCGGCGACTCTCCGAGATGTCTTTGCTCTGTGTCGACATGATTGTTGTTGAAGACTTCTCTCGTTTTTATTGCTGATCTTGGAAGGCTATATACATGCCCTGTTGAGAATCATAGCTGAATTCGACGGCTTTTATCATCTAGACTCTGCACAAGCTTCGTGATGTCGGATTTGTGACGTTTGGTTGTGTCTTTCTTTGATGTTCCACATGTCGCTTCATTCTCGTAACTCAGTGTGTCAATGCTTCTGTGGTTTACTAAGATCCGCTCATGTAAAAGACATTGCTTATGCAGCAGCGGAATCATCGTGGAGTTGGAAAATTAAGTCAGCGATAATGGAGCATTCAATTTTGGCGGGTTTTCTGTGACCCAAGAGTCTTCCAGGGTCATCCAAATTACTCAGGGTATGCCCTGCTACAGTGAAGTCTTACAAAGTGTGAGGCTCTAGGTGACATAGGTACTTAGCCCCTTCAACTGCATTCGTATGCTGTACAGGCCGACTGCTCTTAACAAAACTCGCCGAGCAAAATGTGAGTAATGAGAAACCATTGGCAATTCAGCATAATCAGGTATGAATCACTGTCTCGATTCCATATCCGTTTCCCCGACTGGACGCAGCTGTGAAGGCTTCCATAAACCATCGTGGAATCTTTCATACCGCGCGCCTATGACTTCATCGCGCTTGCTTATGAGATAAGCCTGGGGGTGCGAATGGTAAGACTATTATAATCGGGGGTAAGCAGATCTTCAGTGGAGACCTGGAATTGATCGGCGATGAATGACCCGGTTGCCCGCGGGATTCGAGAAAAGCGCCAATAGAACCCGCGATGTTTGGAGATCTGGTGGGGGCACCAGGTCGCAAAATATGGGAGATCCAATCGTAAATATCCGAAACCAAATGGTAAAGAAGCACGCAGACTCAATCCCAGCCTCAGCTGCGCTATTTCAGTAACCAGTTGACAGTCTGGTAAACTGTCTAGTCGTGCAGACAGCGTTCCAGGTAGCTGGGTCTAAGAACTTAAGAAGACATCTGCTTGATACTTCCGATCTTGTTGATGACTTTCTGGCAGCAGGTAAACTCAAATTTACACATCCGAGACTCATCCACAGTCAGCTTATTAATATAATTGAGGTGGCCGTGAAAGACTTGGTATGAAAGATTCTGGGTTGTGATATCTCAGAGAGATCGTTGGGGCCGAGTTCATGTGGGGCCTATGCGTACGGAGTATGGGTGGGCCCTTCCGGATGGCCCCGAAGCTTCTCGTGAGCCAACGTTCCGCTCCCCGGACCATGATGGCTGTCAGTCAGCAACCATTACCAGCCGAATCGAATACACGCTTCTTGCAATCGGTCACGAAGTAAGAGCGACTGCCGTTCTTTTTCTTGTGTCGCAAGTAGACCAGAAATGACAATGCAAAGTGCGGACTGGCCATGAGTACTGACCTCAGCGCTACTTTCGGCGGTCTTCAGGAGGACCTGGAAGCTAAGCTTGAATGAACAGCAGAGAAACTTTTCAAGGTATCCTAACGAGCAGCTTTTGATGCAACTAGGAAACAGGTCATTAGGCTATTCTATTAATATATTGCAATCCAATTCTATCGGTCGACAAGGTAGGTTTGCGGCATACAATGTCACTGCTGTCAATCAGGCTGGTGGGTCCGTTTTCCCTCGAGACGAGGGTGCGAAGACCGATCTTGCGGAGGATCTGCACAGCGCTGTGGGGAACGTACACGGTACAGCAGTCTTGTCTGGATTCAAGTAGCTCTTCTTGCTCTCGAAATTCGACATGCCTCATGAGCCAGTCAGGACGCCTCTTTGACACTAATAACTGTTGCAACATCATGGCTTTGTCTGCTTCTCGTTTGCTGAGAGGCAAAACTGCCGCAATCACCGGAGGCACCACAGGAATCGGGCGGGCGATAACACTGGAGTACCTGAGACAGGGAGCGAACGTCGCTGTCAACCATCTGGGTCTTACTCGCGACGAAAAGCACCGAAAGAGTCTGCTGGAAGAAGCTGAGAAAATCAGCAAAGCTGGAAGCAGCGAGCTGCCGACCGGCCAACTGATAGAGCTTGCCGGCGATGTTACCGACCCAGAAACCGGTAAGGCGCTGGTGAGCGCGGCAGTCAAGAAATGGGGCGGCCTCGACGTCTTCGTAGCCAATGCAGGCATCTTCAAAGCAGCCGAATTCTTAACGTAAGTTGGAACTCAATCTCAATTGCATTTGCAGCAAGAAACTGACTTGGTTTTCGTAGGCTCGAGAAAGATGTCTTCGACAAAAGCATGCAAGTCAACGTCAACGGAGCCTTCTACTCCTGCCAAGCTGCGGCAAACCAGATGGTCAAGCAAGGACGCGGTGGATCGATCATTGGCATATCGTCAATCAGTGCACTTGTTGGAGGCGGTTTTCAGACACATTACACTCCTACAAAGGCTGCAGTTCTGTCGATGATTCAGTCGATGGCGATTGCGCTCGCGAAGGATAAGATCCGATGCAATGCTCTGCTGCCCGGAACCATCCACACACAACTAGCTGAGCCGGATATGCAAAACGAGGAGAAGCGAAACTATCTACAGAAGCGTATTCCAATGGGAGTTGGAAAGCCGGAGGATATGGCAGGCCCAGCAGTGTTTCTGGCTTGTCAGGAGATGAGCGGGTTCATGACCGGCTCTCAGGTGCTCGTGGACGGTGGCATGTACGTGAACTTGCAATAAGTTCGTGTAAGCGTGTAATTGATTCAACCCATGTTGGCCAGCGAACTTGGGATATTTCTGCTGTAATAAACTTCCCCTTCAAATATCAAGCCTTCTCGAATGCCAGTAAAGAAGAGACTTCTTTCACTCACCATACCGGCGGGCTGGAGGATGATGGCGCCGCCAGCGGAGGACATCCCGCCGCTCGCGTCTCCAAATTGTGGGGGTTCAACCCCGGGTTACCCCGCATGGTTCCGCGCGTCTCCGCACGACGTTCCTGACAACATTTTGCTCCTCCGCGTCATGTTGTTTACCACCAGGTACACTGACTGCGATCCCGGTCACATTGGATTCCTTATCAGTCTTAAAGTGGCTCTTCCCCCATTGAGGTCAGATGCTCTCCACTTCGGACTGGTGCAGCATCACTTCTTGCAGGCCTACCCACTGTTGAGTTGACAGTGTTGACTGCACTAGCGTAGCCTCTGGCTGGACATCGAAGTCTATGAGTATTGATGAGGAAGCCATCAACAACGACAAAATGGTGGCCGATGAGAATGCAGCACCACGCTATTTCACCAGAGGACGCCTTTCACGAGGGCGTGGTTTGAGGAATACGACCGGATGGTAGGCGGCCTTTGTCCACACTTCACGCTGGATCCCCGCATGCCTGGGGTTTCAACTAACGAGTACCCATTCGTGTAGTGTTACTTGTCGCCGTCGCCATGTCAAATGCGATGAGAAGAAACCTATCTGCGGCGGATGCGAAAGGAATAAACATGCCTGCGCATACGTTCCAAGGCGCCCGCCTGTCAGAAAACAAGCCGCCCACGAGAATCAAGCTCACGCTCCAAGCGAAGCCGATGCTGCGCAGCAAGATTCAAGATCGTCTCCAAGATCGAACAGCCCAGAGTCAACGACAGACTTACCGACCGCAGAAGATACATGTATCGAGCAACAAGAAGGCTCTTGGGATGCTGCGCCAGCGGAACATGACGACCGACGTCCGAGCACAGCGGGTCGTGAAGCTTCACCACCTCCCTCTGGCGATCATGAAGCAAATCAAGAGCCCTTGCCAGCCTTCGAAATCTCGGAAATATCAAACGTCCTACAGGAATCTCCAGCACTGAATTTGACAGACGCGCCATGTACACTTGCGACTACCCCTCATACTTCGGCTACTACCAACAGCTCCTACGGAGCCAACTTGGAGAATGCCACAGCAATATGGGTCGATCTTCTGCTACAAGACGCGGCTATGCAGGAGTTTGACTTCACGAATTTCAATCTTGACACGGAAGCAATCGACATCTTTGGGAGCTCGGTCGTGCAATCGCCAGCTGTTAGAAAGGCCGCACCGAAACGGCCTGAAGATGCTTCTTCACCAACACCTAGCACATCTCATCCCTACCTGCAAGAGCGGGCATCTAATCTGAATGAATACCAGAATTTCGAAAAGCAAGCATGGTACTCAAAAGATCTACTTAAGATCTTACCCAACGAGCACGTTATCTTTCAGAATTTTGTACAACACATAAGCCAATGGGTAAGCCATCATCAGGTTACCAAGAGTACGAATTCCATTGCCTCATCTTTTCTGCTTTTAGATGGACTTTTTCGACCCCAAAAGGCCATTCGGGACGCATGTTCCACAACTAGCGGTAAGCTCCTCCATCGTTCGGGCATTTCATCATCGATTCATCAAGGATTGGCGATCTAACTCATTCCACAGATGCACAACGTCGGCCTTATGAACGCAATTCTGGCACTTTCGGCCCGCCACTTATCTCTAAACGCAGACGCCGGAGCGAAACATCATCAAGACCCCAACGATACACTCAGATATTACTACAAGACTCTGCATTACATTCAAGAAGCAATGCAGTACGACTCCTACAAGACGAGCTTGGAGCTGCTCGCTACATCATCAATCATCTCAGCATATGAGATGCTAGACGGATCTCGACAGGATTGGGAGAGACACTTAAAGGGAGTCTTCTGGATTCAGCGCTCCCAAGTCATACATGGAGACTCTTCGGGGCTGAAGTCGGCTGTTTGGTGGGCTTGGTGTTGCCAGGATGTTTGGGCGGCGTTCCGTGAGAAGCGCCGCCCATTCACATTTTGGAGACCTCTGAAGACCTTGGACGAGTTAGATCCCTATGAGCTCGCTTCTAGATCTGTCTACTTCTTCGCCCAGGTTGTGTCATTCTGCTCTCTCGAGGACACGGAGGCTGGGAAGAACGATCCTCTCGCACGAATAGCCGCAGCAGATGCACTGAAGGACATGCTAGAGACTTGGAGGAGATACCTGACAGCAGAGTTCCAACCACTTCCATATGCGAGCTCAGAGGAAGACGTATTTGAGCCAATCTGGATACATCCTCCGTCATTCGGTATGATAACATCGTACTACCTGGGATATCCGAGCCGATGCTAACATACCTGACAGCGGTAGCATTCCAGGTGTACTACTGTGCCCACATTTTGCTTCTTCTGCATGTCCCAGTGTTAGGTGGCTTGGAGCAGTACACCCGGCAACGAAAGAGATTGATGGAATGCGTGAAGAAAGTGTGTGGTATAGGCATGACGCTTTCGGACTATCCGTCGAGTGTCATGTGCTCTCAATGCCTCTTTATAGGTTCGTCACAACTCCTGCGTCTTTTCAGGTCCAGTCTATAACAGGGCTGACTATCACAGCGGGAATTCCTCTCGAAGATGACAAGGAGCGTACACGTGTTCTTGAATTGCTAGAAGCCTGCCGCCGACGATCGGGTTGGCCGGTGAAGCCGCTTGGGGAGGAGCTCAAAATAAGGTGGGAAACGGCAGAGGCGAGTTGATATACTGATCATCCTGTCTTAGCTAGATGGGGGAATAAATATGGTCACTGCTGTTGACGAGACTCTCCACCACAGTCAGATCAGGCTTGACCTGCTGATCCGCAGATTTCCATCCACTCTTTCGTCTGCCGGGTGACATGATATGTGCCCTCTTCAATCAAGGTCGTGTGCGGTATCTCTGCAACCTGGGTCTTGAGATGCACGTAGTACTCGTCCAAGACCAACTTGTTGACGTTGATTTTGGTGGCTCCGGCGGCAATGCACTGCTTCATGAGATCTGGAGGGAACCCATTCGTGCCATGAAGGGCAACTCGTACTCTGCCGCCGATTTGGTTCCGAATCTTCTCAAACCTGGGGGTGTCAGTACCTTCGGCCTCAAGATCCAGCACCAGGCTTACCTGTCAAAGTCTAGCTGAGGTCCTTGCCGTCCATATTCCCCATGAACGTTTCCGAAAGCAGGTGCTAGTGCATCAACACCGGTAGCGATAAACTCGTCAACCTCCTCGGGCGTGGTCTTGCTCGCTTCCAGCCCAGCCGTATCCATCACGCCGTCTTCCGCGCCTTCGATCCTCCCCGGTTCAGCTTCGGTGGCGATGCCACGCTCATGGCAGTACTTCACCCATCGTGCCGTTTTCTCCAAGTTTTCTTCCTTCTCATAATGCGACATGTCGACCATGATGCTGTCGAAGGGGAGGTTGTCGGCTGCATGCTTGATGATATCCTCATTCTGCGCATGGTCTAAGTGGATGGAGATAGGAACTTTGGCTCGGGAAACGGCCTCTTTGGCAGTTCGGACGAGCAGGCCGTCGGCATAGGTCACTGCCCACGGGAAGAACTGAATGATGAGAGGTGATTGAGCTTGCTCCGCGGCAGCAACGAGACCGTAAATCTGCTCGAGGTTGTAGGCGATTGCTGCGATGACTCCATATCGACCTTTCTCTGCGTTGCGCAGGATCTGGATATGGCGGTTTTGGTCTCTCCAATCTTTTGATGCGGTCATTGTGGTTGGACTTGGATGGCGTCAGGTTGTTGATGTTGTATCTGCCATCATTCACCATTGAATCTTCCCCTCATTCAGTATTTGAATCATCATCCTTGTGCATGGTCTGATATCCATAGTGGCAAACTTACGTCAACTGGATGGGTCCCCGGCGTTGGTTGGCTTTCGCGTCGAGGAATATGAGGTGGGTCAGAGTCGTTGGAGGAGTCGTCACGAGGGTAACGATAGACTCATGTATCCGACCATGTGCTGGCCCGGCTTGGCGTCCAATCATCGACCAACAGATTGAAATCTGAAAGCTTATAAATTGTCTAACTCAGATCTTGTCCATCATTCTGTTTCTTTGATTATACGGGTTACTGGTTTTGAGACCATTCAATTGTTACTCTGACATCGGAAACAGAACAGTCCCGCTAAACTGCCTACGCGATGCAATCTTACGTGCAAGTTGCACAAGAATATGAGGCTTTTCCAACAGATTCTTTGGTAAGGCAACATCGGAAAATAACCAGAGACTTAATGATGAGCGCAGTACGCGTTTACGTCCAATCTCGACTATGTCGCAGACATGCATGATGATTGTTGTGGTTCAGGCCACAGAGACAAGACGGAAAGCTCGGCCAGGAATTAATCGGTGTCACAGCAATAGTCAAAAATCATATCAAGATCGAGAGATTGAAAAAGAACAAACAACTATCCTTGGGCTAGCTCGCAGTCCAACAACATATGAGACCGACACAGCCGCACCTGGTGAAACGCTGACCGTCTGGCTAACACCTCAGAGTCTCATTCCGGGTTTTCAACCCGACTCTTGAAATTGTAAAACGCTAGAAGAGCAGCTCACAAGAATCTTGATGAGTAGTCTCGGAACGTGACGACACAATGAGGACTTCACGATGGCATATGCAGTGAGAGTTTGCTGGCGGCAGCGCATGACCTTTGGTCCACGTCGGCTAGAGCCGAAACTTACACCTCATCACCATTCCGGAGGCTCGTCGTGAAATATGATTTGTTGCATGCGATGCACATGTGCTCTGATGGGTTCGTTCGAACCATTGCTGCAGGAGTAGTGTAGGTGGCTCCACGTGCGAGCTCGACTTGCATCTGCAAACGGAATTCCACCAAAGTTTGTGGTCTGGACCGAGCTACAACATTCGGATAGACGCAGAATTGCGGTGGCGTTGAGGCTTGACAGGCAGATCTAGGCCGTAGACATGCCAATGTGAAGCTATCGTGGTAGGTTCATGCATGTCAGTGTCAACAGCGCCCTTGTTGAATCGGGTTCCGTATTATTTGCAGGATATTTGATCCAAAGACTCTCAATCAAACGCATTTATTTCAAAATGGCTAACGCCACAGCTCTGCGAGTAACGAATAGCCGATCGCGTGCAGTCAGAGACCGTGTCTTTATTGGCCAATCATTGGAAAGAATGAGGACTTCCATGGCAGATACCGAACCAAGCCGATATCTCTCCATTGCTTCAGACGCGGTGTCTCTGAGAATTTATCTCCCTGACTTATTCAACCGTGTTTACTCGAATTCCTCAGCATGCCCAGATTCATTTCCGTGACTACCCGAAACCGTTACCCCTCCAGTCGGTGGTGCTTGGATCGGCTGTAAGTGTAATTTTGCCGTGGCAAATGATCAATTGCCGTTGGCTCGACGTCGTTCGATAGTGCAAGTACAGGGGCGCGCATCCCTCACACGCATGCACCCCGCAGGCCACGTCTGGCAGGTCATCCGTTCTGTAGACCATGCGGGGTGGTACGGATATGTATGCGACGATCACAGAACCTCTGTTGAACAGGATGATAGCGCAACGTTGATTCGGAAGAATGCAACGTTGTTGGGGGGTTGTTGGTGAGGAGGTGAGGAGATGAGGAGATAGCTGTGCATCCCCTTGTCGGACGACCTCTCTCGCCCGATAGCTGGACCGAAACCCGGCTCCCCCGCCTTTGCGTCCGCCACCAACTCTAAGTCGGAACACGAGACCTCCGACATATATTGTCAGAGGAGTTCCCACGTTTGTGATGGCGAATGCCAATTTCTTCGGTGCAGGTTCCTTCTTTGAATCCTTCTGCGAACCTCTTCTTGTCTCTCCCGGGCGGCACATCGGCGTGGGGGCCCAAACGCAATCATGTCCGGAAAAGCGGAGATCACGGAGGACGGCCCGTCCCCGGCACCGGAGGATATCGAAAAGATCCCCGCCAAGGTCGACACCAATGAACGTATCGGTGACCAAATCTCTCACGAGAAGCTCGAGGAATTGGCACCAAACGGCGAGCATGAGTACATTTTGGAGAAGATCAATGGCATGACCGAGGAGGAGGCCATTGACATCATTGAAGAGGCGGTGGAATTCTTCAAGGACGACTGGAACTTCCCTTCCGATATGAGGGAGCGCATGAAGAAGCTTCTCGGCGGCCAAAAGTCGTACGGAGAGTCGTACGACCGCGATTTGAGGATAGACGCCGTCATGATCCGATACTCCTCGCCATACCCCGGTGTCCGCGCCGTCGCCGAGATTATCGACGATCAGAACGTTCCGATCGAGACTTTCCGAGCCTACTTCCTAGGAATTGGTTGGGCGGTAATTGGCACCTTTATTTCCACGTTCTTCAACTCCAGATTCCCGGCCATCAGTAAGTCTCTCGAACCCCAGCGAGATCTTCCATGAACTTCCTGGCTGATAAGAACTCTGTCCAGCTCTTAGCGGTCAGGTCATCCAGATCCTGTTGTTTCCTTGCGCCAAGGTTCTAGAGTTCGTGTTGCCGGATTGGGGCATCACTGTCTTTGGCATTCGTCACTCGCTGAATCCTGGCCCTTGGACTTTTAAGGAGCAAATGTTTGCGACTATCACTTACAACATCGCGATTTACACCACGAACAGCTATGGAATGATCCTTGTCCAGAAGTCGCCAGTATACTACGGCCTCAAGTTTGTCAACTTCGGCTATCAAATCATGCTCACGCTTTTTGTGCAGCTGATGGGAATGGGTTTCGCAGGATACCTGCGACGATTCAGCGTGTATCCTGTCAAGGCACTTTGGCCGACGATCCTGCCAACCATTGCCATGAACCGAGCCCTCACTCGACCCGAACCACGTGAAAACATCAACGGTTGGACGATCTCTCGGTACAAGTTCTTTTACGTCTGCACGATCTGCATGTTCTTCTACTACTGGCTGCCCGGATACCTCTTCACTGCGTTGGCCACTTTCAACTGGATGACCTGGATTTCTCCCACGAATGTCACCCTTGCGATCATCACGGGTTCTTCGCTCGGCCTGGGCCTGTTCAACCCCATCACCACGTTTGACTGGAACATTGCTACGTCGTCGTATGCAGCACTCTCCATGCCCTTCTTCGCCACGTGCACGCAATACTGTGGTGCGATCCTCGGCGGAGTCATTATCCTTGGAATATACTACACCAACATGTACAACACAGGTTATCTGCCGATCAACTCGTCGTCTCCGTTCGCGAACGACGGGACACCTTACGTGGTTCAGAACGTGGTTGTTGACAACAAGTTGAACGAGACCCTCTACCAACAGTATTCACCTCCGTTCTATTCCGCCGGATATCTCATCACTGTTGGTGGCAACTACTGCTTCTATCCCATCTACTTCCTTTACATCATGGGTTTGTCACTTCTTTCCCCAAGATATGCCCCAGCTAACACTGTCCAGGCAACCAATGGAAGACGATCTCCGCAGCATACGTCGACTTCTACAAGGGGCTGCGCTACAAGAAGGGTAACTACGAGGGCGCCATGGACATCCACAGCCGACTCATGTCCAAGTACAAGGAAGTGCCAGACTGGTGGTTCTTGTTGATCCTCGTCGCTGCCATCGTTGTCTCGTGCATCTTCCTCAGCATATACCCTCTAGACACGCCAATCTGGATTGTATTCCTCATGATCGCCATCAACCTGGTCTTCGCCGTTCCCCTGTCTTTTCTTTCTGCGACTACCGGAACGAACCTTGGTCTCGGTGCGCTCATCCAGGTCATCACCGGGTATATGCTGCCTGGAAACACCAACGCTTTCCTCTTCTCCCAGACTCTGGGATCATGGGCTCTCGCAGGTTACGGAGACAACTATGTCCAAGATCAAAAGATGGCCCACTACACCAAGATCGCCCCGCAAGCTGTTTTCCGAAGCCAGATTGGAACGATCATCATCACTTGCTTCGTGGCCGTCGCGACACAGAACTTCATTCTTGAAAATGTGAAGGGCTTGTGTACCCCGACCCAACCCAGTCGATTCACATGCGCCAACGATGGAGCGCCTCTCTACACCAACTCACTGGTATAGTTACCTTCAATAACATATTGTTCCCAACAAGAACAAAACGGTCTAACAGTCACCTAGATGTGGGGTTTGCTTGGCTCCGAACGCATGTTTGTTGCATTCTATCCAATTCTGAAGTGTAAGTAAAAGCATTCCGCTTCGCATCCAGAGTAACACAGCTAACATGAATTGTAGGGTGCTTCCTGATCGGCACGCTCATCGCCGTCGTCTTCTTGGTTGGCCAGGGATATGGCCCGAAGTACTTGCCAGGTGTACGAGAGAAGCTCCGCGTCAAGCTCAGGCCCAAGACTTTTGCTCTTCTCGACCGAACTCTGTTCCCATTTGTGGGTTCCCTTCTCTGGTTGAACCCAGTTCTTGTCATTCAAGGCATACAACACTGGGCGCCTTCCAACCTTTCGTACAAGACACCGGGCATGATCCTGGGCTTTATCTTTATGTACTGGCTGCCACGACATAGGTTGGCGTGGTGGGAGAAGTATAACTACGTCTTATCGGCGGCTTTGACTGCGGGTGTGGCCGTCTCAGCGCTGGTCATGTTCTTCGCGGTAGGATACAACCCGATTTCTTTGAAATGGTGGGGAAACACCGTGAGCGGCGCCGGAGTCGACGGCAGCCAAATCGGAGTTCTCCCACTCCCGGAAAGGGGCTACTTTGGGCCAGAGAAGGGGTCATTCTAGTGATGGAACATGGATCACTTTATCAAGAAGTCGGCGAAGAAAGATAGTTATGAAAGAAGGCCGTTCGGCTCCGCCGTCTGATCGGATTTCATCCTCCGGACTCGGGCGGAGACGACCCCCGTGGGGGCCGGAGGCGGTGGAGCCATCACAAGACCTTGAATCAATGCACTAGACTGGCGTTCTGTTTGACATATAGATGCCAGCCCCTGAATTCCGAAAAGTACCAAATCACTAGTTTCGTCACTTTTAGTGTTGTCACCTTCACGAGATGGCGCAGTCTGCATACACTTGTGAAAACAGCTTTGATGCTAGGTATCTATCTGATGAAATATGGACAAGAAGATGAATCCGGAAATCGAGTTTGACAATGCCAGCCCCATGAACGCCATTTTATCGACAGCATCGCTGCATGCAGTTGAAACGTAATTCGATGTAAGTCATGAAAGCCGCTCTTATTCGCCGAGGATATGCGACGTTTACTGCTTGTCGAAGAGGTAAACGTTCTGCTCGAGCTGGCGGGTGTTGAGGAAGCTCATGCTGATGTTGTGCAGGTTGGTTGCACCCATCTGAGCACCGTCACGGACGATCTCAGTCTTCATGATGTTGATGGCCTTGGTGACACCCTCGAGTCCGTAGCAGTTGGCGTACATGAAGCTGTGTGATTGTTAGTGCTGATCGACAAAGAAGAAGGAAGAAAAATGACTTACGGACGGCCCATACCGACGGCCTTGACACCGAGAGCAAGCAGCTTCAGAACGTCGTTTCCGTAACGAACACCGCTGTCGGCAATGACATCGATCTTCTGGAAGACCTCGGGGGCGTTGCGGTAGATCTCGTAGGCGATCTCGAGAGGACCAGGGGTGTGGTCGAGCTGACGGCCACCGTGGTTGGAGATGTAGATGGCCTTGGCACCCTTCTCAATAGCCAGGAGGGCCTCGTCGGCGGTGGTGATACCCTTGAGGATGATAGGCAGAGAGGTCTGGTTGACCATCTGGTCGTAGATGTCCCAGGTAAGAGCGGAGGAGACGGAGTTGGCGTTGGTAGTGTCGTAGCGGGCAGCGCGGTGGCGGACGGAGTCACCGGGAGCATCGATGGTCCAGACAATGGCCTTGGCACCGGTGGCCTCGGCACGGCGGATGTTCTCCCAGGTGACGGACAGGTTGCCGTTGGTGTAGATCTGCTGGAAGATGACCTGGGGGCCGTTGAGGGTGTTGTTGACCTTGCCGGTCGCGATCTCCTCGATGGACTTGGAGGCGTACATGGAAGGCTGTTGTTCATGTCAGCGAAGTCCAATGCGATAGACTGAATGAAGTGACTTACAATGTACAGGATGTTCTCGTTACCGGCAGCGCGGACGAGGTTCAGCTCGGCAGCCTCGTCTCCGTAGGCAGCACGAGCAGCAGGCGCGATGAAGAGGGGGGCGCTGAAGTTGTAACCGAGAATGGTGGTGCTGTTCGTATAAGTCAGTACGAGCAACACCGTTGATCATGTTGACGACATACGCCATGGTCTCGTTCAACTTGGTGACGTCGCTCAGGTGCTTAGAGCGGAGCTGGACCTTCTGCCAGACATCGAGGTTGTGGCGGTAGCTGAACTCTCCAGCGGTACCAGTGCGGTAGAAGGAGTACTTCTGGTTGTCGAGCTTCTGGCGAGCAGCCCAGTCGAAGTCGGGAATGGCACGGATGTCCTTGAGGAGAGGCTGGGTGCCCTTGGTGTAGTTGGTTCCGTCTAGGTAGGTGACGAAGCCGGTATCGACCTCGTTCTCCCAGGGCTCGGCCGCAAAGGCGGCGGCAGCGAACTGCGCAGCGATGAAAAGCGAGGAACGCATCGTGAACTGTACTGTAAAGACCGTTGAAAGGAGTGAATAGGTAAAGTGAGTGTAGATCTTTGCCAAGTAGAACCGGTTCCTTCTTTGCAAGTACAGGGAGTCCCGCCAGACTTATATGTCTGTCTCTCAACGGTCTCTACGAGCCACGCCCCTTTCCGTCTCACGATGATCTCCATCAAGAGCATCCACTGATTCCACTTCCATGTCGGGGCATTCTATCCCCGGCGGCCTCGGGGTTGTGCCGCATGCTGTTCAGAGAGGGCACATGCAGGTACTGGTTCATCTCAAGTCTTTCCTAACCAGTAAACACACAGGGCCTTGGTCGAGTCAACTGCCAAGTTGGGACCTAGGGCCTCCCTTGCTACATGAGTCGAGAGAAGAGGAAGCAAGCCCGCCGACTGGTTGGTCACGATCTAATCTAATCAATCCGAGATACCCGGTAGCTTGGGTTCCTTGGCTGAAGCAGTTGGGCCTCCGTGGGGGTTTGTTCAGTCATCCTTAGTAATAACAGGGAGACACAGCTTGTTTCTTTTCGAGCCCGCCCTGGAAAGCCTCGACTTTCCTAGAATGGACGATTCTGGGCCTTCGCATGCAGACTGGGCAAGGATGTCCTGTCGTAGTTGTCGGAACGACAGGGCACTTGGTTTGTTCGTCAAGAGAAAAGAATCCGCAATGAGGTAAATCGTGCAAGCGATCTGGTAGCGACTATCCTAGTTGGGAGACCCAACCGAGTGAGAAGTAGTTCTGGGTCGAAACGGAGATGAAAATGCGACTGATGAGAATTCCTCACTGATAACCAAGATTGCGAGATGCCGAGACCTGTCAAAGACCTGCCAGAGACAGCAGGTCATTTCTCATCTCGTGGCATGAAAGACTTGGCAGCCCGAGACTTTGGTGACTGGAACTCGCTTGTGCCATTGCTAAGTGATCGGAAGTGTTTTCTTCTTTGGCCTTGGTCTGGTTCATGCGCGCTTTCTCTGTCTCTAGATGCAACATAAACTCCGTAGTGGGTTTGTCTGAAGACTTTGGACGAACCGCAGTCGAGAGACAAGATGAAATTAGGTTCTCGTTTCTAGGAGGGAGTGGATCTTTAATTGGAATAAAGTGATGGATCTGTTGTCGACGGAAAGCTTGGCGCGGATGTAAAATACTTCCTCGTCGCACATCGCCCGCTCCACTGGATTCTTTAACGACTTGAGTTATATTCCCCGGGGGGGTCCGCCAAGGGTCGAGGCGGACTCTGCGGAGGTTTGCCGCTTAAAATCATCTCACGATTGGGGCTCCAGGTTTTCTTCTGCTGCTTATTTTCAGGGCCCGGTGGGCTGCTCCGGTTCTCCGATAGCCCGAGATGGATCCTCGCGCGCGGTTGTCTCAGAGGAAATCCTAACCGACATCACCAACTCTCCACCAATGGAATTTTCATCAGGTTTTTGCGTCTATGCATGTGGAAGCTACCGGAAATAACTTCAGACCGGACTGTAATTCCGAGACAGTAAGTTGCCAAGTTGTGCCCAGAAACGCTCGAGGGAGGCTGTGAATGTCACCAGACATAAAAAGGTATTAGAGAGGGATGTCATCGTTTGACAAAAGGCGGTGTTATTGAAACTTCATAGCCAAGTCAGAACGCTCTGAACCAGCGCCGCTCAGGGAAGGTAGGAGCGAAAGCATCTTCTCTTTGCTGATCAACGACCTATTGTCATTTGATGTGCGGCCATTGCGGCTCAAGAACAATTTCCAATCCGCACGTGTGGTATCCCTCGTTAGACGCTTCCCATGCGTTGATCAATCAAGATGAGGCTCCCTCGATTTAAATGGCACAGTCGCAACGTGACGGGGTCCAGCCTACCAATGAGGGCGCGAGCCGATATGAGCGTTGCGTTCTGTCGATTGAGATGGACCCCCACGCTCTGATTTTCAACTAATCTGGGCCTTGTAAGGCGGTGTTTAACGAAAATGGCAGGTTATTATCTCGGCTACACCAGAGGTTCAGAAGCTTGGACATAAGATGGGCAGAATACATAGAACAGTTTTTATTCCCAGAATCCGGAGCATACGGGCTCCGTTGATTCCAGAGAGACTGCACACTTTTCGTTCTCGGATCCGACCTTGGCGGGGTGGATCTCCGGCATACGTCCGGTGCTCGGCACAGGAGCTCAGCAAAATGCTTTAGCAGACAAGGGGGGGAGACAATGTCCCGACCGGCAGGTCTTGACTCAGTGTCGACAACAGACAACAAACAAACAACAAACAACACACTGATTCAGGACTGAGAGAGGATCGTCAAAAGTTTTAATTTGGTATCCACTGCAACGAGCCACGACACACCGCTGCGAGCGTTATGATCATCCGGGCGTTTCCTTTCCAGCCCGCGCTCAAATCTCGTGAACTTCTAAATTTTCATCACCGCCCTTTTTTCTTTCGATTGAACCACCTCAGCAGACTACGACGTCACTTGTCAGGACCGGCTCATAGATCAACAAGAACGGGGGCAACTTACTTCCAATAACACCGTTGACGGGGATGTCTATCGAGGTGGTGTAGCTTGCGGCATCGCTCAAGAGGTAGACGTACGCTCCGCCGAGCTCCTGCACCTCCGCCAACCTCGGCATGCCTCCGTAGTACTTCAACTGCTGCTCCCAGTCCGGTTGTTGAGGAACCCAGTAAGTCATCGCGGTGCGGACGAGACCGGGAGAGACGCTGTTCACGCGGATGCCGTACTTGGCCCATTCCATGGCGAGGGTGTGCGCCATGTTGCGAATACCGGCCTTGGACGCGCCGTACGGTGCTGAAGGCACACGCTGGGAAATTGTCAGCCAGAAGACTCAATCACCATAACTTGGGCGAGACATACCTTGTTAGGACGGTAGGATGCCATCGACGCCGTGAAAACAACGGAGCCCTTGATGCCGAGCTTGATGAAAACTCTCGCCGCAGCTCTGGCAGTGTAAAAGGCACCGAACAGCTAACATCATCATCAGCGCAAGGCCTCGTACATGTTCCGGTAAGACGTCAACTCACGTTAACACCAAACAAGGTCTCGATCTCCTCCTTTGTAAAGTCAAGCGCGGCCTTGTGATTTGTGCGGCCGGCGTTGGCAACGATACCGTGGATGGCTCCCGCTTCCCCGACGATCTTGTCAATAGCAGCCGTGATGCTCTCCTCCTCCGTCACGTTGGCCTGGACATTGAACAGACGTCCCGGGAACTGCTTAGAGGCCGCCTCGAACTCTTCGCCGGGTGCCGCGAGGTCGATGGAGTAGACCTTGTCCGCACCGTTCAGAAGACAGCATTCCGCAACACCGAGACCGATGCCGCGGTTTCCTCCAGTAACTTCGAAGCGTCAGCAAGCCAGGCATTCAGTGCATCCCGGTGATGCGATAACCCACCTGCGATGACCTTTCCCTTGAGGGTGAGGATTGGCTGGACCTGGACGGCCCCTGTCGCAGCTGGCGCATCGGATGAAGACATGTTGATGTGTGAAAGATTGTTTAAACGGCACGGGTCCTTGTCAAAATGTCCGGTCCTTTGCAAACGAGATGAGGTCGAAGTTGGGCGTCAGGATACAAGCTATTGATGGCTGGGAAATTCGAATCACTTATGCAGGATGAAATGGCATTCTCGAGCTTTAAGAAGCTTTTGAAGTTCAAAGACATACTCGACTTCGATCCACAACTTCGCGACAAACCGGTTTGAGTGTGCTTCAGATGCATCGTCACATTTTCCCTCGAGACGAGCATCTCTGGGCGCAGGCCACTGAGGAACTGCGATTCGGAACTCCACAATCGCGGGGAATTGCGGGGCTGCATGAATGATTCCCTCGAGACGACGATGATGCGGGGGATCTCCACAAAACAACAGCACACTCATCGACTCATGAGAGTAGGATGCGGAGGTTTTCCAATTGCCCCCTCATCCTATCTTATCGAAGATGAGGTGTGAAGCCTTTGTGACTGTCAATTGAGAATGTTTGGTACTTTCAGGAGAAATGCCTGGGTCAAAGGTTGTCGTGTAGATTGACTTGAAGGAATTCGATGAAATGGGACCTCAAGAGGAGACTATTCTTCAGCAAGAGGGATTTATGATGACGGCTCTGAAGCTGGCGCATCGTCGTATTGAGGTTTGCAGGACGTATGTTAGGGTGTCAAGATTTCTTGCATCAACCCGCCCAAGCTATACCAATTAGCATCTTATCAGTCTGGACTGGATGTCTGGTGAGAGGCAGACGCGGCAGAAGAATGAACATAAGTAGGTTGGCTTATTGATGGCAGGTCTGAACCTGAGGGGAGATTCTTGCTCTAATATGCGACATATATGGTATTTCGATGGCAAATCAAACCGGCCGCAGTGCATCTATGCTTTCTCCGAAGCTCGCAGTAACGACCGCAACAGCCCCTGAACGGCACCCATAACACACTGTGGTCGCTTCCACCACAGATACACCGCCCCCACTACGAAAGGACTGCACACCAGGGCCTCGAAAGACTTCATCAGGACGTGGCCCTGGTGGTCACTCTTGGCGACGACTTCGGAATATCTCTCGTTTCCGAAGCTGACGCGGGAGTACTTGGTCTGCCAGCCCAAACCCGGCAGGTAGACGGACATGGTCTCTTCCAACCACTTGCGAAGGCGGTAGCGAGGAGAGAGGACCGAGGCGCGCATCTCTACGTAGTTCTGCAGCGCGAGGTCGTTGATGGAGTGCGCGTCCGGGACTCGGTTGGCCGTGTACTCGGCAAAAGCCACCGATCTATGGTAAGTTGCTGCATCGGAGTCACTCGCCTCGCCCGTGGGGCTGTTATTTTCGTCCAAGACTCTGTGCTTGTCAAGGGTGGAAAAGAGAACGCGGACGTCTTCCAGGCCCGCGTTCATGCCTTGGCCGTAGAAAGGAACCATGGCGTGGGCGGCGTCGCCAACCAGGACTGCTGATGACTGGAAGTGGTGAGGGCTGCACTTGATGCTGATCAGGGGCAGATGCGGGTTTTGCTTAAAGGATGCGATGAGGTCGTCGGCAGGTATCAAATTGGTAACACCAGGGAAGTGTTTGTCGAAAAAGGCAGGAAGGCTGGCGGGATTGCTTTCGAGGGCAGCTGTCTGCTCGTTGGGTAGGAATAATGTGCATGTGAACGATCCATCCTGCAACTTGTCAGTCCAATTAACTCTAGATATCTCATCGAAGAAGCTTACATCACTGGGGATGGCGATGAACATGAAGTCCTTGCCGGGCCAAATGTGAAGGTGGTTGGGTGAGATTCTGAAGTGAGGCCCGGCGCTGTCCGTTGTTGGGGGATCGGCCGGTTTGATCTGAAATTCGCACCAGAGAGTATCAATGTACTCTTGTTTGTAGTCCATGTGCGCGAACTTCATCATGTGGTATCTGACGGCGGAGTGGGCTCCGTCAGCCCCAATCATGAAGTCGAAGTCAATCTCGATTTCCCTTGCACGACCAGTGGCAGACTCAGAGGTCATAACCTCAAACCAGGCTTTGCACTTCTTGAAATCGGCGCCGGTGAGCTTGTGGCTGAAGAAGAACTTGACGTTGGGCATCTCCTCGAGAATGTCGAGCATGCGCTTGTTTAGACCCGCGCGGTCGACAGCGTAGATGGCCTGGGACGGTCAGCACGTCACTCAGCTACTGTGAAATTAGGTCGGTTTGGGTTACCCTGCCGTGGACATCGTAGTCCTGGGAGGCTTCATACAGATCACCTTTCGGGGTTCTGCCGTGAATCATGCGTCCGCGCATGGGAATAGTGGCACCAAAGACATGTTCCAGTAACTTTGGTTGGCCAGCATTGCGCATGGCGTTGATGCCGCGCTCCGACAATGCCAAGTTGATGGAGCGGGTGAAGTTCAACAGAGTTGTCGTCGGGTCACGAAGGTCTACATTGCGAATGTCAGTATTGTGCAATGAAACCAGCTGACTTCATGTGGATTTGTCCATAGCCTGTTGACTCAATGCGACTGAGTTGGAATGAGATGGTCGAGCAGCTTGCAATCTTATCAATCTCATCCACATCACCGCCTCGGCGCAGGATTGGTGGGGCTCAAGGGGTCTCCATGATCCGCGATCCTGCAACGGCGGCCAAGCCGAAATAGGACGGACCATTGGGCGGCTCAATGGGAAAAGCGACACGCGACTCACCAGGACGCAACTCGTAAATCTCGACATCGTGACCGCGCTGGGCAGCATAGAGGGCAGCCAATGAGCCGACGGGGCCGGCACCGACCACGACAACTTTCTGATTTCTGGCCATGTTGCTTGGGCCAAGAAGAAATTCCAATCCAGAGACCGAGACGGAAACGGAGCTGGGAAGGGAAAGAATTTACGGCCAGTGGCGTGTAAAGAGTCGCATGATGATTCGCATTTGGCGGGTCAAGTCATCGGCGGCCGGGGCATAGAAAAGCGACGCTGTGCTAGGTGCGAGTGGGCGACCGGAAGATAGCGTCAATGACTTGTGCCAGTGCCACCGAAAGAGTGCCGCAATGCCGCAGAGCGCACCTTTCTTTCAGAAAAGTCTTTCAGAAAGATTCTCTCGGAGACGTCGGTTATTTCCCGGAAGCCCCGACAAGGGAAGCTCCGCTGTCTCCAGGTTCGTTCGACTTGACAATTGCTGGCCGGTGATGCTGACAAACATTTCTCGCTTACTGATCTTATCACATCGATAGCCGTTGTTTATCGATAACACTTGTCGCCAAATTACGGTATCTTATCGATATCGGTGTCTTATCGGTGAACCGCCCGCCCGCGCCTTTCGTGTGCCGCGGTGGCGGGGTGTCTGCGCCAACGTACCTATCACAGCCTCGACCTCCACCGGAAAGATTTGTTCGTCAGGTCATTTCTGCCGCCGAGTGGTCAACTTTAGGGCGTGTGCTGTAAGCTGCCGCGCTGCATTGTCCATCCGAACCCTGCCAATCCAGGTTTTCAGGGTCTTTCTTCCTTGCACGAGATTCCTCTCAAGTTCTGTTGAAACAACATCTTTGGGTCGTATTTTACCGTAAACCCTCGAGCATTGAACCTCGTTCCTTTTCACCTCTACGATACGCCCGCCATGACCGAACCCCCCGCCAAGAAGAAGTGCCTGGGAGTGGACTGCCCCAACGATGCCGGCTCCCTCCAGTGCCCGACATGCTTGAAGATGGGAATCAAGGATAGCTTCTTCTGCTCGCAGGACTGCTTCAAGAAGAACTGGGTGAACTTGCTTTGACTCTGCTTTGGAACATCGCGACAGCTGCTAACAGCTCACAGGGCAACCACAAGACTATGCACAAGACCGAGACAAGTATACTCCACCACATCCTTCCGCCAAAAGTCGTCTCTAAACCAGATCCAGAGACAGGTGTCTTCAACCCTTTCCCGACCTATCCATTCAGCGGCCCTCTTCGACCCGTCTACCCTCTGTCCCCGCGACGAGTCGTTCCCAAGACCATCCCCCACCCCGACTGGTGGCAGGATGGCCAGCCGAAGTACCCCAGATCCATTCTCAACCGGAACAAGGTCGACATCCTTGATGCCAAGGGAATCGAGGGCATGCGCAAGGTTTGCCGCCTGGCAAGAGAGGTTCTGGACATCGCCGCGGCCGCCATCAAGCCCGGTATGACCACGGATGCCATCGACGAGATCGTCCACAACGCCTGCATTGAGCGCAACGTGAGTGCCATTCGCTCAAGTATGCGCACGTAGACCAAGAACGCTGACGAGACGTCGACAGTCCTACCCTTCCCCCCTCAACTACAACCACTTCCCCAAGTCCGTGTGCACGTCACTGAACGAGGTCATCTGCCACGGTATTCCCGACCAGCGCGTGCTGCTTGACGGCGACATCCTGAACATCGACGTCACCCTTTACCACGAGGGCTACCACGGCGATCTCAACGAGACATACTACGTCGGCGACCGGGCCAAGGCCGACCCCGACTCCGTCAGAGTGGTGGAGGCTGCGCGCGACTGCCTGGACGCCGCCATTGCTGCGGTGAAGCCCGGTACCCTGATTCGCGAGTTTGGCAACATTATCGAGAAGATCGCAAAGGAGAGAAACTGCAGTGTCATCCGCACATACTGTGGACACGGCATCAACAGCCTATTCCATTGCCCCCCGAACGTTCCTCACTACGCCAAGAACAAGCAGGTGGGCGAGTGCAAGCCCGGTATGACTTTCACCATTGAGCCCATGATTGCTCTGGGCAAGTACCGGGACATCACTTGGCCCGACAACTGGACCAGCACGACTATTGACGGCAAGAGGACTGCGCAGTTTGGTAAGTGACGATGTACTTTTCCACAACCGTAAGTGCCCGCTAATGAAGACTGCAGAGCACACTCTCCTGGTCACTGAGGATGGCGTAGAGGTCCTGACGGCCAGGAAAGCCGATTCGCCTGGTGGAAAGATCCCGATGCCCAGCACCGAAGCCAACGCCAGCACCGAAGCCAACGGAAAGAGGGCATAAATATCGACATTAGCATGGATACGAGCATGAGCATGAGCATGAGCATGAGCAAGCAGGACGAGGCGTTGTGTAGTACAAAAAGGGACCCGGTGTGGTGTGGTTGGTTTTCATGCGATCATGATGGGAGAAAATCAAAGTAAGGCGGCGAACAGGTGATGCAAGCATGTCTGGCTCATACAGGGAGTTTGGCCAGTTAATCAAAGCTGCTGGGTCTGAGCATGATGCCTTTGGAAAATCAAAACATTCCATCTCGAACACCGAGCCACGTGAGACTTGGATCGAAGCACTACGGTATGGGTTATTCCATGTGGAGGAAGACGACAGCTGTCACTCGTGGAGGATACGTGCCAGGGACCTGCCGAGTCGGCGGCGTCGACATGTGCTTGAGACTTGGGATTCGTAATCCACTCGCGTATGCCGCAGAGAAGAGTCCGGGCCAAGGCCGGTCGACAACGGTGTCCTCCATAAGGCCACTCCGACTGGACGGACCGCAGGAAGTCTTCCATTATCTCAGGGACAGGCCCGGTACAGTTGCTTGAGCCCCAGCCCTTCCCAGCCACCGGCTACAGGCGCAACTCAAGAATTGACAGCTGGATGAGTTCGATGGTGACGACTTGACAGCTGGGACCCCGTTCGATAGAGGGGTCCTGCCAGTGTTGGAGGGGGGTCCCTGGGGATTTTCTGTTTCCCCTCACGCTTGTGCCATCAACTGCTCAGTGTGGTTGAGCTGATGGGTCTGGAATTCGTCGAAGTCGTCGATAGGATTCGCTGGAGCCGCCGGTCGGAAGCGCGATAAAAGTCGTTCCGGAGAATTTCGACGCGGTACGTACTGGCCCGTGCGGACAAGGTACGTACCCAGTGGCATCGCCGGTGCACCTGTGAGGTGCAGGATGCCTACCACGAATGGGACGCCATCCAGGCCGCTAACTGGCTGATGTCAAGCTGTTGGCCGCTGGTCGGCGCGGTGCTCAGCACCCAAGCAAACCCAGGCATCGAGCCTCTTTCATCATCGGGAAGCAGAGGTTAAAGCCCCGTAGCCCACCCTCCCGATTTTCGTGTCCACGTCTACGGATACTGTCCAGCAGCCAGCATCCAGTACCCAGCATCAAGCATTCGGGCTCTCGCTAAGATACTTCACCTGTACCTTACCTCATTCTACCTCGCCTCGTCTCGCCTCGCCTCGCCCTCACATCCATCACCTCAACTCGTTCTCTGCCTGCCCGAGTCTCCGTCTCCGTCTCTCTACTCCTCCAAAAAACCGCAGAGGTCCAACCGCGACTCAACATCAACACATCCCGACCCATTGGATTTCCACACGTGTCGTCTTGCTATCAACAGCTGCAGCTGCCGCCACATCTACGCCTACTCGCCTCCAAGTACTCCTTGTTGCAACCGTTGCCGCGGCGCAGAGCTTCCCTCCCACATCACCCCAGTGACGTCGAAGCATTCCACCCGCCCGCACTCGCACAAAGCTCCAAACCCAAACCAAGACTCGACCGCGGAGGAAAAAAAAGCGAGCTTCCCCTTCAACTCCAACAACAGCACATCCAGAACCGTGCTGTATCTCTGTCACCTAACACCTCAATCTTCTTCACCTCTACTACGCGCAGCTCGCTGCCGAATCAGTCAAAATGTCCGGCGAAGCATGGTTATACCTCCTGGCGGTGTTGATAAACGCCGTCAACCTGTTCCTCCAAGTTTTCTTCACCATCATGTACAGCGATCTGGAATGGTAAGCCCCGAGATCCCCTCCAAAACGACGCGCCTGTCTCTTCGCACAATAGCTGCTGCTGTTTGGCCAGCTCGGGTGAGATGCATTTGCTGCAGACTTGGCCATGATGCAAGGGCGTGCTCGTGTTTGTTATCCTGGACAATCGATAGCTAACCACATTGTTTTCCTAGCGACTACATCAACCCTATTGACCTCTGCAACCGCCTCAACACCTACATCATCCCCGAAGCCGCCGTCCATGGATTCCTGACGTTCTTGTTCTTGATCAACGGATACTGGGTTCCGCTGATCCTGAACCTGCCGCTCCTTGCATACAACATCAAGAAGTATGTCACATGCCAACCGAAATCCCGCGAAGAAAAGACGAAAGCTGACTTGGTCCAGGATTGTCGACAACACCCACTTGTTGGATGCCACCGAGATTTTCCGCAAGCTGAACGTCCACAAGAAGGTAATTATCAACCCAACACGTCAAACCCTAGATCCAGTTCTCTAACGGCGCCGCAGGAGTCCTTCGTGAAGCTCGGTTTCCACTTGGTCATGTTCTTCTTCTACCTCTACAGCATGATCGTTGCCCTCATCCGCGACGAGGCTCACTAAGAAGCCGAGTTCACTCCCTACGAACGACAACGGGACGGATTCGAGTACATATACGACCATGCCGTGTGGACGAGAATGAGCAAACCGAACGCAGATGCTACTACAGAGGAACGCGCTCAGGTGGCTCACTTGAAGAGCATAGGGCGGGCAACTGCTAGACATGGGGTGATGATACCAGAATACGGCGGCGGGGGTTGGTTTTGGAGAATCCGGCGCTGATGCTTAACTACGCTTTGGGCTCCTGGAGTTTATTGACAGCGGTTTGGTGTTCATGTCGCCTCCACATAGGATTCTGATGATGATGAACGGGAAAGGAATATCACGGAGAGGACGGAACGGTTGCGGAAGGTTTACGACGCGAAAGACAAACACCTAGCTGTTTACTTCATGTTGCTGCCAGGCCGGCTGGTCTTGGGAGCGGCGGGTTGCGATAATTGAGTAATGACAGATGTGTGGATATGCCATGCTCTTCGGTGCTTTGCTGCCTAATTCGAGAAATCAAACTTTGAGCAATTCCAGGGTCAGTCCGTAGCCCTGGAGACTTTCGGTCTGTGGTGCCGCAGCCATCCAAGCTTTTTTCCTGCACCCCGAGCTGTCACTCAGTTGCACGAGCAAAAAAGTCAAGCCTGACATCAGATCACGTGACCGAACTTCAGCGGATGCGACCAAAACCTGGACAGTCGCGACCAAATGATTCAACCGCGACACAAGCCCCCGCACCCTATCCAACACACCGCGACGAGACGACACAACTCAAGATGTCGGGCTTCGGAGACTACCCGCCAAATATGGCGCCGCAAGATGCGCTCATCGTGCGGCAGCAGGCCGAGCCTGACCACGCCGTCGTCCCCTACACCGGCGAGGACCTTGCCCGTCCGAAGCTGGGGCCCGCGAATCCCTTCAAAGACGAGACGAATGTCCTGAAGCGCAAGAACGTTCTCACCGGCACGGCTGAGGAGACGTATATTTCCGAGCACACATTCCGAAGCAAGCACCGAGCGATCGAGCGGAAAGGAGGCCCCGAGCGCGAGTACCAAACAGGCGAGGCCGCGAAGAATGAGGCAGCGAGGATACGGTCCGGACGCGAGAAGAAGGGCGACGCATCCATCGCGGAAGGAGACGGCGCCTACGTCGGACCTTGGGCGCGATATCGCCGCCCAGAGTACGAGGTTGTCCGCGAAGGCGACGAGCTGGCTAGCGACGAGGAATACGAAGAAGTCACAGACGAGGACGACGACGTTGTCGAGAGCGGTACGATCGTGCGTGCCCCAGAGGCGGCTCTCGCGAGGAGGAAAGAAGTCGAGGAGATGGGCGAAGAGACGACAACGTTCCACGGGTCGGAAGAGAGGGATTACCAGGGCAGAACATACATGCACGTCCCGCAAGATCTGGACGTGGACTTGCGCAAGGACGTCGGCAGCATCACAAACTACATCCCCAAGAAGCAAATCCACACGTGGCGGAACCACACCAAGGCCGTTACCGCGCTGCGCTTCTTCCCGAACTCGGGCCATCTGCTGTTGTCGGCGTCGGCGGACTCGACGGTCAAGATCTGGGACGTTTACCACGAGCGCGAGCTGCTGCGGACATACTCTGGACACTCCAAGGCAATCTCGGATGCCACTTTCAACAACGACGGCACAAGGTTCTTGTCGGCCAGTTTTGATCGAAAGATCAAGCTGTGGGATACGGAGACAGGAAGCTGTTTGGGACGATTCTCGACAGGCAAGACGCCACATGTCATACGGTTCAACCCGTCAGCTGAGCACGCGCATGAGTTCGTGGCGGGTATGTCAGACAAGAAGATTATCCAGTGGGATACCCGCGCCGGCAACGAGATTGTGCAAGAATACGGTACGTCGACCCTCTTCTCCCTGGACACTCGTGAACATCGGTACTAACATCGGACAGACCACCATTTGGCAGCAATCAACACAATCACCTTCGTCGACGAAGGCCGCCGCTTCATGACGACTTCCGACGACAAGTCCCTCCGCGCGTGGGACTACAACATCCCCGTTCCCATCAAGTACATCGCCGAGCCCTACATGTATCCGATGACGCGCGCGGCGCCGCACCCGAGCGGCAAGTACGTCGCGTTCCAGTCGTCCGACAACCAGATCGTCGTGTACGGCGCCAACGACAAGTTCCGCCAGAACCGCAAGAAGTCGTACCGCGGGCACAACAACGCCGGCACGGCCATCGACGTGTCCGTCTCTCCGGACGGGCAGTTCCTCGCCAGTGGCGACACCCAGGGATACGTCTGTTTCTGGGACTGGAAGACGTGCAAGATGTACCACAAGCTCAAGGCGGGAGATCAGGCCGTCACCTGCGTCGCGTGGCACCCCCAGGAGACGAGCAAGTTTGTGTCGGCGGGCGCGGACGGGGATATTCGCTACTGGGACTAATGTTGCTCCTGCGAAGAGGAGAGAATGTTGTATTCTATCACGGGCATTGCTTGGCGTTGGAAGAGGGAATGAAAATGGGATCGTTCTTTCGTCACGGTGATGTTCTCACAATCATCGTGTTTCTTTCATGGAGATCGCCAGCTTCAGAGCATTATTTGGATTGATTCGAGCTACACTAGTGACTACCATCCAGGAACGCGCGCCGTCTCTGGCACTAATCATTGAATAAAAATAGGCATTGGTTCGGTCAGTCTAGGAAAGCTCTCACGCACATGGTGCGCCAAATTCGTCGCTAGGCGGCGCCTCCCCGCGAATCAGGGGGAGCGGCGGCATTTGTTGTCCGCCATGCTTCCGTGCTACCCCAAATGCGTGTCTCACTTTCCTACGCCGAAAGTGTTTGCATCGCATCGTATTCCTCTGTTTTTTGACCGCCATCAACGAGGGGAAGAAGTGCTTGGCCATTGAGATCACATGTTCGTCTGATCTCTCCTCGCCCTTGATGTCGCAGAAACCTTATACTCTTTCACACCCTCACTCAAAGCATCTGTCTTCAAAAGATCTCTTCGGATTACCATCATTGTTGCGGTTTAGTAGTCCGATCCACGAATGGACTCGATTTACTGGGATATCCTGCCGGCGGATGAGTCGGACTCGAGCGAGGAGGCGGAGGACGAGTGCACGCCTGGGATCGAGGTTCCGTGTCGAAAATGCAGAGACAAAAGTCGGCTATGCAGGCGCTGCAGAAGACGACAGCTCTCGACCGCCGTGAAGAAGTCGTCGCTTGAGCAGGCGTGTTTCCCGGATCGGTCAGCCCCGTCGAGCCCAGCAGTCAACGCTGCCGGTATCCCCGAGGTCGTTCTTCAGCCCCTCGAGGAAAACGGCGATGGCCTTCATCAAGGATCCAAGCACGGGACATCTCCAACAAATGTGCCGCCGGTTTTCGCCTCGACATACACCGCGTCTCCGTCGTGGATGTCGACGTATACATCGTCCACTGCCGCCACAACGCACACGGCCACTCACGAGCGGGCGACAAGAGAGAACGAGTTTTTGGGAGTGAGAGGTGGGAGGAGGGTGTATCCTCGACGACCGAGGACGCAGCAGAGGATTAGGAGCTTCGATTCTGGGCGGAGGAGGTCGAGGTGGTCGTCAAGTGGTGAGGTTGAGATCGAGGGGTGGGAGTGGGATGAGAGGGAGATTGAACGAGGGAGTTATTGGGCTGTTGAAGGCGCCAGATGGGAGGAGCAGAGGATCTTGCAGCCCTCACCGCCGGCCGCGTCGCGAAGGAATCAGCAAACTTGGAGGAACAGTAAGAGAAGGAGGTTTGAGGAGAAGCGGGAGAGGCATGGTTATTCCTCGGTCAAGATTTCGAGGTCTCTCCCGTTGGTGGACCCGCCGATACCCAAGTATGTCCGTGATATCATGACAGGAACTTTCTTGGGAGGGCTCTCCATGGCACTTTTGTCTGGAAGAGGTCATTCTAGAGCTGTTTTCGCGATGGCTTATGCCAGGGGTACGGGGCATGCGAGGGGCTTGTGGTGTTTACCTGCTCCACGAAGTGATGGCAATGAGGGTCTTTTTGGAATCGCGGTGTGGGAGGGTCTATGGAGAGGGATATTAGTTATGATCAGTGGCATATTTGGGCTCGATTTCGGTTGCTCCCATGGATTAGACAGTGTAGACTAAGTGGCTTTAAGATGAGGAAAAACGAGTAAGATGAAAATATTACTCATCTGCTTCATCGACTGGTATAAATGCTTTCAGCGGTTGAAATCAAGAACAAAAAGCCTACGGTCATCTTTCTAGTCATACAGTCTATCCATCAGTTGCTACTCCAGAGCGACCCCCAAGTGAATGTTCATTCCAACACCACAGCGAGGGGGAGGTCTGCCATATTTGGCAATGCGGTCAGCCCCGAGCTTCTGGCCACTCTCCTTCTTCTGCTCCTTATTCCTCCTCCTCCTCATCATCGGCGTCAATCTTCTTCTGCTGCTGCTGTTGATTCTCTTGTCCATCATTCTGCTGTTGCTCATCCTCGTCTTCGTCCTGGTCCTGCTGCCCGGTTTGCTCCTCATCGTCTTCATCTTGTTGCTCCTCGTCTGCCTGGTTCGCACCGTCTCCCTGACCGTCATTGTTGTCCTGGTCGTCCTCATCGTCCTGGTCTTTCGAGGCTCCCTGGACCTGGACCTCCTCTTGCTGCTCCTCCTCCTCTTCTTCCTGCTCTTCTTGCTGCTCTCCTTGTTGTCCTACCTGTTGTTGCTGCTGTTCCTCCTCATCCTCCTCCTCCTCAGCTTCGTCATCCTGCTGCTGGCTATCTTGTTGTTGCGGCTGCTGTTGAGGCTGCTGCTGTTGTTCCTCCTCGTCCTCGTCTTCCTCTTCTTCGGCCCCGTCTTGCTGCTGTTGGTTATCTTGTTTCTGTGCCTGCTTCGGCTTCTTCGGCTGCTTCGGCTGTTGTTCCTCCTCATCTTCGTCGTCCTCCTCTTCAGCTTCGTCCTGCTGCTTCTGCTTTTGTTGTTGCTGTGCTGGCTTCTTCTGCACCGCTTGCTCTTCCTCCTCTTCTTCCTCGGACTCGCTCTCTTCTGGTGTCTTCTTAGCAGTAACCGCCGTCTTCTTCATCTTCTCGGCAATAATGTCGGCCTTCTTCTTAGCGGCAGCGGCGGCAGCAGCCTTAATTTTGTCTGCGGAAGTGGTTTTCGCAGTAGCTGGCTTCGCGGTGGTGGTCTTTCCGGCAGTGGTGGTCTTTGCAGCGGTAGTCTTGCCAGCAGTAGTCTTACCAGCAGTAGTCTTGCCAGCAGTAGTCTTTGCAGCAGTCGTTTTCTTTGCAGCTCCAGTCTTCTTCTTCTTTGCCGCAACCTTCTTCTCCCGCTCCTCCCGGGCCTTGCGCTCCTCTTCTTCCTTCTTCCTCTTCTCCTCTGCTATCTTAGCGAGGTTTCTCAGGCCGTATCTGGTTGAAGTAGAACGATCGGGCTGAGCAGGCGCGGGAGCCTTCTTCTGGGCGGTTGTGGTCTTCTTAGCCGGGGCTTTGGCCGGCTTGGCCTTGGAAGCGGTGCCCTTCTTAGCAGTCTTGGTGGAAGTCTTGGAAGCCTTCGTAGCCGTGGAAGCCATCTTAGCTATCGTCTTGCGCATTTTGGAAGGTCTAGGCTTGTCCTCCTCATCTTGGTCTTCGTCATCGTCCCGAGCCCGCTTGGGAGATCTGCTCGGGCTGGCCGGGCTGAGGCTGAAGTAACCGCTGCTGCCGGGGGCGTGCAGTCCGGAGCCATCCGACTCGGAATCGTCGTCGTTGCTTGAAGTATGTTCGGTCTTCTGGCGCTTGGAAGTCTTAGCGACAACGCGCTTCGCGTCATCGTTCTGTTCCTCATCGTCTTCAACATCGTCGGCTCTCCGCTTGATGCATACGCCTGACGTTCCGCGTACACGGCTCATAGCCATAGAATTCGTGTTTGATGATTGGCGTACAGCCGCACATAAGCCCGGAAGAAGTGCGCGAATAGGTCTAGTGGCCTTATCGATGCGCGCACCGTCGACGTCCTGACGCTCGGAGAGCAAGTCCATACGTTCGTTGAAGAACCCTTGTCTCTCTTCTAGAGATTCTTGAACCTCCTGGAGATGATCCTGGCGCTCCGAGAGCAAGTCCAGTCGGAGGGTCACGTTGTTCTCCCACACCCGTTGGCGGGAGTCGTAGAGGGAGGTAGGGCTGGGAGAAGGGGAACGCCGGAATTGGAAGCCTGCCGCGGTGTCGAACCTGGGGTACTCATCGTCGTATTCAGAGCGAGTTGCGTTGTTGTGGGCGCGGATGGGGGTTGAAGACGAGGCCGGCTCGTTTTGAAGGGGGATGATGTTGTTGAGGGGAGTGCTGGGGACGTTGGACTGAGGGGTGTTGGCGTGGGAAGACATTTTGAAAGTTGGTTGGTGAAATGATGTAGTTGAGGAACGAAGATGAGGTCGATTGATGAGACGAGAGTTGAAAGTTATGATAGAAAGTTGTAAGTGAGAAATGAAATGCTTTGCTGAATGATTGTTGTGATTGTGTGAATGGCTTGAGTTGAGAATTCGAACTAGAGGTGGGCGAGAACCATGGATATATAGGCCATGACTTTTTACCAAAAGATACAATGTAGGTCTCTCACAAAGCATATGTAACTTGTGACAATGAGGCTTTGTGAGCATATCTCAAGGCATTTCGAGTGATTCGACTCTTCTTTCCTGTGTCTGCGTCAGTCATTGTTCACAATGAGATCTGTTAGGTGAGTTCTCGAGTCAACTCAGTCTCGGTACGAGAAACATAGGACTTTTGTTCCATTTTTTGTGAGATTGCTTAGCAACCCAGTGACGTGTCAAAGCAGAAAATCTTTGAATTGAAGTATTGAACAACGATGCTTTGAAACTCGACTGATGCTTTAACATGACAAAGAGATGGTATGCACCTCGAATATCTATGGTTCTTTGCTGGAGCCTCCTACTCACCTATGGTTCGACCTCACTTCCCTATCTTTGCCTTCGTATTCTCTGCAGGGCCTGGCTATCATTCAGTGACCTCTGTTGACATCAGACTTGGACTGTACAGGCTTCTCGACCATGAGGTCGATCAGGGTGTACGCGACCTCGGCCGCAGCAAGCACTGTGGTTTCACCGGCGTTGTCATAGACAGGTGCAACTTCAACTACATCGCCGCCAACAATGGACAACCCTTCAAGTCCTTCAAGAATCGTCAGGAGTTCCCGCGTGGACCAGCCTCCAGGCTCGGCCGTACCCGTTGCTGGGACCAATTAGCTTCAGGTCAAAGTATCTGCTGTCCGAGATGGAATACCAGGTGCATATGCTGGGTCGAGCACGTCAATGTCGACGCTGATGTAGACTTTGGAATCGCCAACGCGCTCATTGATTCTCGAGATGACGCCGTTGATGCCGATCTTGTCGATATCACGAGCGGTGACGATTTCGAAGCCACAGCGGACATCATTCCTCAGATCTCCTTTTCTTCTTATCAAGGGTGCTCGAATGCCGGCATGAATTGATGTGTTCAATATCAGATTCTGGAACAATCAGCGAAAGCCCGAAGACACTCTCAATAGTTAGTGGAGTTACCTCTTCGTGAGCAATGTGCAGAAAAGTGCCGTGATTGAGGCCTCTGACAAGCAATTAGAACCGAGCGGCAACGATGAGATTCGCATTACTCACGCGTATTCTGATATTCCACCTCCTTCGAGACTCAAGTGTCAGTGCTGTTGTGACCTTTCAAAGCGAGCACTTACCAAGAACCGAAGGATCCCAGGTGTCTAGAAGAGTAAATCAGTTGAGGGCCACGTTCTGGGAACGATAAAAGAACGAACCAATGTGACTGTCGAAGTGAATGACAGAAACAGGACCCCATCTCTCATAGGTCGACCGAAGAGCCGAGAGAGTTGTCGTGTGGTCACCACCCAAGGTCAGGATCCTCGGGGTGGAAGAAACCGAGGAGTTGGCCGCCGGCCGGCTCGAGATGAGCTTTGCTTTGTGAGTGCTTTGTCGCAGAAACGTCAAATACAGCTTATTACCTTGTGTGCTTGGTCCAGACGCTTCAAGGAAACGACATTGTCCAACCAAGTGAGACGGGCGTCGCCGCAGTCAACCACGGTGGCCCAGCTTTGCAAGGGGTCTCGGCCTGATGCAGGGAGATGTGAGAATGAAAACTCGTTGAATGGCAGATTATGGCTGACCGGTAAAAATACTCCATTCTCCGGGACCCTTCCTCTGACTTCCCATGCGAATTACTGGCGGACCGAAGCGAGCACCTGGCCGACCTGTGGTTGTCTGTTATGTAGAAGTCAGATCATCTCGCACAGTTGAGTAATGTGGTGGTTGTATGGGACACACAGTGTCGTGAGGTGCGCCGAATACGGCAATGTCGTATCTTTTCCCCTCCTCTCCATCCTCAGAGAAACAGTTCACGAAGGGAACATTGGCAAAAGTCTTCAATCCTGCGATGGTATTTGCGCCAAAGGCATCGACGTCATCGACATTGAGTGATAGCGGTATCTGATCGTGAGGGGATTCGGCGAGGGCTTTGTGGGGGAGCTGCCAGGCCGCTGCTGAGCCCTGAAGACCAAGAGCGACGACAACAAAAGGATGCATGGCTCGAGATAGAGAAAAGAATTGGAGTTTATTGTCTTTATCAAACCCAAATTTCAAACTTCAAAACTTATTCAATTGAATTGAGAAAAGTTTGAGTGAATACACTGCTGCCGAGTACTTGCATCGGGTCGCGGCAGCCATTACATAACAAGTTGATCGTCCCCGGCGCCCTGCGCGCCCTTCACTTCAGCAGTCCTTATCTTGGTGCATGAGGCGGGGTGTCACTGCATCGTGGAGCATCGGCCACATGTTCATCTCGGCCGACCGCGGCAAGGTTGTTGCCGTGACGAAAGGGTGAAGGGAAAGTTGAATGAGGGAGGCTACGAGGGAGGCGGGAATAGATATGACAGGATCAATTTGTCGGCAGGAACTTGCCCTGGGAAGCAGCGTCCCTCCTACTCGTACCTACCTGAGGCGGGTGTCTTCTGTCAAGTGCATCGCAGCTCTATCCATCAACAACAACAACCTCAATTGCGCCATCTACACCCTATTTGCGTCTCTCTGCTCCTCTTAGATGGTGGTACCAAAACTCCTGAACGATTCCTGCATTTCTCCCGAGCATCGTTAGATCTAAAATATCATTTTCCCTACGCCCCGAGAAACGATCAGTCACCATGCGTCACCTCCCTTCTCGGAAGAGACACCTAAAAAAGCGCGACCCTTTTGACAATATCGACCACGACGGCGCCGTTGATGATGGCGACGACGAAGAAGGTCCTCCGATGCCACGCCCGAAAAGCGACTACAAGTTCGTATCCAAATGGTGGAGAGACGAATATTATCTGCTCGCGGTCTGCATTACTGCCGCCATCGCACTGGGCATTGTCTTCAAACACTACGACGAGGAAATTGTCCCCAGATTGTGGCTTGATATTGATTTCGACGTCATTATAGTCGCCATGTTCACCTGTATCCGTGTAGCAATGAGCGGCATCGTCGAATCCTGCATCAGTCAGGCCGCCTGGATCTGGGTATCCGAAGCACGACAGGCCCGCGAAAAGGACATGCGGGCTAGACTGGAGGACTTCAAGATATACGACGAGGCGTCGCGCGGGCTCTAGGGAAGCATCTGCCTCATCTGGCGCCTGCGAGGAAGGTAACACAACATCATACCCATCCTCACCGTTTCTGTTCTTGTCGTCTTTATCGGATCCATATCGTAACTAACCATACTAAAGACACCTCGCTTGCATCGGTGCCCTGATTGTCATTCTGGTTCATGGTCTCGAGGCTTCCTCTCAGCAGTTATATCGATACACCAACTTGCCACAAGCGGACAACACCAGACCTGATTCTCCCGACCGGCCTTCGCCCGTCCCCCGCAGCGACTACTGGAATAATACAGTCAAACGAGGCATTGATCCCCGTGAGTTGTGACCGTACTTCTTGTCGGAATCGCGAGTGGCTAACGCGCGCGATAGGGCCTGTTTTGAACTTGTCCACCAAAGCGGCTGTGTATAGCGGGATCTTGTCCGTCGATGTGGTCAAGCTTGACGTTCCCTGCGCCTCCATCAACTGCACGTGGCCGTTGACCCCGACGCTCGCGGTCTGTGGCGAATGCCACTCGATGCAGGTTGAAGTCATGTGCACCGACAAGTCACAATCGTGTCTTTACAGTATGGCCTCTGGGACGTCTCTCGACATCGCCCATGATGCGTCGAGCATAGAACGATTCAATGTCAAACCGTTGAATGAGGCCAATCGTCGTCGCAACTCAACCGACCGCACATTTGTTTCCGTATTCGACCTCCTCTGGGTGAAGAAGAAGAAGAAAAATGGAAGACCCGCAGAGACCATCGGCCAGGAGTGTGCACTTTGGTTCTGCATGCAGACCTACAACATCACAGTAGAGGAGAGCGACCTGAAGCAGACGGTTGACCACAATTGGAGCACGACGCGCTTCGAGAATGAGAACAACGCGCACGAAAGCGAATACGTCTTCGTGGACGTACCGGCCAACATGGAGGCCGACCAGTCTCGATACAGTATTACCAAGGACGCACTGTCGGCGCTGCAGAGTTTCTTCGACGGTGTTATCGAAGGTACGTACGAGGGACGGGATACCATCATCAACTTCTCATCCGAATGGGTCGAGGCAATGTACAACGCCCGGGGGAACTTGGATGAATGGATCGACCGACTCAGCACCAGTCTCACGAACGAAGTCAGACTCCACGGCGAAGACCGGGAGAAAAATAGAACCCGTTACGCAGGCGCTGGGTATACGATTGAGCAAGTAATCTACGTCGATTGGATGTAGTTGATCTTTCCGACGGGTTTGATCGTCATGAGCATCTACTATCTCTTCCACACCATCGTCAGAGGCGCTCGCGACGGCGTGTCTGTCTGGAAGAGCGACTCGCTGCCAATGCTATTTTGTCGGATTGATCCCTCAATCCTCCGTCGGGTCGGCAACGGGATGGATCTGCCAAACGGACTGGATGAGCGCGTCGGAGAGGTCAAAGTGTGTTTATTGAGAGAGGAAGACGGCGATTGGGTCTTCAAGCCGATCGAGAGCGAAGAATCATCGTCGGATTCCGATTCTGAGGGAGGGAACTCGCGGTGGTCCAGGCTATCGCGTATATCCCGGCATTGAGCCTTCTATGTGACATCGGATGCCGTGGACGGGCTTTGATACATCAGATCGAACCTAAAACGAAACAGCACAGCAGATGAAGCAGTCAATATGACGGAATCCGTTTCTCAATTCCGCGCTGGTGTGGCACCCTACGGAAATGTTCCGAGATGCAGTGCGGAGGAGCACTAATGACTCGAGCTGCAGCGTCAGTTGGAGAAGATTACATTGCGTCTCATTGGCCTCAAGCGCCGAGCTTGTGTGGAGCATTCCCGGGGATATCTCCTCTCGAGACTCGGCTGGTGTCATCGGCAAACGATTTCCTGACTCTCATTTGCTCTGTCAACTCCAACCCTCCACCACCCAACCTCGGCCTTCTTTTTCAAGATCGAGCCTCCAGTTCGTGAAGTTGATTAGTCTTTTGCCAAGGGGCATGGATATACGAGTCAGCAAATGGGAGCCGTCCAGTTCCGGTCAATCCGATTTCATAAACCATGCCGCCGGAGCAACGGGGACGGGGAATAGCTTCCTGCCCCTGGCCAGAAGGCCGGCCGCGAGCTGCATGCCCCAGGCTTCGCGTCCACCAGTCCACCGCCCTTGATATCCCCAGACATCTAGCGTCAAAGGATCGTCGACGGCTCCAGACCCCCAGAATTGAACTCCAGAACTCATGCAGTCTTGCCCCCCATTCCCCACACCCCGCAAACTGCTTTCCGTACCTGTCGCTGTCCTCCGTCTTCGGTCCACCCTGATCTGGCAGCTTGAACTTTTCCCGAAGCTCTCGTGTGTCTTGGGCCCGTAGACAATACCGATAGACGAACTTCACCTCGGCCAGACCTGTTGTATCCGCGGGCCTCATGCAAACGGATCCAATGACCAGCCAAACCCACATCATGGCTTCTGAGATTACAGCTGCCGAAGCTTCCAAACCCAAATCACAAAACAAGACCCGAAAGCGCGCCCCCAAGGCGTGTCTATCGTGTCGCGCTCGCAAAGTCAGATGTGATGTCTCACAACGCGGTCGCCCGTGTATGAACTGCTATCTCGACAGCGAGTCGTGTGTTGTTACTGGGAGAGCATCAAGATTGTACGTGTGAACGTGGGCTCCATGTCATTACCGCGATCTTACTGACTGTACGTAGTCGGAGAGCTCAACAGCGGGACGATGGCGCGAACGCGGACAATGGGGATGCTTCCTTTCCGCCCTACGCTCCCGAAGCAGGGGAGCACAACCACGATATCGATCCGATTGCCTCAACGACCAATGATGGGATTTCAATACCTCTGACGGAACCTCAAGACCAGCCTCAGACGCACAGTCACGTTCAAAATGGCCACTCGTCGCCCTTGGGTACGGGAGCCGACCGACAGAAGAGCCCGGCGGCGCAGAAGAAGAGCTGTCGTCATGATCATGCCGGACATGGACAGCATGTCAAAACCTCGGCGGCAGGAGCATCGACCGGCGAACCACTTCTAGCCAATCCATTGCCTCTTAACAGCTCGGCCACAGCACAGTTAGCCAACGATGCGCGGCATCTCAATCTTGATGTCACGTACTCGTTCTACCCGTTTCTCGCCCTGGGCAATCTCCATAACATCCCGCCGCAAGACGTCAACTTTCTTGAGCTCCAGGGTTGTCTGAGAATACCCACGCGCACTATTCTTGACGAATTTGTACAGCAGTACTTCCTTCATGTTCATCCTCTTCTTCCAATGCTCAACGAGGGTGACTTCTGGGATGTCTACTGTATGAACCCGGTCAACTTCTCTAGCGAGAGACTTTCTCTGCTTCTGTTTCAGGCGATGCTTTTCGCTTCTTGTAATGTAAGCATCTGGAAATTTTGTGTTGCAAATGAATACTGACGACATGTCCAGTTTGTATCCCGCCAAACCATCAAGACCTTGGGCTTTCCCACGATCCGCGCTGCCCGCGCCGCCTTCTACAGACGCGCCAAACTCCTTTACGATCTCGAGTCCGAGTCCTCACCCCTCGCAATTTCACAAGCAGCTCTCCTCCTCTCTTTCTGGTCCCCTCCCTCATCGCCCGCTCTGCGCAAATCCAATACAGCCTGGCTCACCATCGCCATCCAGAACGCAAAGACGGTTGAGGCGCATCACTACGCTACCCGAACGGCTCCGCCAAAGAAGCGCAACCTCCTCAAGAGACTCTGGTGGTCATGTATCATTCGCGATCGCATTGTCGGTCTTGGCATGCGTCGCGGTGTGCAGATCACCCGTAGTCACTTTGATTTCGATGCCAACGGTATTTTGGGCTACTCCGATTTGTCCGATGAGATCGAGAGAAGTCGAGTGTACAACCCGGGCACAAAACGATGTCTTGCTGAGATCTTGGAGCAGCTCGTCGAGTTGTGTGTCGTACTGACTGATATCCTGATCTTGGTGTTTCCACTGGATGACAGTCCTGGCTGGGGTCGTGAGATGCGTGCCGAGGAGCAGGATCGAGTCCGCGGGTGCAAAATGGCATTGCGCAGATGGTACAAGGGCGCAACGCTGAGGTTCCCCATGTTTGGAGGAGGCTCTGTTGCCAGGATGAAGTCTCCCGGAAGCGAGTTTCAACATGATTCCGTGATATTGTACACCAACTTGATGTACATGTATTATCAGTAAGTCGATACCAAGGATTCGGTGCTGCTCAGGACTAACATTCGAACAGCTCATCTCGAGTAGTCCTCAGCCATCACGAAGTCCTCCATCTCGCAATCACAGCCGCGGCGCCCTCATTCAGCGCAATTCCTACGTCAGACCTTGTCATCATCGGCGAGAACCGGCACGAACTTCAAGATGCGGCTTCCGGGGTTACAGAATGCTTGAAGGAACTCATTCATCTCCGCCTCGCACGGTGGCTGCCAATCAGCGCAGTCGCCTGCACTGCGCTGCCTCTTGTGCTTCACATCCTCGACGTCAAACTCTCGGCGGCCTCGCGCTCATTCGACCCAAACACACAATCTGCCCTGAAGCAGCATCGCCTCAACATTCTCATCGAGGCCATGAAAACATACCAGCCACAATACGATGGGGTCGACTGGGTCAGCGAGACAATCCGGCACATCGTTAACCTCGCTCAGTTGGACTCGCCAATAGGGGAGCCAGCCAATACCGGCGAAGGCGGTACCGTCATCGCAGACTGGACAGACATTCTCGCGTCTCAGCCCAGCTCGTATCTTCGTCTAGCTTTGACGATGGATCTTTCGCTAAGCAAAGGACGACTGCCCGAGGATGGCGATTTCCCGGTCAGTCTTCGAGGCCTCTTTACCGGCGGTTTCAACCCGATCAAAATGCTACTCGAGAGGAAACGGGCTGAGAGCACAGCGGGCCCATGTGCTTTAGGCGTGAGCTCTTCTCCTGTGATGGACTACGGAAACGGTACTATGAGGCCCAGTCTTTTCCGTATGGAACCAGGGACTGTGACGGTCATACCCTCAGACGAGGAAACCAATTCCCCCGCCTCAGCGGGCGATCGTAGTCAAGACAGTACGACAGACGACACGTCTCCACGCAATGGAGCCGAGTATCAGTTGACCAACGGCGATGTGAATATGGCGGACCGCCCGCCATCAGAGGGCATTGATGGTTTGGCAGCGGAAGTTCTGGCAGCGTTTCCGCTTGACGATTCGCCCGTCAGCATGGATGGGGACTTTGATGGCATGTACTTTGATGGCATGCCGGGACACGACGGACCTAATGGATGGATTGAGACCGCGTGGAGTGAGCTCACGCATGGTGAGGATAAATCGGACCGAGACACGGCGAGAGTATTGCTTGAGGCTTTGAAAGAGGGAGATTTGGCTGAGTGTGCTGCTTGATGATAGATAATGACTAGAATGATGAGAATGACGATCAACATATCTTTCAGTTTCACGATGGGTACGGATGCTTCGAGCTCGGTTTCGGTGCGTCGTTCATGATTCCAGTAAACCCCTCGACGTAACCGCAAGTTGAGCCTCCACCAAACCGAACTACCCCAAACGATCGGCGCCGAGCAGATCTGGAGACTATCCGGGGAACCGTTTAGGAAGTACAGTCTGGGGAAGGAGAGCCGTCCCCCGCAATCCGGGGTACTTGAACCCCAGATTCTCAAACCCCGCAGACTGCCATTCCCCGGAGCTAACTATAGTGAGTCGAAAGCGTTGTGCTGTTGTTGGGAAGGCGGGTCAAGGATATGTTAAATTTGATAGAAGACAGAGATGGACACGAAGAGGTCCAGCTTCGAAAGTACATATAGGACAAGTTCGTCCGCGCAGTTCAGGTGACATGCTCTAACCAGCCAGACTCGTTCTTGATTGACTCTTCGCATGTATTTGCTGAACTCTTCACCATGGCGGACGTCGAGAAAACTGGCTCCCTCAGCCATGAGTCTTTCCAAGAGGATGTTTCCCGGCAGCAGAAATTGGAAGCCGGCGCCCACATAATGCCCGAGATTTTGAGGAACCTTTCACCTGAAGAGTACGGAAGCATTGGCAGAAAGGCAACGCTCAAGATGGACATCATCATCTTGCCCACGCTAATGATCACATACATCCTCAACTACCTCGACCGGAACAACATCGCCTCGGCGAAGTTGGCAGGAATCATGGAGGACTTGCACCTTTCCGAGACTCAGTATCAGACTTGCGTGTCGATTCTCTTCGTGGGCTACAGTAAGCTTCATGATACTACCGTATAGTCTTTACCAGACAGGTTGCTGACATCTGAAAGTCATCATGCAGATCCCGTCTAACATGATTCTCGGCAAGATCAAGTTTCCAGGTGTTTATATTTGCGGCGCAATGGCAGTCTGGGGAGTCATCTCGGCAGCACAAACCGTCGTTCATACCTTCGCTAGTCTGGCAGTTGCTCGTTTTGTAAGTAGCCAGAAAGAATTACGCGGAGTTCGGACACTGACTCTCTTGTTCCAGTTCATTGGCTTCGTGGAGGCAGTGTTTTTCCCTGTAATATCGCCCAATCCAGATTAACAGAAGTTCTCATGATTAATCTGGCCGCAGGGCGCTCTCTTTTATCTATCAATCTTCTATAACCGAAAGCAATATGCGTTCCGCACCGCGCTGTTCTACTCAGGCTCTCAACTTGGCAACGCTTTCGGCGGGCTGCTCGCCATTGCGATTCTCAAACTGGATGGGAGATTTGGTCTTGAAGGCTGGAGATGGGTAAGACCCATCATACTCGATAACCACGGCGTGCCATATACTGATAGCACACAGCTCTTCCTGGTTGAGGGCGTCGTAACAATCGGTCTCGCCCTCCTGTTCGCCTTCATTCTGCCCAACTCCCCCGACAGCATCAGAGGCCTCACCGAAGTCGAACGGGCCTGGATCAAGTTCAACTACGAGAAGGACCAAGGACAGAGCGACGACAGGTCCGAGATCACCGCACGACAGGGATTCGTGCTCGCTGTCCGGGATCCCAAAACATGGCTCATGCTCGCGACGCTATACTGCATCTTCACTTCGGCCGGCGTGACCAACTTCTTCCCACCAGTTGTCGCCACTCTAGGGTATTCGCGCACAGTCACCTTCGCGCTGACGGCCCCGCCGTTCGTGCTGTGCTGCTTGACGATGTTGGCGAACGGCTTCCATTCCGATCGGTCGCAGGAGCGGTACTGGCACATCGTCGGGCCTTTGTGTGTCACGTTAGTAGCCAACATCATTGCCGTCTCGACCTTGAATACAGGAGCCAGGTATACGGCGATGATGCTGATGCCGGCTTCGTTCTATGCTGGGTCGACGGTGTTGCTGTCGTGGATCACGGGGACACTCAACCAACCCGTCGCGAAGAGGGCGGCGGCTATTGCGTTGATCATTTCGGTTTGCAATACGCCGAACGTATGGACGCCGTATCTTTACAACGGCGCACCGAGGTATTTTGCTGCTTTTACTGTCAACTTGGTCGCTGCTGCTGCGGCTATCTTGATTGCGACGGGGACACGGGTGTATCTGCGCCGGGAGAATCGGAAGATGGATGATGGTGAGGCGTTGGGTAAGAGCGGACCGACGGCTGCGCAACGAGCGAGTGGCTTCAGATACATTTTGTAAGAAGGGGTTTATATAGGACTGAGTCCCAGCAATTTCGATTTCATGTATCAACCGAGGAGATGCTCGGTTGTTCAGATCTATGCCGCCTGCTCAGGTCACGTTGGCGACGCGGCAACCAAGTCTGAGTGCTCTGTCCAAGGCGGAAGTTGGAAATCGATAATGCAATGAGTCTGTCTCAAGCTTTTAAGAAAGAGACTAAAAATACAATAAAGTATACAAATGACTGGTAAGAGACAGGAACAGAGATGAAAGATGCTATTGAGTAATGAGTAAATGAGTGAGTGAGTGTGTGAGAGATGAGACGACATGAATACAGCGCTGATTGCAGTGAACTTTGGCGGTCCCCCACACTCCCCGCTCTGCCGATGTGCCGGCGGGGGGCTTCCTTCGCGAGTCGGAAACAGGGGTTTGGTCAGCAATGTCAAGTGACCCCCAGGCCCTTCCCTCTACGGAGTACAGCGTCAATTCCGCCATCACATACCTCGGTTGCTTCTCTTAGAAACAGATGGCAAAGTGAAAGACAATCTGCATTGGCTCAGGACACGTTGGTCAAGACATGCTCCTTTGGCATTGTGCGCTGTTCGCATAAGACTTTCACTCATGGACGCCGACTTCAGGCCGAACCAGCTGAAAATCGTCCCCTACCAGACGCCGGGACAGGCCCCAGAAGCGGGCAAGAAACGCAAACGAAGATGGACTCAAGTTGAAGGCCACAATCGGCCGTCTTTGAAGATCAGGAATGCTTGTATCGCCTGCAGGGAGTAAGTTCAAGATACGCATCGTATGAGTCTCAGAGTCCCTTACATTTCGCTAGGAAGAAGACCCGATGCTCTGGCCACATGCCCTGTATCCGATGCCAACAACACAACCGGCAATGTCAATATATGCCGACAACAGCATTACCGCATCCTTCCGAGAAACGAGACAGCATCGCGAACCCGGCGATATCTCCCGTAGAGGCAGCGACGACTATTTCTCTCGATCAGCAGCATTCAGACGGCACCCAAGCACCCAACTTTCACGACTTCTCGCCCGTAAACCCCTCTTCAGCAAACGAAGCATCAGGAGAAACACCAGATGGGCCACTCCAGGAAGACCAGTATGGCCACTTTCACGGCGGCGCCTCCGAGTTCGCCTTTCTTCACATGGCAAAGCAGAAGCTGGCGAGCTTGCCATCAATGTCGATTCGCTTTTCTGATTATCCGCTCGCCGAGTCCGGAGACTTCCCTCCAATCATTCCTCCGAAGCACATCGCAGACAAGCTGTTGCGAGTCTTCTTTGATTTTGGACTAACTACGTCACGATTTGTGCATGAGCCGAGTTTGGTGGAGTCTTTCGAGAAACTGTACAACGATGGACAGTGTGATGGCCTCAATAATGACAACCTTGCACTGATTTACATGGTGATGACTCTTGGCTCACACTATTCGAGAGTCGAGAACATGTACTGCGGGTATGCTCCAAGGTAGGTTATGTCTCGTCCATCGCAGGAAATATCCACCTTATTTACTTTCAGCAGCGTTCGCTTCTACCACATGGCCGACAAGCAGCTCCAAAAGGATACCAGCAAAATCACCTTCGCCTCCCTTCAGGCGAGAATGCTGGCAACGCATTATCTGTTGAACCACTCCCGCATGCACGAAGCATGGTCCTCATTCGGCATCGTCGTTCGCCACGCCCAGGCCCTCGGCCTCCATCGTCGGTCAGTCGGACCACCTACCAATCATGTCACGCACGAGTATCGGAAGCGATTATTCTGGACCATATACATTCATGACAGGATAATCAGCAGCATATTCGGTCGTCCCTGTGCGATACATGACGACGACATCGACCAAGACGAGTGTGCCCTGGCCAACGACGAAGACATCACCCCAACAAGCTGCTGCGTCACTGCCGACGGAGACTTTTGCTCAGCAGCAGCAATGTTGCATTATGCTCGTCTTTCGAGGATACTGGGTACAATATTGCGGAGATTTTATAGCCCTGTGGCTCGAAACAGCAACGTCCTGCAGCTATACCAGGCCGCCACTGATTTCGAGAGAAGCCTAGTAGACTGGCAAGATAACCTCCCGGCATACCTCAACTACGTCGTCCTGCCTCCCTCGGCTCTTTCAACCATGACACAAAGGCAGACATGCACGTTGAAGCTGATGTTTGCGCACGCCAGTCTTCTTCTTTACCGTCCGTTCATGCTCTACTCCATGGACCCATCCACCAGCGCTATCTCGCGACTTGAGCAGTGGGTCAAGCGATGCCATGATAAGTCTATAGAGGCTGCAAAGATGGTTGTCAACGAGTGCCAGTACCTCTGCCAACGAGGCTTGTTTTCGAGGGTTTTCTGGCTGGTCAATTACATGCAGTTCGCAGCCGTCGGCACCCTCTATATGTACTCCCACTTATGGCCCGAAGCAACGCATGTTAGGGACACGGCAGAGGATGCCATGGCCGAGTTTCCTGTTGGTGTCGAAGGAGATCTCGTAGGCCAAAGATATGTCGAGATACTGAGTGAACTGCGAGAGATCACCGCAAAGTCTACAGCTATGCCGTCGATGGGAATGGACCTGCTTGCAAGAGCATGCACTGTGGATGAGTTACCCGCATTTGATGATTCGCTGATGGACTTTGGAGGCTCATTCTCTAATCTCTTCTTCGATGTAACTGCCATGGACGAGTACATAGCAGACCATACTAGATAATGTCGACTCTTCACGAAGCATCAGCGCTTGCTACTCCTGTACCAGATTTTCAAAGTACCAGTCCGACCCGCAACGCGCAGAAACCCCGAACCGCCCTTCATTGAATCAAGAAGGTGTTCGAGTCCAGAACCAAGGCAGTTACAACACGCCGCCGCTGATTTGCGCAGCATACCTGAATCGTCATCTGATGGTTACCGCGCAGACCCGCTCGGGGAAGGTGCACGAATTACCGGATTAGGAAATCGTGGCTTCCCCGGGGCCGAGCCCGACCCCGCTTCCGGCCGGTATCCGGGGAACACTGGTGTTTCCAGATACGGCAACGAAGCGTGATGGCGTCTGCTACCGGTGGCTACTCGAAGCGACAGAAATGGAGGACATAAAGGCACTATGGCCGTGACGGAGTTTGAGATGGATCTGTCTTTGCTCAAGTTCAAAGTGCATCGCATATTTCGTCACTAAAAGCTCCATCATGACCGAAGTCCTCGGATACAGCGCTTCCAGCCTACACTCCGAACCTGTCTTTGCGCAGGAGAAGGTTGTCGTGCGGCAGGAGGAGAAGTTGACCTTGCACGGAAATGGCGGGGTACTAGACGACGTCAGGCAGCTCACCCCTGTCTATCCCGATACTCCCATCGAGGAGATTCGGAGGAGATACTGGCAAGACGGTGTTGTTTGGGTAAATTACTTCCAATATCCCTTTACAGATACATGTGGCTGATACTGCTCGTAGGTCAAAGGTCTTCTCGACCCCACAATGGTCAAGAAGATGCGTTCGGACTACCTGAGCTTCGTCGACCAGGGCACGGGGATGCTCAAGCCCGGCACCGATCCTGTAGACGGCATCTTCTCCGGCGGCGACTGGCGCGAGTTCCTCCTGCCCGGTGCTGTTCGCGTCGCCTGTGGTCTCAAGGACGAAGGCCCCTTCGTCGACAACGCGATCAAGAGCCACAGCGCCGACTTTTACCAGGAGTTCAAAGACAAGGTCGGCGAAGAGCTTGAGCCGTTTGTTGGTCGACTTGCCGAGTTTGAGGATTCGTGGTGTCTCCCGCGGTCGCTACTTCGCTGTTCCGTGCCGGGTGGCGAGACGACGCCGGTGCACTACGACCAGATCTTCCTTCGTGCGGGGCCGCCTACGAGCGTGACGGCTTGGGTACCCATCGGTGATGTAGAGTTGGAAGGTGGCGGTCTTATCTATCTGGACCACTCTCATGACATCGGCAAGAGGTATGAGGAGGACTTTTCCAGGGTGAATGCCGAGCTTCCAGACTCAGAGAGGCTTTCGGCGTTCAACAGGAACATGGAAAAGGGTGGGTGGCTTGATAGGAACGCAAAGAGATTCGGGGAACACTGGTCTCGTGGCTGGCTCGTGGTAAGTTAGAGTTCGATATCGGATGCCTCGCAGTTACTGATTGTTTCGTAGGGCGCCTATGAGGCTGGTGATGTCGTCTTTCATACTCCGTATGCGGTTCACGCCGGGGCTATGAACCAGTCGCCGCAGGGGCGTATCAGAGTCTCGACGGATTTACGCTTCGTTGACAAGACAAAGCCGTACGACGAGCGCTGGACCTACATCGCCTATTCTGAGAATGATCCCAATGTGGCGAGTAGACAGCCAACGAAGAAGGATGGGTAACGAACAACTCTAAGATGTACATTCTTGTTGAACAATCAATCTTTCGTTTTATTTCTTTCATGAACGCTCGGTTTGAGTCCAGAACCAGATGTTGGCGTTGCCCGTTGGTTAATCGAGGTGTAGTGTTCTTCCATTCAGATCTGGGGTTCTGGGCAATGCTGGCTCGAAGCTTTCGGGTTAGCGACTCATGCACTAATTCCAAACGCTTCAGGGCCATCGCTTCTGTGTCCTACCGAACTCTCAGTTCAGACGTAAGACCAGTGATGTATAAAGGAAAGTACACTAAAGTACAGTCGTTCATCAGGCGATGATCTATCATCTTGTGAGAGGTGTAAATGTTAAGATTTCTATGATGCCGGACCTCGGTGCATCATTTACTTCGAGCACAGCAGGAGCATGGGCGGTGCCATCACCGGTCGCTAGCGCCCGGGCTCTAACGGGCCGCTGTGGGGATTGCGGTGATGGAGACTCCGGCGTCCCGTCTCTCTGACTGAGTCGGCCATCCCAGTTGATCTTTTCGACTCCGAGAATCCGGGCTCAACTCGCAATGATTCGTACGATCCTCGCGACGAGTGGGAAGTAAGACACCTGACTCTCGTGAGGACGGGGCATACCATTGGGCATGGCCTGCTTCTCCGCGGCTTGACGTGGTGTAGCCGCTGTTCGTCCCATCATACGTGTTCCTTACAGTGAAATATCATTGAAGGCCCCTGGTTACAGATGAGCGGCTGCTCTGGAATCGCTTGGATTGTGAAGCGCTGTTTCGTTCGGCCCGATCCCGTCTATCGTGTATGCAGTCATTTGTGGTTTACAAGTGCCTCTCCGATTGAAGACGGTGGTAGATGAAATCAGAAAAGCAAGCTCCATTGTCGGCGGTAACTAACGTCTATGTAAACGACGTTTATGTAAATCATGAGAACTTCGCGATAATAAAACAAGAAAAGAATCAAAAGCGCCGTTGTCTGCACCATCGCAGCGTCCTGCCACTCCCGCCGCGTCCACGTCTAAGCCACCTGCCCATCACAAGTCGAACTCACTGCTAGTAGTTCCACTTGGTGGGATCGAAACCATCGCAGAAGCCGCATTCGCACTTGAATCCGAACTTATAATACAACACCGAAGGCTCTTTGCCATACGATATGGTGAGTTCCTCTCCTTTCTCTATCTCCCAGGATCGAACACTAAAGATGAGGACCTCGTCCTCTGCGTCGTATTTATACTGGATGGTCGGTTCGCAGGAGTGGTTGAAACGTGCAGCAACTGGGAACAGACCAGCGGTGTCGTGGCGCGCGGCCAGTGTCTTCTTGAGAGCCAGAGCTTTGGCCTTCGAATACTTGGAAGCGAATCTGAAGAACGTCAGCAACTACCATCAATCGAGTCGAACTTGGCGTGGTAGCTCACGCGTTGGTGTTCCAGACAGCTTCAGCCTTGGTCTCTCCGTCCCGACCGAAGTACGCGTGGAGATCATCGGCGATCTTTCTCTCACTCTCAGACAGCAGGTCGACGGACGGTTGAACTTCCTTGTGGGTCGCATGGTAGAGCGCTTTCTCGACCAGAATGGTGTCTCCCTGACGCAAGTTCGTCTTTGCGAACGCTCCCCAGCCAGCAACCAGAGATCGACGGACCTCGAAGAAGTCGTTCGCGAAGATGAATGCTCTCTGGTTCACAACGCCCTGCTCGTCTTCAACGTACGTCAGCAGAGGCCGTTCCGCAGCAACCGGGGCCTTGAGGTCATGGCCGAAGCCCAAGCTAGTGATAAGTGTCAGCGGTCCCGCTTCCTATGAAATCTATCCCAACTCACTTTCGCAGGGGCAAGATGGTCAGCTCGTCTGAGTGGTCAATGTCGCTTGAGTCAGTGTCGCTTGCATAGTCGGTTTGAGAAGGAGAGAAGAGGTCGGCATGAACCCCTTCGCTCTCATTGCCGTCGTCGTAGTCGTCATCGTCCTCGTCCGGCTCCCCTCCCACGAAGATATTCTTGAGTAAGGGGGCCGTTTTCCAGGTCATGTACTTGCTCGCAAGACATGGGAGCTTGGGGGCCACAGCTTCCAAGAAGACTTCGAATTCTTGCTTCAGAACCTACATACTCCTGTTAGCTATGGTCCACATCTTCACGCTTCGAGCAAACGCACATCCAGGCTCATGTTTGAATGAGCTTCAATCAGATCGTTGACCCTGTGTGCATTCACTCCGATAGGCAAGATGGCCTCGAGCTCGAGGGATCGGATTCTCTCCGTTGGCTGCCTCGGCACCCCATGAGGATGGCCGCCGTATGTGTCGTTCCAGTCGCCACGTGCGATCGCATCGGCACCGTTATCTTCCATGATCGACAGACTTGGTTCTTCGGGTTGGTCGTCCTTACTCTGTCAGTGGGGTTGTCAACCGGACTTCCGACTGAGATTATGGGAGAGCGGACGGGATCTTGTCAATATGACTTCGACCGTCGACTAAAAAGCTATGATGGTGATCCAAGAAATAAGGACGTCGCTTGATTGAGAAATTTCGCCTAGCTTGTGTCATTGTCAGCAAAAGTAGCAAAGACGCTGGTCTTTGTTGCCCAGCATGAGACCGCATCCAATGTCTTGACAGAGGGAGTCTCAAACGAACCTAGGTGCTGAAGATAAAGAAGTCGTAAAGAATGTAAAGAACGTGTGGAAGCTAGCTCTGCTGTGAACCGATGCTGAAGGACATCTACCGGAAAAACGAATGAGGATGTTTGAGGGTAAAAATGTTGATAATGCTGGTTGCTTCTCTTTGGGCGATGTCTTCAATGACTGGCTTGAGATTCCAAATCAACCAAGGATCGTTGCTGCCGTTGCCACTGCGATTTGCGCCGCCTTTGCCGTTGTTGTTGTTGTTGTCGTCGTCGTAGTCGTTGTCGCCGTTGTTGTTGCCGTAGCTCAATATCAAAACGCTGCCAGACAGGCCGCCAACGCCCTGACGAGACAAGTTGTTTCTTGTGAGAGCAGCTTCCTAATGAGTCGTATTTGCTTCTATTCGTAGACTTTCTGAGCTCTCGACAATTCAATACTCAGGTTCCTCGGGGGTTTCGAAGTGACGAAGATGGGAAGCTGCGATCCCTTTTAAACCCATACAGGAATGCCGGCGATCGCTGGTCGTTTTTGAAGGTAAGTAGCGAGTGAGACTGCGTCTCTTTGGTCCGGGTCGGATACAAGGCAAGTTGAAAAGTCAAGATGCGAACTGAAGTAGGTGAGAAGCCAAGAAGCGATCGAAGATGTTGCAAGAACTCGATAATCACCGGAAAGCGCGACCTGCTTCTGTTGACGCTGCAGGACTAATTGCTCGAGGTGTTGGTATTGGGTTGTTGTTGAAGAAGCCCAGCTGAGCCGTTGAAGATTATATGGTTGAAGTAGTTGCAGCACTGAGGAAGGAGGATGACGCGGGATATCTCACCTTCACGTTCAAATCGCTGTTGAAGTCTGCATGGGGAAAGAAGATCGATATGCTTCGCCGAAGAGGAGACCTGTCTTGAGTCATTGGGTTGGGCTGCTCGAGTGAGAGTTTCCAAACCATGAGAGTGTCTCTAGCCTTCGTCAATACTAGTGCTTTATAGGTATTCGATCCGGAATACTTCGGATTCCTAGAACTTCGTGAGAGAAATAGATATATTAGCAACAGCGTTCTGGAAGAAAAAGCGGAAGATGCGCTCAGCTTTAGTAGGGGGTCGTTCAATTAAAACATCAAGCAGAGGCGGCAAGTCCACCCCCGTCAACCTTGGTGTTCTGTGAGTATGGTATATGAATATGAATAGATGCAAAAGATCCAGTTGCTAAATGGAATTATATGAGTTCAGTGTGACAACTTTCAGCTTGAACCTTCTACTATAAAAATGGCGATTATCTGAGGTGAATGAGGCTCGTTTCCACCTGCCGAATCAAACAAGACGCATATCCGGACAAGACTGTCACGTTGTAGTTTCGCCCAGACGTCTCTTTGAGGTCTCTTTCTGTTGCAATTTCTGGATCTCTGGCCGTAGAAGATAATCCAGCGACACTTTTTCCCCCAATATCACCAGACCCCCTGACAGAATATGGGCCAAACAGACTATAGGAACTGGCAAGTTTTCTTTTAGAGGCATCCATCATTCTGATTCAGGGGCGGGATACCCTCCTATTAAGAGATTGGATGTGATACTCTCTGTACGTACGACCCAGTCGAAGTGAAAGTAGAACGGATGGAGGGACCGTTGAGACATCTAGAGGGCATTCCAGGGCGAATATTGAGTGCATTCAGAAGACCTTCGACAGGCACGTAAGGGGCAAATGACCCCGCCGAGCAATTTGTCGGCGCCTATCCGTAATGTTTGACGCCTCCGGAAGAAAAGAGCAAGACACCCCGCCGTCATTGAATACTGCTTTTGGATGCTCTTCCTTCCCTTGACCAATTGACTGGGCCAGCCACAAAAGCATTATGAACAGGACGCGGGGCACTCTCTGTCCGACCCAATTGTCATTGTGCTTCACCACTCTTCTTCGCCCACTACGTCTCTGAGACCCTGGCCGAGAATCTCGCCAAAGGCACCGCCCTTGCATCGCCGATATGGTGCAGAATCCAATATCCAGCCTCTCTACTAACAGGAGGTATCTCTCGGCTTGCATCGTCGGGGCAACCATCCTCCTGGTTATCACCGCGCTGCGCGTATCCAGTGATGACGACCCAGCGGTGCTGAAATCATCGACAAGATGGAACAGGTGCGCTCGCAGACCAGATTCTCATATAACGATAGTCTGACTTTGCTCCTCTAGCGCCGCGATTCCAGACGAACCGGGACATGCGATGTCGTCCACCCACCGAGGCAAGAAGGACGACCGGCCTACCTTCGCCGACTTGGCCGCCAACTCTGGTACGGATAAGGTGACGACGCACAACTACGGGCTTCTTTACGACAAGCATCTCCCTGCTTTCCGCGATTTGCCGGTCAAGATACTGGAAATTGGCCTGGGTTGCGGCTTGGTAAGTTGGATATCCACACCTCCGCGTTCGATCTGTTGCTGATGGGTTTGCTTGCAGCCATACGCCCCCGGTGCTTCTTATGATACCTGGATTCAATACTTCGCGAACCTTGAGCTCAATATCATCGAACAAGACCAGGCATGCGGCAAGGTCTGGGCGACCCAAAATCCAAAAGCAAAAGTCTTCTTTGGCGACCCTGCCTCGGCAGAATTCCTCCACGATACAGGTGACAAGATCACCTCCGACCGCCTCTTGGACATAGTCATCGATGACGGCGGTCACACAATGACCCAACAGGAGGTTAGCCTCAAAGAACTTTGGAAATATGTTCGTCCCGGTGGCATCTATATCGCCGAAGACTTGCATACCAGTTTTCTATCTTCCCATGACGGTGACCCAACCAGGCTGAATACAACAAGACGTACCTTTATGCGCTTCGTCTACGAGCTCATGGACGACTACATCAGTGTTCCCGCATTGCCCAATGAGTTACAGTTGCAAACGAGCGGCCAGAAGTACACGTTTTCTCATGAGGTCTCGAGTATCGAGTGCATGGAGGCAATGTGTGTCTTCATGAAGAAGGATGTCGGGGCTCGGTGACCTTGTCGGTGAGTGAGACCGTGGGTTTAGATGTGAACGGTGGAAAACAAGTAGGCCAACCTCATCTATACTGGACTTTATCTAGTTGACAAGAAGTTGCTCGTCCTAAGGTCAACCTATCATCAGCGCTACACCATGCTTCCAAGTCCACCATCTTTGAGATTTATTGAACCCATTGTACCCACTCGATACTGCTTAAGAAATCGCTCTCATGGCATCCGGCTGCGAAATTGGAAACCAAACGGCGACGACCGGCCATGGAGAATCCATGCGTGGACTCGCCGCTGGTTGTCGATCGGTCGTACCGTGCCGCCATTCATCTACAGTTCGGTAGCATGTGCCACAGAAACCAAAGGAAATATCTGGGATCAGGCGATGGCCAATCGATGGCGAGAGTCACAGAAAATGGGGCTTTCATCATCGGTCCTGGCTGAACTTCGCCCGGAATCGGAGAGCGGCGCGGTAACGGTCGTGGTAAGATGGCCTTTGGCCGCCGTTTGTCCGACTACCGTCGGTGGCTTTGACGCCGTCTCAGATGTTTCCTCTTCGAATCGGGTGCTGGTTCCGTTTCAAGGGAACGCAACGAAGGGCCGTCCCTGAGTCTGAGCGAGAATTCACGCCTTGCCAAGTCTCGTGGAAGGAAGGAAGCCTTCTAGCAGGTACTTAGGTGTGAACTAATGACAATGGGGTTTGCGACATGTCCGTTCACTTTCTTCCAAGTTGCGGAAGCAGGAGAGCATCGGGTCGGGGCCAGGGTCACTGGGTCAGGTAATGTGAAGATGGGTCCAGATACAGCTTCGCGGCGTTTGTTCCCGTTCAAAAGTTTCATTGCCTTTTCCCGGCCCTCATGAATGGAAATCTACTCTTTGGAGGCTCGTTTGGTACCCGTGGTTTCGTTTCAAGCTGTTTGGGGGGCTCGAAAGTCTTCGATGAGATGTTCCGCGCTCGGCCGCTCTGAGTCCATGCGGCGCAATCCACCAAAGCAATATTTGGAAGCAAGCAATTCATGACATGATGACATGAGAGTGAGTTGACAGCAATGTTGCAGTTGTATGACGGAAGCGGAGTCGGTATCACGTTAGATGCAACAAACGTCTGCATAGTCGGAAGCGTCTACTAAGACGTTCTGTGACAAGCGGCGCTAAGCCCTGCAAAGAGGTTCAACAGCGACCGTCCACGAGGAGGCTTCGTCCGGAGAGGGCCATCCAGAAGGAATCGAAGGATGCCGAAATGCAGCAGAGCTAAGAAACAGCCACACTGGAAAAAGAAACTACTGTGCTTATTTCATGGGATCGTGTGCTACATGTTGCCCCAAGACGAACTGACACGCCCACTTTTCTGGCACTTCTTTCAGAGATACCACTTCACAGTATTGCTACGATGCCTAAGCCTGCGAGATTTGACCCCTCAACAAGGTTATCGGCAAAGATACTTTGCTCACAGATGAAGACGGCGGCAACACTGCGTCAACGGACGTTGTCCGGGCTCCAAAACCAGGTGCCATATTGAGCCATAAGCTTTTTCGGCGCAGCGCGCCGTGGCCCGTGGACATGGCCTGTCTGTCAAAGAACTCCCGTTTGACCTCACGAGTGACAGACGTCCAATCTTTTCCAGACTTTCGGCCACTAGGATGAGCACCGAGTTCCATGTTAAGCTTACTGCACGTTAAAGCTTGCTCTTGTTGCTTATTCGCTGCCGGCCATTTTGCCTCTTCGTTGCACTTTTCCCGGGGGTCTGTCGCCTTCTTCCCACGTTCCATGTCTGAACACTGCATCGAACGTTATGATGCCCAGACGGTCATTCTCCTGAGCGTTTGTGGGTAAGAAGCCAGGTTGGATGAAGCTTTTCCTCCTCGGCCGATTGTAGATCAGGCCAAAAACACATGTCGGGTGGCTGTTCCAGTGCAACGTTGAGGTTTCTGCGCCCGTTGTCGTCCTTCCTTCGGTCTTGTTCGCTCAAAGAATGGCGCACCGCGTCAAGACATGAGATCCTCATCCTTCTCGAACTCTCCGAGCGCCGTCGTCAGGAGTATATACGAAGCATCAGAATCCCCAACTTTGGACCATCAGTTACTTACTGCAACACATTGAGTCTGCACTTCTCCTCACAACCAAATCATTGATTCATAAGGAGAGAACCCTACTTCTCGATCATTGGCATCATTGGACCTTACACAGTTCAACCAACTCGCCAGCCTTTTAATATCTCCGATATTTCATCATCTCCCAGGCGGCATTGCTGACGCGGAAAGGGAAAAGCACTTTGTCAAGGTGAGTCCCCCCGGAATCCGTCTTGAAGGTACACTGCCGGACTAACATGAGAACTGGCAGAGTTGCCTCACTCGCTCTTCTAGCCATGGACTACAGAAGTTCCCGCAATACACATCGAGCAACGCCGAGACCCAGTTCAAGAGAAAGAGATGTCAACAGTAGACTAAAGGGAGGTTCTCGACACGTCAAGACAGCGGAAAGCGAGCGATGTCGGGAGCTTTCTCAAGGCCGTAGCGGTTATAACCGAGTACGGGATCACGGCATTTCGACCAAGGGGAGATCTGGTTACAACTGATTGACGTATTCCGTGGTCCTGGCGTCAAGCCAGGTAGAGCAGTCGGCGGAGTGATTAGACAGCATGGCATCATAGAAGACAGGCGTTTGGATAGGGGGACTTCACTATTGTGGTTAAAGTCGGGGTTATGGGCAGCCCAATCTGATTATTACAACTAATGAGGGACTCGAAATGACAGTTTACACCATGATACATACGCAACCCAAGTGAAAGACCGCAGACCACCGACTGCCGAACCCCAGTACCAAATAACAAACCCAAGCCTTTCCCGTATAATTTCCACATTCTTTTTCTGTTGGAGTACTGTTATCCTCCTCGCCACATCCCGCCATATACCCATCTCAAAATCGCTGAAAACCAAGCAAACACACAGAAACTCTACCGCTAAAGAGTCCTAACCTTTGAGCCTATGAGTGACAGGCTTGATACCGGACTGAAGCGAATACTCGATCAGGGCCTCCACCTTCGTTCGCGCTCATGAAAATCAACCACTGATGGCATGGTCCGGAATCATCGGCATGACGAAAAGGGGCGATTTCTCAGACACGTAGGGCAGTTCTCTTCGCCCAGGTGAACGCCCTCGACAGGTGAAGCATGCAACGCTGGGCAGTTGCACACCCAATAACCCGGAGTTTCAGGCCACTCCCAGCCTTCTGGGAATGATGTTGCGTCTTGTGATTCGACATGGGCACCAGGTTGGTAGAACCCTAGGCGAGCACCACAGGGCATGCAAAAGTTGCGCAGTGACACCAGCCGGCATCCATCCGGGATTGGGGTGTTGTTCTCCTCGTTGTAGAATCCAAACCTTTCTCCTCCGGGATATTCGATAGCACGTTGCGGCTGGTTTTTGCCGAATGCTCCTCTCGCTAACATTTTCCCGCAAGAGTAATAACAGGCTCGTTCGTTACCCGTGTTTCTTCTTTCATCGTCGAGTAATATCCCTGTGTTGTTGTCTTCCTCGGAGTCGAACACCATGTTGCTAAAAGTAACACCTCTTGAGTTGTGCATTGGAGGACTGTTCCCAATGTTTTCGTTGAGCCCGGTGTTGTGGCTAAGCTGTTCATTATGTTGTCTGTCGGGATTTCCGTTGAGTGTGCTTCGTCTCTCATAAGAGCGCATGTCTGGCTGGGGATGTTCCATGTGTGGCTGCGCATGTTGCCAGGGACTAGGTGTCAGGCGCGGAAGCACTCTAGAACCAAGCTGAATGGGGTGCGGTGAAGTAAGTGGCGACCGGGGTGTAGAACAGCACGAGGCCCTGGCTTGCCGGCGAGCTTGTTGGTTGATGTGAGGGGCGATGATGTCGTGCTGGGAAAGAGGGACGAGATGAAATGGCTCGATACGCTGTTGAGGATAAACAAGAGGTCTGAGAATAGGTGACCTGAACGTCCCCCGCTCTCTCTTCTTGGCTGGAGTTTCCAAGGCCTCGTCTTCCGCTTCTTCTTGCCGCTTCCGCCGCCTGGTTGTCTTCGACGGGTGACTCTGACCTGATCCGCCGGTCTCTCTCGTCCGGTGAAATCCAGACTGCTCTGGCGATTGTACATTACGGACTTTCTTGTCAGTAGATAGAGACACTGAAGACGCTCCCATCTGGCCAAGGTCCATGTGGTCTGCTCGATGGAAAACCGGATCAGACGACGGGCTGTGTATGATAGCCATGTCTGGGTCGATCTGCACTTGCTTCGCCCGCGGGGGACGCATTCTGGGAAAGTTACGTGTTCGCGGGGCTCCTTGCAGACGAGGTTCTCCGGCTCGCCGCTTCTTGTATCTTGCTCCTTTGTATGGGTCGTTTGTCTCATCGACTTCAAGCTTCGGTGAGAGTGCGGCATTGTCACCAACACGCGGTTGCTCCGTTCGCCCATCTGTCGAGGCAAGTCGTTGAGTAGACTTTCTAGTCGTATTTCTGGCAGCATGGCCTTGCGCTTGTTCTATGGTGAGCGCCATCGTGTCGTAAGAGATGAATAAGTTTTGTGGAATGTAATTGAGTCGGTGGTTAAGATGCCCGAGAGTTTCAAACAAAGTCGACCTGCCAGAGTATGGCGTCAAGTTTTGGATTTGACAGGGAAGAGCAGCTTTGAATGATTCAGGAAGAATAGGATGGAGATGAGTGAGGGAGGAAATGGGCGAAGTCAGGTCTCTGATCGACTAGATATATACGACAGTAGATCCCAGGATCCGGGATACTGGCCAAAGACGAATACCTTGGAGACAAGAACCCTGCCGGATACTGGGAGAAAAGAGACCGCCAAGCTAATGGGCAGGAGAAAACCGCGGTGAACCATGACAGGTTATGGGCAGGACCCGCGTCAAGCGTAATAACTCAGCAAGGGGAGTGGTCAAGGGGAGGATCTCTAACATCTAACGGATACAGTATCCGGCAGCGACAAGGTTGCCAATTTGGAACCGTCAAGTAACGATGATGGATAAGCCCACACAGC